TGAACCACATGGATCACTGCTTTCGACACACGTATTTATAGCTGTCAAGAGAAAGGATCAGTTCAATCCTTTACTCTTCATATAGACACCATGTTTGCCAGTTTCCCTACTGAATATATTTTCCATTGAGAGATATAGAACCTGTGTATCACTGGTTTTCCTGTTGTACTAGAAATCTAGTAATTCGTGTCCCATAGACTTTTGCAAATTAAAAAAAAAAAACATTTTCTTTGGGTCCCTGTGTTGTCCAGGCTGGAGTACAGTGGTGCAGTCATAGCTCGCTGTAGCCTCAAACTCTGGTGCTCAAGTGATCTTCCTTCCTCAGCCTCCCAAGTAGCTGGGACTATAGGCAGGTGCTACCATACCCAGCTAATTTGTAGAAATGGAGGATGTTACTATGTTGCCCAGGCTAATCTTAAACTCCTGGCTTCAAATAATCCTCCTTCTTTGGCCTCTCAAAGCACTTTTGCAAATTTTAGCTTCACAATTAGATTGCTGTCCGGGATTCTAAGGAAAAAAAAAATTCTCCAGAATAGCATATATTCTTTAGGAGTGATAAAACCTAGCACTGGAAGACTAATTTACATGTTGATACATATAGGTAAATAAATCAAAGAAGAGATGTCATGTCATATGAAAGATTTCTCTCTCCAGGAGTTTAATCAATTCTCTTTCATAGTTATAAAATTCTGATTTCATGGAACTTTCAAAATCCTAGAATTCATGGTTCTTTCCCCTTCTTTATAGTCTATTGGTTTATTCCTGTTCCTGGTTGTTCAAACTGGTCTAACTGTAAGTCTAGGGCAATGTTTCTCAACCAGGAGTGAGTACTTGACCCCCATCTCTCAGGGGACATTTGCTAATGTCCAGGGACATTTTTAGTTGTCATCACTTGGGAACGTGGTGATATCAGCCTCTAGTGGATAGAAGCAGGGATACTGCAAAACATCCTACAGTGCACAGGACAGCCCCTAGTACAAAGGATGACTGGGCACCAGATATCAATAGTGTCAAGATTAAGAAACCCTTACCTAGACCCTCCCTCTGGAACTACCTTGGTGTCTTACTTTCCTAATTCAGCTTCTTAGCTTCAGCCTTCCTGTTGTGCTTCAGAGCCAGTCTTTTGCCTTCATTCTAACCAATTTCTCAAACTCTCCTGTCTTCATTAGACCAATGAACCTTTCCACCTGACATCTTTGTTAATCTGTAGTCCTTGCTCATGTTTAGCTTGGGGAGAACATGGTGTGGGCCTAATATAGCACAGTAATTAACTATGTGGGCTTTAGGTACTGACTGAGTCCAAATCCAAACTCCACCACTTACTTCCTGTATAATCATGGCCAAGTGTCTTACTCTCTATGTGTCTCTGTTCTCCTACCCTCAAAAATGTAAGTAAAAATGGTACCCTGCCATGGAGAATTGTAAGAGTCAAATGAGTTAATACTTGTAAAGCACCAAGTGCTTAATAAATGTTAGCTATTATCATCCTTCTCAAGAACCCATCAAGGTCTATATCCTCTAACTTACTTCCTTCTCTGTACTCCAAGTCTGGAAAGCAGGTGTACTTTACTCATGATGTCTTCTCTTAAATGTTTGCCAAAATTGTGAATGTTTTCCATTACTCTTATGGCTAGGATTTTGGATGTGGAAAGGCAGGAAATACCCTATATTTCTATCTCAAGTTTGGCTATCCATATCCCTTCCCTAATCACTTTGTGGCATAAAGGTCGGAGGTGGGAAAAGAGGGAAGGAAAAATATTTCGAAGCATTTTCATGGATGACACACAATTCTTAGTCTATAGATGGAAACTGATGAGTGAAGTGATGAGAGGATGGATGCACTCTGGGCAGCTCCTAAGTTTCTGATGTGAGTGGCCATATGGAATGTGATGCTTTACACAGAGATGGGATTTGTAGAAATAAGATAAAGTTTAGGGACATGCTAATGAGTTTTACCCATGAGTTTGTGGTAATTGTAGGAAATGGAAGTACAGATGTCCAACAGAAAGCTGGGCTTGTGGATTGAATTTCAAGAGAGAGATTAGAGCTTGAGATGTGAAGTTAGGACTTTTTGGCAAATAAATGCTCGTTGGGTCAATGAGAGTATAAAATCATCTATAAAAAGGAAGTAGTTTAGTCAGAAAAGCAGTTTCTGGATGGACAGAGGGATAGATAGATGGATGGATTGATGGATGGATGGATGATGGATGGATGGATGATAGATGAATGGATGGATGGATGGATGGATGAGCAGAACAAGGAGGAAGAACTCATAAAGCAGCCAGAATGAAACACCAGGATCAGAACAGAAGGACGAAGACTAGGAGAGAATCAAGTTACAGAATAATATAAGAAAGTCAACAGAGTCTCGTGTTGCAGAGAGGTCAGGTAAGATATAGACTGAAAAGTGTCCATTAGTTAAGCCAACACAGATAGGTCATTTTTGTTTTGGTGAAAACAGGTTCAATAGACCACAGGAAGTCAGAGGACAGATGATAGAATGAGTGGAGAAATAGCATTTAAAATAAATTATAGAACTATATAGTCAAGAATAACCTTCTTTAGATTTTCATGATAGGCTTAATTCAGTCTTGCCTTATTTCATGTGTAATTTTTTGGGTGAATAAGGAAAGACAGCAGTTGGATTGTTTGCTTAATTTGTTTACTTGAGATGACCAATGTATTAGTCCATTCTCACCCTGCTAATAAAGACACACCAAGACTGGGTAATTTATAAAGGAAAGAGGTTTAATTGACTCACAGTTCAGCATGGCTGGGGGGGCCTCAGGAAACTTAGGGTCACAGCAGAAGGGGAAGCAAATACATCCTTTTCACATGGCGACAGCAAGGAGAAGCGCAGAGTGAAGGTGGGGAAAAGCCCCTTATAAAACCATCAGATCTCGTGAAAACTCAATTCACTATCATGAGAACGGCATGGAGGTCACCACCCCGTGATTCAATTACCTCCCACCAGGTTCCTTCCACAACATGTGGTGATTATGGGTACTACAGTTCAAGATGAGATTTGAGTAGAGACATAGCCAAACCATATCAAACAACAATAATGTTTTACATTATTCTGATTTTGAAACAATTAACACCAATCCAATATTGTATATGTACTTACAACACTTTCCCCAAAAAATTGCTTTTCTTCAGGCACTCTTCCTTACTGTCAATTTGAGCCAACCTCATTTCCTGGACTTTTCTCATTAGTATACAAAAAGGAATGGGCTCATTTATTCAACAAGTATTTCTTGTGTCTTGCTTTATGACAGGCACTGTTCTGAATGTCTGGGTTAATTTCAGAGAATGTAACAGGCAAGAGTCTTATGCTTGTAGCATTTATATTTAGAGATGTATACTTAAAGGAAAATATTTAAATTATTTTTAAACATGGCCATTACATGGAGTATAGAATGACATCCATAAAGAAAGTTATACAAATCAAAGACAGAATTAGAAAGTTTTAAATTCCTGTCTCTGCTACTTTCTTCTTTAGTACTAATAATGCCTACCATACCAGATTATTTTGAATATTGAATTTTTCAGAATAAAAGCAAGTATGTGAAGGTGAAATGGGAGAGTTTCCTGATCCCCCTTGCAGGACATGCGACAAGGGTATGGCTCACCTGTTCAGTTGTCACCGTTACTTGAACCCCCGCAGAGAGTGGGAGGGGTGCAGCATGCAGACAGACAAGTTCGGGAGCCCAAGTGGGTGTGTGTTACAGTGTGCCCTTTTAGCCCCACCATCCACAGATGGCCTGAGTGTTTACCAGCTCAATGAACCCTCTGCCTTTTCACATGGGCCAAGGGCCAGTGTGACAGCTTTCTGTATCCTGAGCTCTTGCTCAGCGTTTCAGAAAAATCGGGTCACACACAGGCTTGAAGAATGAATGCAGGGTTTTATTGGGTGGTAGAGGTAGCTTTCAGCAGGATGGATAGGGAGCTGGAAGAAAGGATGGAGTGGGAAGATAATCTTTTCCTGGAGTTTGGTCATCCGGAAGCTGAACACTTCTCCGACTGCCCCCAGTCAAACTCCTCTCAGTGTTCCAATGTCTCTCGTCTTCTCTCTTTCTCTGCCCCATTGTTCTGCTATTCGTCTGCTTGTCTCCTTGTCTTCTCACCTGCTCATCTGCATCTGGAGCCTGGGGTTTGGGATTTATATAGGTACAGGATAGGGGGCATGAAAACAGGCATGCTTCTCCCCTTTTAGGGTCACTGGTCTCCAGGCTTGAGGGTGTGGCCTTTGCCAGGGAACTGCCCTCTTCTACCCAGTACTGCCCTGTCTCCTCTCCTTATCAAATGTACTTTTTTAAGTGAAAATTTTTGTGTTAGTTTAAGGGAGTGACAATGAATCAACAGCAGCATCGTGTAACTATTAGATCACAGTAGCGGTAGCCACCATGGTCAGTTACTTCAGTCTATAGACCAATTCTCAAAAATCATTGAAATGTTTTGGGGGAAAAAAATAAAGATGTTCTGCTTGAATTTTTATCATAATTTTATATACAGCTTATATACATTATATATATACAAATTTCATCAGAAGTATGTAAAAATGACTCATTTCTATATGACAGATGTTGTTGGGGATAAATTCATAAAGCTATTTATACTTTTAAATAAGCACTAAAAACAATTAGCTTTTATTTGTGGGGCAATACCATGTGATCCTAGATTGCATATTAAGCTGAATTAAGGTTGTAAGTTATTTTTCAAGGATCGGGCTGGCAAGAGTGTTGTCTGTGGCCGGGTCCAAACAGATGCAGGGGTTCTACTTTGAGAAATGCCTCAAGGCCAAAACTACAATCTAGAAAGTAAACATGTATAGTTTGGTTGGGTTTTTCCTATTTTGATACTTTAAAACTATGTTTTACGAATTGGGTAAAACTGTCATCAAACTTTAGGATACTTTTCTTGAACATTGCATCCTATTCAGACATTCAAAAATGAATTTTTGTATAATTTTAATTATCCTGTCTGTTTTAATCTTTCAGATCACAAGGCCTATGGGCTTTCTGCCCCAAAAAATCAACAAGTAGTCACAGCAATAGAGTACCAAGGTACAGTATCTTACTGATTTTCACAGGCTGTATTGTTTATAACTCAGGAGAGTTACTCATGTGATGTTACTTTCTATTGGTTGGGATTCTCTGTCTTACCTCACAGTAATTCCTCTGCCTGAAATGCTGCTTTATGCTGACTCCACCTCAAGAACATTTTCTCTATCTTCTCAGTGGAAATTTTGGACATTCAATCAAAGACTAGATGTACAAAGAAGGTCCCTTGTTACTTAAATTATCTGCAATAAAGCAAATCTAATTTGTGAAAACTGGGAGATGGAGATCTTGGAAAGTTTCTAGCCAGCTAGATATGAAAAATAGAAATGAACACTTCAAACCCCACTCTGTATTTAAGATGATATTAATATAGCTTACTTTGGGTTGCCATTTTCTTACCTATTTAGCTTCTTTAAAATGTGTATAAAAAGTTAATTAAAGAGTATAAAGTTTCTGTTTTGCAAGATAAAATAGTGCTGGAGATTGTTATATGCACATCAATATTCTTAATGCTACTGAACTATACAGTTAAAAATGACCAAGATGGGGAATTTTATGTTTATTTTGCCACATTTAAAAAATCGTCAAAAGAAACTTGTAACCTATATATGGGTTTTTTTAGTAAGGTTTTTGTTGTTGTTGTTGTTTTATTTTGCTTTGTTTTGTTTGAGTTGGGGTCTCTGTCTGTCACCCAGGCTGGAGTGGCATGATCTCGGCTCACTTCAACCTCCACCTCCAGGGGTCAAGTGATCCTCCTACCTCAGCCACCTGAGTAGCTGGGATTACAGGTGCAGGACACCATATTTGGCTAATTTTTTGTATTTTTTTTTTTTTTGAAACAGGATTTCACCATGTTGCCCAAGCTGGTCTTGAACTTCTGGGCTCAAGCAGTCTGCCCACCTCAGCCTCCCAAAGTATTAGGATTACAAGTGTGGGCCACCATGCCTGCCCTCTAAGTTTGTTTCAAATATTGACTACCTACTTCTTTTCCAAAGAATCCTTTACCTTTTCCACAATTAATAATTCTAGGCAATCAGAAGAATTACTATTTCTTAAATTTAATACTCAATTAGGCCAGAGATTGTAGACATTTAAGAAACAGGTCCTAAATGTCTGATCTCTCATCATCATGTATGTCTTACATTCCGGGAGCTGGAGAAAGATAGGTTTGAAGGAAAGAGACAAAGATTAAAGTAAAGGCCTGGAGTCGGGGGAATTAAATGAGTTAATATTTACATAATGCTTTCAATAGTGCCTAACACATGATACAAATTACATGTGCTTGTTAAGTTAAAAATACACTGTAATAAGAATCAGTCCTGGCTGGGAGTGGTGGCTCGTGCCTGTAATCTCAAACTCCTGAAGCCAGCAGTTTGAGATCAGCCTGGGAAACATGAAGACCCTGTTTCTATTTAAAAAAAAAATCAGCCAGACATGTTGTCCCAGCTACTCAGGAGGCTGAGGCAGGTGGATGGATCACTTGAGTGCAGGAATTTGAGGCTGCAGTGAGCCACGATCATGCCAATGCATTCCAGCCTGGGCAACAAAGTGAGATATTGTCTCAAAAAAAAAAAAAAAAAATGGCCAGACACAGTGGCTCACACCTGTAATCCCAACACTTTGGGAGGCTGAGGCAGGTGGATTACCTGAGGTTAGGAGTTCTTGACCAGCCTGGCCAACATGGTGAAACCTATCTCTACTAAAAAAATTAGCCAGGCCTGGTAGTGGGCACCTGTAATCCCAACTATTTGGGAGGCTGAGGCAGGAGATCACTTGAACCTGGGAGGCGGAGGTTGCAGTGAGCTGAGATCACACTACTGTACTCCAGACCTAGCTGACAGACCAAGAGTCCATTAAAAAAAAAAAAAAATTACCATTTAAAAACAAATGAATAACTTAATAACAAATTACTTAAACAATTATTAGGTTCACTACGTTCTCTTAAGGTCTAATATTTTATATGCTTAAGCTATAGGACACTCTGTTACGAGTTAGTTTTAAACGGAGAGAGGTGGGAAGAGGAAATTAATGATTGAGGGAATCTGGGACTATGGAGCACTTCCAGGGTGGAAAAACAGGGCGGGGTGAGATGCCAGAACAGAAGCTGGAAAGGCCACAAGGTGAGCACGGAGTGAGAGAGGGGAAAATGGACCAGGATGTCCCTGAGGAACAAAGGAAGCGAAGTTCAGTTCCCCTACTTCTCACTTACTCGGAGGTTCTTGATGCTGGGTCCAGCTGGATACAAGGGATGTATATCCTCTGCCATCATGTCTGAGTTAGGACATCAAAATTATGTTCTTTAATCTTACACTATTTTAAAAACACGTATCCGGATGAATTTCACATAAACTGAAATCCATGGTTTTTAAGTGAACAATTCAGTTGCATTTGGTAAATTCACAGTATTCTGCAACCAATATCTCTACCTAGTTCCAAAATATTTTCATCACTCCAAAACCCTGTACCCAGTTACATTACTTCTTAATGCATGTTTTATTTTTAATACAGAAAATCCCAAATCCTTCCATAATGTATTACAATCAAATGTTAATCTCACTCCAAAATAAGTGTTTTCTATTTTCTTGTTTCATATCACCTTTTTGCTTAAGAATTTCATTTTAATTCTATTTTATATGTATCCCCGTCATTCCAGCTTGGCTCTTCATAAGGCATACATACATTTCTGTCTCTGCCACATTTTAGTTTTAGGATATTTGATGTGGTAACTTCATTTTCCTTTAAGTCTATAATATTCTGTGACTTGTATATTTGTGTATGTTTGTTTTACCCAATTTGTTCATTTGTTATGTCTTGTTTCTCTGAGGTCAAGAAGTTATTAATTAATTCCTTCTTTCCAGCGCTGCACTGCACTTCCTATGGTAGTGCCAAGAGCAGAAGGACACTGAAATCAGGGCAGCTCTGCCAGGCTTGTAAATTATATGAGCAGCCTCCTGCAAAGGGAGTCTACACCTGAAAGCTATAAATCAGAGTTTAATAGCAAGCATTTCTTGAGAGAAGTAATTTCTGCTAAGTCACAGCTATTTTGGTAGTATCAATTCTTTTTCTGTTATGTAAGATTTTGATGATTTTTAACTTGAGCCCTGAAAATGAAATCAAAGGATAATTAGCAGTACAGAATCCAGGAAAATTAAAATTCACAATGATTCTATCTATGTGATTTTGAAATGTAATTATTTTGCCGCATGTTGTTGCTAATGCTTTTTATAAACAAAGAATTCTCTTTTCTTGATCCAAATGAAATAGATATTTTGGCACTGAAAGAATAGAAAACCTTGGTACATTTTCCTGAGGCTAAGAAAGCAAATGCACATACAGCTTAACTCTCATGAACTCTCTTCTCTCTTAGGTTGAGGAAATATGATTTATATCCATGTTTTTTGCTATCTCCTACAGAGATAATATTTTATTTCAAATTGGAGTGGTTTACAGGAAATCTGTAATGGTATAAAGTATAGATTTCTATGTCAAGGCAAGCTTGCAACTATAACTAAGAGAAATTCCTCAGGAGTGGAAAAAAATAATGACCATTTGTGGAGCGCATACTATATGCAAGGTGGTACCATGTGCATCATGCACGTAAATATAGTGTCTCATTTAATCTTAGTGACAACTTTGTAAACTGAGTACTGTCCTTTTTATCATTTCATAGTCATGAATTTAATGTTCAAAAAAAGTAATTCTCCCAATATGACATGCGGAGTATGTGGTAGAGATGGTCTAACTCCAGAGCCTCTGCTATAACCTACTGTATTATGGTACAATAACCCTACAGCCTGATAGAGAAAATTATGCTGACGTAAGTATCGAGTTTTGGCTGAAGAGAGGGAAGAGAGTTCATGGGAGTTAGGTTGTAAGTTCATGTGCTTCCTTAACCTCAGATACTGACCCCATGATTCCAGTATTTTTATTCTCTGCAGTTGTTTCCTAGGGCTGCCATTTAAAAATGCTACAAATCAGGTGACTTAAAACAATAGAAATTGATTCTCTATGGTCCCGGAGGCTAGAAGTTCCAGATCAAGGCATTAGTACCCAAGGGCCTAGGTGCTGGCTCTTTTCTTGCTTGCGATATTCTTTCTCAAAGAACCATGTCGTGAATTCTCTCCCTCTTTTAAACCTTTGGTCAAATATCACCTTCTGAATGAGGTGAACTCTGGCTACCGTTTTTCAAAAATTGTAGCCCTGTCCTCAGCACTTCCAAACCTCCTGTACTCTGCTCTGCTGGCTTTTGTCTTCATAACCTTCATCATCTCCTAATGTACTAAGTAATTCACTTTATTATGTTTCTTGTTTGCCTGACTTCCCCTGCTAGACTGTGAGATCCCAAAGGACAAGGCTTTTTGTTTTGTTCACTGATATAGCTCAAGAATAATGCATGGCATATAGTAAGTACTCAACATATTTTGGATGAATTGGATAAACCATTTCTCCACATTTTACATGGCCAGTGAGAGGGAGGCTGAAATGAAATCACTGGACTTAGGAAAATTATTGCTATATTTTCTAGTATAGTTTTCATAGAGGTTTTTCCACAGCATAATAAGGACAGAAATGAGGAAGAATTCACCAAGGGAGGGGTGTGTGTGTGTGTGTGTGTGTGTGTGTGTGTGTGTAGGTGCACACACATGCATGAATAGTTAAATATGTAAAACAGTGCAATTATTTGAGTATAACATTATTTTTAAGACATAGAAGTAAGACATGAGGAATAGGCTAAAAATGAGTGTGGGTGTGTGTTGAATTGTTGGAAACTCACAAAATACCGGAAGGAAACCTATCTACAACTCAAGACTCCGGAAGGTCACCACCCATTCTTCTTAATCAACAGAACAGAACTGTGTTTCCTCAGACAGGTCCCTTAGCACGCATTTGTCTTTGTAGCCTAACTGTAAACATGTCTGTAAAATGATGTCTCTTTGTAATGTAAAACCTGCTTTAAAAACTTTAGACATCCTTGAAAACATCTTTTGGTTCTTTTCTTCCTTGCCTTTCTTTTCTTTGCCCTACTTTCTATTTTCCATTACCTTTTATTCCATTTTTGTATGTCCAGCAATATGTGTGGAATGAAAAAAATTAGAAACTAAATATTCTGCATTCTTTTTTTAACATTCCTTTGCTTAACATTAAAATCAGAGGTATGAAAAGGATTTTTTAAAAAATTTCTGGTCAAAGATACTGTGCTTTTTTAGGTCAAACTATATGCCTTGTGGGGAAAAAAATTGTCTCGGAAACCTGGAATTGACATTCTAGTGAGCCTGGTTAAAAATTACTTAAAAAAATATTTATAACTGGAGGTTTCCATTTGGCAACTCAAAGCAGTTCCCAGACTGGTACTGGTTTTGTTTTGTTTTGTTTTTTTCCTCTCAGACATCTTGTTTGGACAGTGAAAAGAAGGAGATTCCTTTGGAGGCTCCAAGAATTATTTTAATGACACAATTGCAGTAAATTTCTTATAATAAAGGAACTTAGGTACATTGAAGCAGTTACACTTGATGCCAAGATTTAATATTTTAATAATTTATCTGGACTGAGGCAAGTTTATAGGCAGTTATTTGGGGGTAAAAATCAATGATTTATTAGAAGATCGTATTGGATACATATTAACGTATTTGTAGAGAAGGTTGACAAAGAAGGGATCTGAGTGAGAACGTAGCATGTTGGGGAAATGTCTCTGGGTTTCCCAGCATGCCCCAGGCTGGACTAAGTGCCTTTCTTGGTTACTAAGCATGAGTCACCATCTGCATATCTGGTACTCAGCCACTCTGGGCTTAAATGCCATTATCTTAGTTGCCTCTTCTACCAGATGGTAGATTCCTTCAAGACTGAGACTAAGAATAATAAGGTACACAATTAATCATAGCTGCCATTTGTTAAGTCCTTATTGTGTCCACACCTGTGTGCTTTTCATATCTTATTGCATTTGAAGACTCACGACAACTCTATGAAATACTATCCCATTTTACAGATGAAAACTCAAACCTTATAACCAGGGAAATAAGCATAGTGTCACACAATTATTATGTGGAAAAGCCGGAAGGCTTCCAATTCATCTCTGGGTTGAGCCAACATGGGACCTGTTGATGTAATTTTTGAATGAATGAATAAAACCATAAGGGAGCAATTTTAAGATGTTTAAAATTTTGTTACCTAGTTGAGGAAAATATAAATTCATGGGAACAGTTAGAAAACAAATATTTTTGTTGTTGTTCCTAGAGGCTATTTTAGCCTGTAAAACCCCAAAGAAGACTGTTGCCTCCAGATTAGAGTGGAAAAAACTGGGTGAGAGTGTCTCCTTTGTCTACTATCAACAGACTCTTCAAGGTAAGAAGCTATAGGCTTGAAGAGGTGAGAGCAAGAGAATGCCAAGTGCAACCAAAATCCTTTAATTGACAAATGAGATCAGGATGTGTCTTCGTAAGTGTGAGATAAAAGCAACCCTGTCTGAGACGTAAAACACATAGCCACAAAAGCAGAGAACAGAGAGAAGTGAAGCCCACTGAGTGCCTGGACTCTTCTTTCTCTTTCTCAACTCAGGCATAAAAGGGGCAAAGTGCAATTGCTTTTATTGGCTCAATAGATTAAACTTCCTTCTTTTCTGTTCCGTTCTTTTCTTTTTCTTCCTTTCTTGCCTTTCTTTTTTTCAAGGTCTTGTTCTCTTGCCCAGTCTGGGGTACTCTGGTGTGATTGTGATCACGGCTCACTGCAGCCTCCACCACTGGGGCTCAAGTTATCCTCCCATCTCAGCCCCCAAGTAGCTGGGGACTACAGGGGCACACCACCATACCCAGCTAATTTAATTATTATTATTATTATTATTTTATTTTTATTTTGGAGATGAGGTGAGGTCTCCCTATGTTGCTTAGGCTGGTCTTGAACTCCTGGGCTCAAGCCATCCTCCTGCCTCAGCCTCTAAAAGTACTGAAATTACAGGTATGAGCCACTTGCCTGGCTGTAGATAAACTCCTGAGAGAAAGGAAGAAAAAAATGGTATGGTTTGGAAATGGAAGGTTGCTTCTCAGCAGTAATGCCGTCACCCTATTTGCGTGCTTCTCAGTAATAATTCTGTCACTCTATTTCCTTTTGTCCATCTTGAAAGGTGGGCCACCACTGAGAAGCTTAGGGAGTTAAGACTTATGGGTGACTTATGACAACCACCATTATCAAGTGCTTTTTTTCTTTTCTTTCTTTTGTTATACATTTCTTTCCACTATCTACTCTTGCCATTGAATATGTGATGAACTTATAATTTAAAATACTGATAATGATGGATGAACTGTTATGATGTCCATTTGCTTCAAAATAAACCAGTGGTTAATGATAACAGATGAAACAAGATAAACCATGCATTGACGACTACTATGGCTGGTCAATGGTACACTGAGGTACAATTCACTCTATTTTTTAATCTTGTGTATGCTTGAATCTTTCCATTATAAATATTTCTAAAGCTGGAAATATAATTTTACTAGTGTAGTTAACATGTTATTATTTTAAAATACTATGCATTTCTTTAATGTTAAAGAATTAAGTGAAAAAAATTTGAAGTTAATAGAAAATTTAAAATATCCCCTCTGGTGCTTATCTGTCAAGATAAGACTACTAGCTATAACGTGATAATAGCACAGCTGTCTTCATTTGAATTTCCTGTAGTTGCCATTTCTGGCACGTGCACATTATACAAAACTTTTCATTTGAGCCACTGCACCTGCCTAATTTTTACATTTTTTTAAAGAGGTGAGATCTGGCCATGTTGCTAAGGCTAGCCTCAAACTTCTGTCCTCAAGTGATCCTCCCATTTCAGCCTTCCAATTGGCTGGGACTACAGGTGTAAGCCACCACACGAGGTGCAAAACACTATTTTAATTCTGAATGTTACTATCAAGAAATAAAATGTTTTTAAACACCTTTTCTTATGCCACAGTGTTACGTGGGCTACCACACAAAAAGTTACTGTTCCAGCCAATTAAACCAGACTCCCTGGTTTTCTGAAGATATTAATATTTTTACAAGGGAACTAGAAAGGGAATGAGGCAAGCATTTGAGTTGAATTCTTTAAAATATAATATGGGGCTGGGCGCAGTGGCTCATGCCTATAATCCCAGAACTTTGGGAGGCTGAGGTGTGCAGATCACTTAAGGCCAGGAATTCAAGACTAGCCTAATCAACGTGGTGAAACCCCATCTCTACTAAAAATACAAAAATTAGTCAGTGTGGTGGTGCACATCTGTAATCCCAGATGCTCAGGAAGCTGAGGCATGAGAATGGCTTACAGTGAGCCAAGATCACACCACTGCACTCCAGTCTGGGCAACAGAGCAAGACCCTGTCTCAAAAAAAAAAAAAAAAAAAAAAAAATATATATATATATATATATATATATATATATATGGAAGGGCCTCAGTGGCCACCTGCTGGCGGCTGCTCCTCACAGGGTCCATGCTGGAGCTGACAGCCTGCCAGGGAGTTGGGCACTGGGGATCGGGTGGGAGCACTGGGGTCAGCCATAGTCAAACATGTCAGTGCAGGCCCAGAGCAGCCCAGAAGATAAAATTAACAGTCCACTTTATAAACCAACAGTGAAACGTTAACAAACAAAGGAAAAGTTGATGACGCTCTGTTAGATGTTGCGGTTGAAAATCATCTAGATATTGATGGGTTTCCTGCACAGGAGGGAACCTTGCTTGCTCTGTCCGTCACCTCATCTTTGAAAAGCACATATTTGCGGTTAGACACAATCACTGACAAGGAGATTGATATGCTTGATCTGGCATATGGACTGACGGACAGATCAGAGTTGCATTGCCAAATCTTTTTGACAAAATCTATGGGCCATATGATTATTTGAGTATCTAATGGAGTGGCCAGTACCAGACTATCCATTGATATGGGCAAGACCACCTAAGCTAGAATAAATAGGAATACTTTCACAAAATTTTACCTGTTTTATAATTATGTCTTAATATAATTAAATGAAAATATGCATGAATGAACTTATTATTATGACCAACTTTACAATTTTAACTCATCTTGTATAACTACTGAATTTTGTAGTTCCAAAAATATGCAGTTTTTACTTCCGTTAAATTAGAAAAATGTCAGTTAAATATTAGAAAATAATTAGTATGATAATACCTTACAAATTTTGCCTTAGGTTTGTTTACCAACTTTTAGCAAAATGTTTTCACATGGCCTTGTCTGCTTACCTAGAAAGTAAATTTTAAAAAAGATTTTATTAGCCCTGTTTTATGTGAGTGAAGACAAATACCTAAAATGTCTTGTTTAGTGCCATCCAACTAATTAGAAAATCGGTACAAGAACCTGCATCTTGTTACTGTAAGTTATATGTTAGACTGAAACTGGACAAATTATGCCCATCTTACAGTAGCAATGAAATCTGAGTGCCTAGGGTCAAAAACATTTAATTGCTCAGTGAACTGCTTAACTGACAGTTATTAACCTTATACATAAATATTTCAAAATTTTGATTCAGTGAGAAGTATAATGTCAAACATAGGCATTACAACACTGCCAAAGAAGTTTGATCTTTGTTTTGACAAAGCTAGTAGAATAAACTAAAAGTAGATAAATGAAATAAAATATGAGAATATAAAGCTAAATTTTTTGAACATTTTAGAAACCACCCTTTCCAAAAGAAAAATGTAAAATAACAGCATCTATATATAATTTTTACATTTTAAACTTTTTAATAGGGAAATAAATGTTTTGGTTACTAAGTGAACTGACTAGATGAGGAAGGTATTGCACAGAAAGCTACTTGGATTATTACTAACATCAATGTCTTCTTTTCCTAAAAGGTAATTTTAAAAATCGAGCTGAGATGATAGATTTCAGTATCCGGATCAAAAATGTAACCAGAAGTGATGCGGGGAAATATCGTTGTGAAGTTAGTGCCCCATCTGAGAAAGGCCAAAACTTGGAAGAGGATACGGTCACTCTGGAAGTATTAGGTGATGTGCATGTATGTGTATGACTACGTCTCCCACCCCTTCCCCACTACCCAGCCCTGGGGCAACCAGGTACTGGTTCATGAACATGGCAGCTTAAACTGGGGGCCTCAACCAGTCAAGTTACAGAAACCATAAGCATCACCTTCCCTGCAAGCTCTTGGCAATTTCTCCCCATCCCTTCACTGGCTGCTAAAATTTTAGTAACTTGTTATCACAAAGTATCTCTTTGTTAAAGATGGAGGTAATTCCTAATGGTCTTACAATGTAAATAGGAGTACCTTTCCTGAGAGTTTATTTTTCAATAGTTTTCAGCATATATACATTTCTCCAACCATTTAAAATAGTATCATACAAGATGATAGAGAAGGAATAACATCAAAAAAAGGAGACCAGAGGGGATGAGAAATCATTTGGTAAATAAAGGAAATTGACATTGATTACATTGCTGATATGTGTTAGGCCGTTTCACATATGTAATTTTACTTCATCTTCACTAACAACCTGATTTGTACAGATAAGTAAATGGAAGTTAAATGATTTAACAAGGCCATACAGCTAGAAAGTGTCTGGACTGAGATTTAAACCCAGATGGGGTTAACTCCAAAACCAGTATGTTTAGTTTCTATATGAATCATGGATAGGCTAGGCACAGTGGCTCATGCCTGTAATGTCACCACTCTGGGAGATTGAAGTGGGAGGATCTCTTGAGGCCAGGAGATTGAGCCCAGTCTGGGCATCATAGTGAGTTCCCCATATCTCTTTAAAGAAAAATATGTATGTGTGTGTGTGTGTGTGTGTGTGTGTGTGTGTGTGTGTGTGTGTATATAGCTGAGACTACAGGTGCATGCCACGGCTGTATATATATGTGTGTGTGTGTGTGTGTGTGTGTGTATATACATATATATATGTATATATGTATATATGTATCTCAGGCAGGAGGATCACTTGAACCCAGGAGTTCTCAGCTACTTGGAAGGCTGAGACAGGAAAATCACTTAAGCCCAGGAGTTCAAGGCTGCAATGAGCTATGATTGTACCACTGTACTCCAACCTGTAAGACAGCAAGACTGTCTTGAAAAAATAAGTAAATAAAAGGAATCACTGATTATCGTAACAGCACGATGGTAGTTTGTGGAGGAACACAGTCTCGTCTCTTTCATTGGTGGTGTTTAATCTACCAAGCAAAGAGACTAAAACAGCTCCCCTTCCTTTTTCATGTTGTTCATGTTCTTTCTTAAATACTAGGGATGTACTAGTATAGGAGAAGTTTATTTCAGAAAACCTGGCAGCAGGTCCAGCCAGTTCGTTCATTTTTTAAGTGTTATGTAACAAATTCTCTCACAGTCAGCAGAATAAAAGAGCATGCATTTATTAGCTCATAGCTCTATAGAGCAGAAGTCCAACAAGAAGACTGGGTTATCTGCCCAAGGTATCACAGGATGAAATCAAGGTGTTGACAAGGCTGAGTTCTCATCTACAGCCTGTGAGGAAAATCTTTTTCCAGGCTTATTCTTGGTGTTGGCAGATTTCAGTTCCTTGTGGTTGTAGGACTGAGGTCCCTGTCACATGCCGGCTATGAGATGAGGGCCCACACTCAACTCCTAGAGGATACCACATTCCCTGTTACATGGTCCCTTCCATCTTCAATGAAAAGCATGTCAAATTTCTCAAATTCATCTTGTACTCGTTGTTTTGAGACAAGATTTCACTCTGTCTTCCAGATCACAGCTTAGTACAGCCTCAACCTCCTTGGCTTAAGCAATTCTCCCATCTCAGCCTCCCAGTTAGCTGAAACCACAGGCACACACTACTGTTTTTGTTTGTTTGTTTGTTTGTTTGTTTGTTTGGTTTTGTAGAGACACAATCTCGCTATGTTGCCCAGGCAGGTGTCAAACTCCTGGCCTCAAGCAATCCTTATGCCTTGGCTTCCCAAAGTGCTAGAATTACAGGCATGAGCCACCATGCCTCGCCTTCTTTTTGTGCCTTGAATCTCTGACTTTCCCTTCTGTAACCAGCCAGAGAAAACGCTCTGCTTTTAAAGGTTCATGTGATTAGGTCAAATCCATTCATGAAATTGCCCTCTCTTAGAGACAATGGTTTTGGGACCTTAGTTACATTTCTAATATCTTTTTTACCACAGTACCTAAATTAGTGTTTGATTGAATAACTGGAAAAAAGAAAGTGTATTTATACCAAGGACCACAATCTTGGGAGACCGACCACCTTATAATTCTGCCTACCACAGCCAATTCTGGGTTTTCCTGGATAACAGGTCACCTGATGAAGTTTGGTTTACTTTCTAATACCTGACACCAGAATAACCCTAATACCTGGAGCAGGTATCTTCTAACGGCCAGTTCTAGACAGAATGAGATTTATACTTGAGTACTGGGCCTGAAAAAAATACTCAGGTTTGGCTGGGCATGGTGGCTCATGCCTATAATTCCAGCACTGTGGGAGGCCGAAGCAGAGGATTGCTTGAGCCCAGGACTTCAAGAGCAGCATGGGCAACATAGTGAGATCCTGTCTATGTTAAAAAATATATTTTTAATTAGCTGGTTGTGGTGCCTCAAGCCTAGATTCCAGCTACTCGGGAGGTTGAGGTAGAAGGATCAATCACTTGAGCTCAGGGGTTGAGGCTTCACTAAACCGTAATCACACCACTGTACTCTGGCCTGGGTTATAGGGTGAGATTCTGTCTCAAAAAAAAAAAAAATCTATCTGCACCCACACACACTCCCTCTCAAATTTGGCTTCTTTTAAATATAATTGGTAATAAACCAATTAAAGAAAATAAACCAAAAAGAAAAAGAGATTATCTAATAAAGAATAGCTGCTATATTAGCTATGGTAATGCTTACTATTATAACAGATAAGCCCTTAACTCTCATTGAGGTACTTAATAAGTTTCTTTATCACTTAAGTAAAGCCTAAATAGTTGGGGCAGTGGTAGAAGAGCTGTATTACTTTACCTCAAGAAATCATTAGTGTAAGGTTAGCCAAGAGAAAGGAGAATAGACCCAAAGTCAGGCAATCAAGTTTTGTTTACCTGCCAGGCTGCTCCATAACAATCAGAGGTGGCAGCCCTGAGCTTGCAAGTCAAGGGTTTATATGGGTTGAGGGGGGCATAAGGGAGTTTCAGGTAACAGGCACAGAGATAGTTTGTTAACTTGCTACAGACCTACAATACATCATCCTGTGACTTTTGTGGTGGCAGTCTTTAAAAAAGAAGACAGAAACCAGGATTTTTTACAGATATGTGTCAAACAGGAATTCACAAGTATGGATGACCAACATATGTTTTCCCTGTCCTCCCGTGAGCTGCCTGGATGGCTACAATCAGGCTTTGCTTAATTGCCACATGTCTGGCAGCCTTGGTGTGCCGCCTAGGTAGGGGTTCAGGAATGCATCTGCAGAGCAATCAGAGGGATGGGGTCAGCCTGCATGGAGGGGGTTTTCTGAGACAGCACGGCTCGTCCCTAACAATGAGAGACTCAACCTAATGTAGGTCTGACATCTTCAATACGTGACTTTCCAAGGTCACTATTGTTGACACCTACTTAGTAGTGGGAGAGGGTAGAGGATATGAATGAATGGAGACTTGTGGGAGGTTTTTAATTAGTCAGACCTGGAAATGGCATTTATCACTTTTTCCCACATTCCACTGGGCAGAACTCATGTATGTGACCCCATCTGGCAACAAGAGTGCTGGGAAACATGGTCTACTCTGTGCCCATGAGAAAAGAAGATGGGTTTGTTGGACAAGTAAGTGGTTTCTATCACAGGGTCCAGTAAGCACACATCTTTACCTGGCTATTAAAACCTTTGATTGTAGAGACAAAGTCAACAGCTTTGAAAAAAACAAGCAAGCAACCTTAATTAGCTTATAAATAACCAATATCATTTGACTTCCATTGTTTAGTGGCCCCAGCAGTTCCATCGTGTGAAGTACCCTCTTCTGCTCTGACTGGAACTGTGGTAGAGCTACGATGTCAAGACAAAGAAGGGAATCCAGCTGCTGAATACACGTGGTTTAAGGATGGCATCCGTTTGCTAGAGAATCCCAGACTTGGCTCCCAAAGCACCAACAGCTCATATACAATGAATACAAAAACCGGAACTCTGGTAAGGCCATTTCAAGAATTGACTTGATAACTGTCTTGCATTTGGATTAAAAAAATATTAGAACTTAAGATGATGTTGAAGAGAACTGATACCATTGCTTGCTAAGTGGAGAGAGGCAGGGGGAGCAGGAAAGATGGCAGCACTTGCACCAAGAAGCGATGGAAAGAGCTGCTGCAGGAGACGGGAGGAGAAAACAGAGACTGACGGAGCGGAGCGTGAAGGACCAGTAAAGGCTCCTGAAGCAAAGGAACAAAGACTGCGTGTTTATCTTTTCAGAATTTCAAAAACTTCTAGAGTTGATCGTCCTATAAATGATACCAATTAAGGTTTTCCTAGACCCTAAGCTACTTTCTGGTAGTAACTCTGGCTCTTTAAAGGAAGTGTTTGTTATTTGCTGCTGCAGTGAACTCGCTTGTGACTTAGGAAAGTGCATTAACCCTTTTACCAGGGAGGCCTTCATTTATATAGGTGGTATTTCCTAGGAATTAAAAATCCCTAGACTACTGAATACTGCCATGCGCTATAAACTTTTAAAAACTGCACACTGCCTTAAGTAACAGTGCCCCAAAGCCCACTAAGCCTGATTCATGATGATGGATCAGACAGTTATCTACAGCTATCTTCTGGGCTAGAAAATTACTAAGTGTAGCTTCAATTTACAACATCAGGAAAATGCATGAAAACTTGCTTGGGGATACCCTGACCAGGTGAAAATAGTAACTGTAGTCAATCCTAGTGAATCATGGTAGGATTCCTGTGTCATTAAATATTTCCGGAACTGTAGACCACCACCAATTGATTCTCTGACTTGACAGTCTGTTACTTTAGATTGAGTCCAGATAATCTGTTTCCTCCTTTAAAATATTCTTATTGAAAGACCTTTCTAGGAATACTGATGACAATCTATGAGTAAGCTCTGTGAAGCTAATTTCATTTAAAAATAAAAAGTATTTTACTTTTTCATCTGTGATTTTTAGGAATAGAAGTGGAAGTTTGCTTGAAGCTTTCTAAAAAAAAATGCAGTCGATGTAATATTCCATGTCAGTTTAAAATCGTCTGCCTTCTAACACAGAATCACTGTGACAGCCATTATCAAAAAAATCTTAAAGGTGTGGTCATAACAATAACAATGAATTTTGTTGTTGTTGTTGTTGTTTTTTGAAACTGAGTCTCACTCTGTTGCCCGGGCTAGAGTGCACTGAGATAATCTCGGCTCACTGCAACCTCCGCCTCCTGATTCAAGCAATTATCCTGCCTCAGCCTCCAGAGTAGCTGGGACTACAGGTGCCCACCACCACGCCTGGCTAATTTTTTCATTTTTAGTAGAGACGGGATTTCTTCCTGCTGGCCAGGCTGGTCTCAAACTCCTGACCTCAAGTAATCCGCCCACCTTGGCCTCCCAAGGCGCTGGGATTACAGGCGTGAGCCACCAGACCCAGCCAATTTTAATGAATTTTGAAAGGAGGCTATAATGCTTCATTCCTTTCATCTACAAGTACACAATAATGTTTATAAACTAGATCTTCTGATAAACAGGAAAGCAAATTGCTAGTGGCTGAATAATGAGCCAGTTGGCTGTGGCTACTCCTCTACCACTGCCACGCTCTGGCCTCTCAGCAGTCAGCAGGCGCAGTCAGCAGGTCTGAGTGATTTTACACTGAGCAATTGGGCAGAAAAACCTGCTGTCACACTTTGCTATATTTACTTTTCAAATTTATTTTTTCTCAGGGCAGGTGATAAAAGCCCCAAGGCAAGTCTGAAGGGATACAGATTTGCTTTCCTCAGCTAACCTCAACCTTTGGAACAGCTTGTGATGTCAAAGGAATGCACCTGGGTTGAACCAGGATAGGTTTTTATGTGAGAAATGAACCACAAAGACTCCAGTGTATGGAAGCCAGTGACTTCCTTATAATTACCAGTTATAATGTGCTGGAAGATCATTTTGGGTTTTAGTCTAACATATTATTTATATGCAACCTTGGCCCTGAGTTCATGGTGAATATTCTAAAAGCATTCTGGCTTTGAGGAGAGTGAGAGATGATTCCATAGAGTGAAAAACAAAAAAAAGCAAACTTTCTCTCCCTCCATTTAGGAGGCTCTGAGACAATGACCCTTCAAGGTGACCAGGATTACACGCCTTTCTTCCCTCCCTCCCTCCCCTCTCTCCCTCCTCACTCCCTCCCTCCCCTCTCTCCCTCCTCACTCCCTCCCTCCTCTCTCTCCCTCCTCACTCCCTCCCTCCCCTCTCTCCCTCCTCACTCCCTCCCTCCTCTCCCTCCTCACTCCCTCCCTCCCCTCTCTCCCTCCTCACTCCCTCCCTCCTCTCTCCCTCCTCACTCCCTCCCTCCCCTCTCTCCCTCCTCACTCCCTCCCTCCTCTCTCCCTCCTCACTCCCTCCCTCCCCTCTCTCCCTCCTCACTCCCTCCCTCCCCTCTCTCCCTCCTCACTCCCTCCCTCCTCTCTCTCCCTCCTCACTCCCTCCCTCCCCTCTCTCCCTCCTCACTCCCTCCCTCCTCTCTCCCTCCTCACTCCCTCCCTCCCCTCTCTCCCTCCTCACTCCCTCCCTCCTCTCTCTCCCTCCTCACTCCCTCCCTCCTCTCTCTCCCTCCTCACTCCCTCCCTCCTCTCTCCCTCCTCACTCCCTCCCTCCTCTCTCCCTCCTCACTCCCTCCCTCCCCTCTCTCCCTCCTCACTCCCTCCCTCCTCTCTCTCCCTCCTCACTCCCTCCCTCCTCTCTCCCTCCTCACTCCCTCCCTCCCCTCTCTCCCTCCTCACTCCCTCCCTCCTCTCTCCCTCCTCACTCCCTCCCTCCCCTCTCTCCCTCCCTCCTCTCTCTCCCTCCTCACTCCCTCCCTCCTCTCTCCCTCCTCACTCCCTCCCTCCCCTCTCTCCCTCCTCACTCCCTCCCTCCTCTCTCCCTCCTCACTCCCTCCCTCCCCTCTCTCCCTCCTCACTCCCTCCCTCCTCTCTCTCCCTCCTCACTCCCTCCCTCCCCTCTCCCTCCTCACTCCCTCCCTCCCTCCTCTCTCTCCCTCCTCACTCCCTCCCTCCTCTCTCCCTCCTCACTCCCTCCCTCCCCTCTCTCCCTCTTCACTCCCTCCCTCCTCTCTCTCCCTCCTCACTCCCTCTCTCCCTCTCTTCCCTCTTTTCTCCTCTTCTTCCTTTTTGTCTGCCTTCATTCCTTCCAAATATCCTGCGAGAGGACAAAACTACTGATAAAAGTAATGAAGTCTATTATATCAGTCTTAGCTTTTGGTTGCTTTGACAGGGAAGGAAGGAGCAAGGGCTGGACTTTATCTTTTCAGAATTTAAAAAAATTCTAGAATTGACAGAGTTGACAATCCTATAAACTGATACCAAGTACGATTTTGCTAGGCCCTAAGCTACCTCCTGGTAGTAACTGGCTCTTTAAAGGAAGTGTTTCTCCTTGGCTGCTGCAGTGAACTCACTTGTGACTTAGGGAAGTAAATTAACCCTTTTACCAGGGAAGCCTGCCTTTCATTTATAAATCATTTATAAATCATGTTTCCTAGGATTTAGAAATACCTAGATTACTTAGTACGACCATGTGTCACGAACTTTAAAAAATGCTTACTGCCTTCCTAACTACTGCTTTCATAGTTAAAAAAAAAAAAAAAAAAAAAAAGGGAACTTCCCTGTATGTATTTTGTCTTTGTTGTTCTCTGTCAAATGAAGCAAAAGTCTATGGCAGGTGTCCCCAACTTTTTACACAGGAGGCCAGTTCACTGTCCCTCAGACCGATGGAGGGCCGCCACATACTGTGCTCCTCTCACTGACCACCAATGAAAGAGGTACCCCTTCCTGAAGTGTGGCGGGGCCGGATAAATGGCCTCAGGGGACCGCATGTGGCCAGTTTGGGGATGCCTGGGACTCTAGCTTAAACTCTAGTCATGGCAGATTTTTAAATTCATAGTAAAGATATAAAGTCTCACATTTTTAAAAAGAAAAGCCAAACTTAATGCTAAAATTCAAGGGACAGGGTTATTTAAAAAGTCTACTTATAGATCTGTGGCTTAATATATATATATATATTTTTCCATCCACAAATAGCAATTTAATACTGTTTCCAAACTGGACACTGGAGAATATTCCTGTGAGGCCCGCAATTCTGTTGGATATCGCAGGTGTCCTGGGAAACGCATGCAAGTAGGTAAGTGAAGTATCAAGAGGAACAAATGGTTTGCAATTAGACTGAGAAGTGCTGCATTTGAGGGTAGAAGGAGGAAGGAGTAGGAAATGTCTGAGTGACCTGAAGGATAAACAGGAAGGAACGTTTAAAATTAATGTGCTATGATGTGTTGCAAAGAAGCAAAGATGCTGTTTTTAAGCCATCTCCCAAATAAGCCAAAAATACTTAGTATTATATTTAACCACCTTTTTTTAGTTTTTTAAATAATTGTTTTTAAAATATAGTCTTCTGAGTAATCTTTCTTTCAAATAAAGCTAAGTATCTTCTTATAAATTGTTGAAGGTCCAGAAGTTTGAATTTCTAATTTTTTAAAAAAATTCAGGAATGTATATCATTGATATTAGACACCAAATTAATTCAGGTATTAACATTTAGAGTCAACTTTGCAGTTATTTAAGTAATCAGAAAGTATCTTTTTCAATGCTGCTTTTGAAATTATTTTAAAAATTCATCAGAACATCTTTAAAACTTAAGATATTATTTTCTCATTTCATTCATTTACATATGTTCTAATGGTTTTTGGTTTTTCAGTTTTCTTTTTGTTTTTTTTTTTGTTTTTTTTTGAGACAGAGTCGTGGTCTGTCACCCAGGCTGGAGTGCAGTGGTGCAATCTTGGCTCACCGAAACCTCTGCCTCCTGGGTTCAAGCAATTCTCTTGCCTCAGCTTCCCTAGTAGCTGAGATTACAGGCGCACCCACCACACCCAGCTAATTTTTGAATATTTAGTACTTGTACTTAGAAAGAGTAGATATGTAAGAATCATGTTCAAATTAAACTGGTCCTAGTGGAAAAACAAACTTTTAAATTTTATTCATTTTGTACTCATTATGTGCTAAGAAAAAGTAACTAATACATCAAAATCATGACTTCCTAGATAAAATTTCTTAAGAGAAGGCAAAGGTAGACATTTAAATTAAACAGGACCATTTAAATGAAAGGGAAAAGAAACAGAAATAGTGCTGGTAGTACAAGGTAATGGTAAAAACAATGAAGACAGGCCAGGCGCAGTGGCTCACGCCTGTAATCCCAGCACTCTGGGAGGCTGAGGTGGGTGGATCACCTGAAGTCGGGAGTTCAAGACCAGCCTGACCAACATGGAGGAAACCCCATGTCTACTAAAAATATAAAATTAGCCAGGCATGGTGGCACATGACTGTCATCCCAGCCACTCAGGAGACTGAGCCAGGAAAATCCCTTGAACCGGGAGGCGGAGGTTGCAGTGAGCCAAGATCACACCACTGCACTCTAGCCTGGGCAAAAAGAGCGAGAAACTCCATCTCGAAAAAGAAAAAAGAAAACATTTTTTCAAAGTGCAGTAAAGCATAGATTGGTTGCTTTTGGCTGCCTCACTGTCAGACTCCAACAGACTGCACTTACTCTGAGCTTTTCAGCAGTTTGGTTCCTTTTCTTTCAGCCAGAAAAATTGTGCCTTCCTTTTATAGAGGCTTTTTTTTTTTTTTTTTTTTTTTTCCAAAAAAACCTCATGAATTATTTTCATACTTTATGTTACATTTTCTCTTCACTGAGGCATAATATGGCTGTATGACTTACTCAACAATCATAGGGAACAGCGAACAGGATGTAAGAGGTTAACTTACTCCTGAACTATTGTCTTCTGTCTCCCATTGCATTGAAGAAAAAGAACAGAAAATTCATACCACGACTTACAGGACAAGACAATTTTTGGTCAGGATTTGCCTTTAGGGTGAATCCTTCATAGATGTCAAATTCATTGACAAACTACATGAAACTTTTTTGGTCAAGTAATAGCCCTTACTTCGAATGTTTCATAGATGTCAAATTTATTGACTACTGCTACCAAGTAAATAGAAGGCACATTTTGGTTCTCAGGAATTTTACTTACTGATTTGACTTTGATTTGATTATGATTACTGTAAATTTTTTCTCTCTCTGCTCTTTTTTAATCAAAGCAAATAAAAAGCTCAATACCCAAGCAAACTTGAGTTTATACCAAGCAATAATTAAGGTTTTCTACTCTGGTCAAATTACTTAACCTTTCAAAAGATGTATCATGTATCCTTTTTTAAAAATAATCAATTAATGTTTTGGAGGTATTTAATAAAACTAATAACATACTTGGCATAAGGAAAGAATTTTGAGACCAGAAGTTTTTTATGATAAGAAGATTCCCTTAAACAATATCTCTAAAAAGATCTTTTCCAAAATGTACATTGCTTTAAAATATTAAAAATTACTGTTGAGAAAAATGTTACCTAATATTTTCTCTAGGTTATGTAATCATATGCTAATTAAAACTTGCTTTTTATTTTGTTTATTTTATTTTATTTTTTGAGATGGAGTCTCGCTATGTTTCCTAGGCTGGAGTGCAGTAGCGTAATCTCAGCTCACCACAACCTCCATCTTCCAGGTTCAAGTGATTCTCCTCTTTCAGCCTCCTGAGTAGCCAGGATTACAGGGGTGTGCCACCACACCAACTAATTTTTGTATTTTTAGTAGAGGTGGGATTTCACCTTGTTGGTCAGGCTGGTCTCAAACCCCAACCTCATGATCCACCTGCCTTGCCTTTAAAATGGGAATTCTTTAAAGAATTGCTCCTTTAATAAATACATGAAAAGTATCTAAATGGCAGAAGAGTGTGGCTCATGAAATCCTCATGGAAAACATGGAGAAATATGGTCCAAACAATGTTTTAGTGGATCCACACATAGTTGAGTCCCATGCTCAGAGAATGTTAATAAATTGTGTTGTATGACAGGAGGTGTCTACTAGCCTGTTATATAGTTCTTTCCTAAACAAAGTCACTTTCATCATGTTATTAATGACTTGAATGAGAGTATTTTTAATAAAATTCTCAATTTGCAGAAATGTTAAGCTTGGAAGGTTAGTAAGTAATTCTTGAGCAACAGAATCAATCTGGGGAGAAGAAAAAAAACCTCGCAAGTAGTTATTTCCAAACTTGGGTCCAAAAAAATCCAGTTGCATTACACACATTAGAGGGTGGATTCCTTCATAGCCATAGGAAAAGCCTCAGGGAATTTAATTCATTTTTAATAAATGGGATGACAGTTTAGTTGCATATATATATGCGGCTGTCTATATACACATATACAGACACACACACATATAATTCAAGAAGGAAGGTATTTCTTACACTTAGTTTTACAGAATAACAATGACATGTGCTCTTTTAAAGAGACAGTCTCACTCTGTCACCTAGACTGCAGAGAAGTAGTGCAATCATAGTTCACTATACTCTCAAACTCCTAGGCTCAAGTGATCCTCCAGCCTCAGCCTCCTGAGTAGCTGGGACGCCAGGAATGCACCACCATACATTTATGGCTAATTTGTTTTTATTTTTATTTTTTAGAGATGGGTTCTTGCTATGTTGCCTAGGCTGGTCTCAAATTCCTGGCCTCAAGCAGTCCTCCTACCTCAGCCTCCTGGGTAGCTGGGATTACAGGCATAAGCCAACATGCCGGGCACCACATGCTTTCTTTGATACTAAGCTTTTCGTTATTTGCGAAATTGACACAGATGATAATGTAGGAGAATTTTAAGTAAGATACGGGGTAGGGAGTGGCAGTAGAATACTTGAACTCATTGAACTTCAAAGATTGCTTCCAGTCTGATATTTAATCCTGTGAATTATTACACATCTCCAAAGGAATGCAAAAGAATACCGTACATTTTATTTTTTTAATCTGAGAAGTTTCTAAAGTTTAGTATTTTTCCAAAGCTTAAGTTCAATTTTGAACCATGTGTTAGAAGTGAGTTAGTTGAACAGGCTTCAAAATTGTTAAAGTATGCTCTATGGTATAGCTGCAAAGGGGACCTGTTTTTGAACCTTTTCAATTTAATGACTGCATCTGTTTGTGTAATCCACATAAATGTATGCATGGTTTGTTTTACGTTCCAGATGATCTCAACGTAAGTGGCATCATAGCAGCTGTAGTAGTTGTGGTCTTAGTGATTTCCGTTTGTGGCCTTGGTGTGTGCTATGCTCAGAGAAAAGGCTACTTTTCAAGTAAGTGAATTTCACCCTTATTTGGCAGATAACTTTCTGTGGCTATGGAGTTTATGTATGAGAACTGTTTCTCCCAGAAACGTTTGTTTGTTTCTGAGACAGAGTCTTGTTCTGTTGCCCAGGCTGGAGTACAGTGGCAAAATCTCTGCTCAGTGCAACCTCCACCTCCCAGTTTCAAGTGATTCTCATGTCTCAGCCTCCCAGGTAGCTGGGATTACAAGTGTGCACCAACACGCCCAGCTCATTTTTGTATTTTTAGTAGAGATGGGGGTTTTGCTATGTTGACCAGGCTGGTCTTGAACTCCTACCCTCAAGCGATCTGCCTGCCTTGGCCTCCCAAAGTGCTAGGATTACAGGGGTGAGCTAATGCACCCGGCCCTCTCCTAGGAAGTTCTAATAAACTCTGGAGAATATTGTTCATTTATTTTCTGCTATAGAAAATGTTCAGGATGACATGCAGGTGGCTTATGAAACACCTTGGCAAACCTAGGAAGTAAAGGCAGAACTGCCTAGTTACAAAATTCCAGAAAGCACCACAGAATATGCAAGAGGCATCCTTGGAGTGGTGCAGTGCAGCGAGACAGAGTATTCCATGTGAATCGATATTTATAGCATCTTGGTACGTTTTTAAGATATTTTTATTTTAAGTTAGGAATTGTACATCTCAAGATATAAGTTGATTTCTAATTTTACAAGAAATTTCATTGAAATAAATAAGTGAAATATTTTATCAGTGTAGAACAGTGAAATGTTGAATGTTAAATTTAGGACAACTGTAATTAAAAGCGACTTAATTGTTCAGCCAGGTGTGGTGTGGTGGCTCATGCCTATAATCCTACCACTTTGGGAGGCCAAGGCGGGTGGATCACTTGAGGTCAGGAATTCCAGACCAGCCTGGCCAATATGGTAAAATCCTGTCTCTACTAAAAATACAAAAATTAGCGAGGATTGGTGGCATGTACCTGTAGTCCCAGCTACTCAGGAGGCTGAGGCAGGAGGATCACTTGAACCTGGGAGGTGGAGGTTGCAGTGAGCCGAGATCGCACCACACCACGCCAGCCTGGGTAATGAACAGACTCCATCTCAAAAAAAAAAAAAAAAAAGAGAGAGAATTGTTCAATCAAAACTAGAAACCTATTATATTTATGAGAGCTACTTCTGTGCACAGTATTTAGTTCTTCAAGTTTAGACCTCTTGTCACTTCACACCTCCATTTGATGATGTAATAGGTTTGACGTAAATGGGTAAGATTGAAAAATGTTTTATTCTCTTAATGCATTTCTTCACTCCCTCTTTAATCTTATTTGAGAGCCCAGAAGCTACAGCACTCCATCAGGTCCACTGGCAATAGTGTATAAAATAGAATTTTTAATTGAATTCTAAATAAATTTAGAGCATATACAAGTTCTAGACTCATTGTTTTCCAATGAACATTAATTTTGGAATTTAGATTTTTAAATAATTTTTTTTTTGAGGCAGAGTCTCACTCTGTGACCCATGCTGAGTGCAGTGGTGTGATCATGGTCACTGCAGCCTTGACTTTATGGGCTCAAATGATCCTCCCACCTCAGCCTTCTCAAGTAGCTGGGGCTACAGGCACATACCACCAAGCCTGGCTAATTTTCTTTTACTTTTTTGTAGAGACAGGTTCTTGCTCTGTTGTTCAGGCTGGTATCAAACTCTTGGGCTCAAGCAATCCTTCCACCTCAGCCTCCCAAAATGCTAGTATTACGGGTGTGAGCCACCACTCCTGGCCTTAAAATTTTTTATATAACAAAATAAAACTAAATATAAAATGTGCTTCTGATAATACCTACAACTATGTTTAATGTCTCATAAAATGTTTCAGTGGACATGGATTCAAAGAGATGCCCTATAATTAAGAATAACTGGGCTGATGTAGTAGCTCACACTTGCAATCCCAATACTCTGGGAGGCCAAGGCGGGAGGATCACTTGAACCCAGGACTTCAAGACCAGCCTGGTCAACATAGAGAGACCCTGTCTTCACAAAAAATCAAAAATTAGCCAGACATAGTTACACACGCCTTTAGTCCCAGCTACTCAGGAGGCTAAGGTAGGGGAATCGCTTGAGCCCACAAGGTGGAGGCTGCAGTCAGATGTAATCTCACCACTGCATTCCAAGCTGGATAACAGGGGAAGACACTGATCAAACAAACAAAAAGAACTGCTCTGTCAATTAATACTTGCTCAGTACTTCAATAGTCCACTGTAATGTAACTTTATGAATGGAATATAGCTGTGTCCCCCTGCTGGTCAACAGTGAAAATACAGACAAATAAGATTACGGTACTCTAAAAATTACTCTTGTCATCTTTATCTATACTTGAAAAGAATACTGGTCTGAATTTTTAAATGAGGAGTTAGTGAACAAATTTTTATTAAAATACTGAATTAATTAAAAGTTGGCTTGAATATTAGGAGTGTTAAAAAGAGAGTAACACCTAAGAGTGTTACTCTCTTTTTCATCTGGCAGAAAGATCTATCCAAGAGAATCATATTGTTGAATTTACGTTTAGGACAAAGGTTGGCAAACTACTACCTGTGGACCACATCTGCCCTTCCCACCTATTTCTTTATGGCCTATGAACAAAAATGGCTTTACAGATGAATATTCGCAATCTATTCGATGATAGAGACTACTGAACCCCAATTAAGAGAAATGATGTCTTCCTCCAGAAAATTCCATTTTTCTAACTAGTAGGCCTGTATTTGAAGACTTTTATTTTTATTGGTGTTTTTTGTTTTGTTTCTGAGACAGAGCCTTGATCTGTCACCCAGGCTGGAGTACAGTAGCACAATCTCGGCTCACTGCAACCTCTGCCACCTGAGTTCAAGCTATTCTCCTGCCTCAGCCTCCTGAGTAGCTGGGATTACAGGCACCACTACACCCAGCTCATTTTTGTATTTTTAGTAGAGACGGAGTTTCAGCATCTTGGCCAGGCTGGTCTTGAACTCCTGATCTCATGATCTACCCATCTTGGCCTCCTAAAGTGCTGGGATTACAGGTGTGAGCCACCACACTTGGCCTTATATTTTTTATTTTATCCATAAAAATTTTTGGAAATTTGTTTGCTCTCTTGTTACATAAGTACCTACCTAGTATCCTCTTGGCTCCAAAGCCTAAAATGTTTGCTGTATGACTCTTTACCAAATAAGTTTGCCAACACTTAATTTAGAAGGTATAAATATCAGCAAGTGAAGATTAAAATGAATAAGAATAAATTAAACCCAAACTCATTTTTATATGAATCTGTATCATACCGTAATAACCCTTGCATTAATGATATATACTTATTCTCTTGTAGAAGAAGCCTCCTTCCAGTAAGTATACTTTCTTACAATGCATGTCTTTCCCCTATGTCAACTAATTTTCTATTAATCATCTGTTTAAAGTCAAAAGACAGAAGTTGGGCTATTTGTGTAGGTTTACTCTACCAAGAAGTTACTCAACTTTATCAAGAAATACATCTGTATTAGGCTGTTCTTGCATTGCTATAAGGAAATACCCGAGACTGGGTAATTTATTTTTAAAAGAGGTTTAATTGGCCCACAGTTCTGCAAGCTGTACAAGCCTGGCACCAACACTGCTTGGCTTTTGGGGAGACCTCAGGAAGCTTTTACTCATGGCTGAAGGCTAAGAGGGGCCGGCACATCACATGGCAAAAGCAGAAGCAAGGTTGGGGAGGTGCCGCATGTTTAAACCACCAGATCTCAAGAAAACTCAGTCGCTATTCTGAGGACAGGGTCAAGGGGGCGGTACTAAACCATTTGTGAGAAATCTACCTCCATGATCTAACCACCTCCCACCAGGCCCCACCTCCCTCCAAAACTGGGAATTACAATTCAACCTAAGATTTGGGTGAGGCAAATATGCAGACTCTACCAACAACCCACTTCACATTTCATACCTACTTGTAAATGATAGTGCAGAGAGAAGGATGATTATCCACATGAGAATATGATCACTAATTTGATTTCATAGGCATTTCCATAAGCTACTTTAAATAAAACATATTTACTGTATTTTGCCAAATTGAAAATTTTCAAATAAAACTTCTTTTTTTTTTTTTTTTTTTTTTTTTTTAAAGACAGAGTGTCACTCTGTCACCCAGGCTGGAGTCCAGTAGTGTGAGCTCCACTCACTGCAACCTCCGCCTCCCGGGTTCAAGTAATTAATTGTCTGACTCAGCCTCCCGAGTATCTGGGATTACAGGTGCCTGCCACCATGCCCGGCTAATCTTTGGTATTTTTAGTATAGACAGGGTTTCACCATCTTGGCCAGGCTGGTCTTGAACTCCTGACCTCGTGATCTACCCACCACAGCCTACCAAAATGCAGGATTACAGGCGTAAGCCACCACACTCAGCTAACAGTCATTTTTTAATATTAATTGAATACCAATTTCATGCCTAACACTGTTGTAGGGACTGGGGATACAGCAGTGAACAGGCCAAAAACCCCAAAAAACTCTGCCTTATGGAGCTTACAGTCTAGTGAAAAAAGGCAGAGAGTAAACAGATAATATTATATAGTGTATTAGACAGGGATAAATATTATGGAGAAAAATAAAAGAAATAAGAGAATATAGAATACAAAGGGTAGGAGTGGAGGTTGTAATTTCAAATAGGATGGTCAAGAGTGATCTCACTAATAAGTGATTTTTGAGAAAGTCCTGAAGAGGGTGAGGAAGCAAGTCATGCAAATAACCATGAGAAGAGCGTTCGGGCAAAGGGGAGAGAGCAAACGGAAAGATCCTGAGGCCAGGCAAGCCTAGAGTATCTGAGGGATGTCAGCAGGACCAGGGTGGCTGGAACAGAGTGAGAGAAACAGAGGAAATGAGTGTACAAAAGTAGTGGGGGGCAGATTGTATGGAGTCCCTTTTAGGCAGTTGTGAGGATTCTGGCTCTGTTTCTGAGTAAGATAGATAGAAAGTCACTGAAGGGCTTTCAGCAGAGGAGTGGTGTCATCTTACTCAGTTCTTCAAAACTCACAGTGGCATCTCTGTTAATAATAAACCATGAGATGACAAAAGGTGGAAGCAGGGAGATCAGTTAGGAAATTGCACTAAGTGAGGCAAGAGAAATGGCGGCTGGTACCAAAGCAGTAGTGTTGGAGATGCTGAGAAGTAATAGTGTTTTGGACATAATGTTCTAATCACTTGCTGATCTGTTGGATGTGGGCTGTGAGAGAAACAAAGAAATCGAAGATGGCTTCAAGGTTATGAGGATGAAGTTACCATTTACGGAAGTGTGGAAGATTTCAGGAGAGAGTTTGGGAGCGGTGGTGGGGACAAGTGGAGACGTTGAAATGTTTGGAATTTTAATATTTGATGTGCTTATTTGATTCTAAGTAGAGGTAATCAGTAAGTAACTGAATATTCAAAATCTAGAGTTTGGGGAAATAACTGGAAATAGAATTATAGAGTCATTGATGCATGAAATATGGATGAGGCCCCCCAGAGCCCTGCAGTTTGTGTGTATTTGTATTATGACCGTCCTGCTTGTATGTATGAATATAGCGGACCCAACTCTGGCTCTATGACATAGAGAGAAGATGACAAACGATCCGCAGCCGTGGCAGCTGGGAGTAGAGAAGATACACTGAAGCCATGGCGTCAGATGGTTTGCCATCTCCTCATTCCTTTGAAGAATCAGCTGCTATTCACTTCCTTTTCCCTGATTTCTGGCTCATCCCTGGTCTCTCAGCCTCATAAGATCCTAATACAGGTCTAGGTTGAAGTTCAAATTATCAAGAACTAGTAGTAACAAAGCCAGTGAGTTCAGAAGGGCAGCGTAGCCTGAAAGTGTTGCTGCTTCCCACCCCTAACCTCCAGGTGTTTGTGAGGACTTCTGCTTTTACTGAGTGACATAGAAATTGGAAGGTTTTGAGCAGAGGGGAAGACATCATCTTATGTAAGTGGGAAGGGGCACATTGCTGCAGTGAGGGAGGTTATTCTTCCATCAATATCTCTAGTAAATCAAGTAGTAATCTGCTGGGGAATAACTTCATTCCTAGACGTATGTCCTCACATTCATTAAATCTGTGGCCTTCAAAATATGTTGAATGACGAAATGGATGACTGGAACCTTAGTCACCCTGTAAAACTTTCTTTCCATGGAAAAGTAAATACATTTTGAGATTATAATAGTCAAGCTTTCAAAATGTTAAATGTTAATTAAATGTTAATATATTAATCTAAAAGTTAATTAAATCTCTGGTTTGTGTATTCCACACAAATCTTTAGTATGCTAGTCCGAGGCTACATTTATGTGCAGAAGGCTTCACAAACACTGATGTTTTATTGCATGACTTTCTCTGTGAATACTGTCTGTAAATATAAGAAATTCAGTAATAACTGTTATCTTTTCTTCTACATGGCTAAGATAAATGTTCATGTTCTGCTGGAAATGTATGGAAGTAAAATTAACTAAAAGAGCATATGTGTTCCAGATGAAAGTGGTAATATAGTAAATATTGTCCTTTATATTCCACAAACAGGAAGAGTAATTCTTCATCTAAAGCCACGACAATGAGTGAAAATGTGAGTATTTTTAAAGCATATTTATAGAATGAATGTGTTTAGGGAATAGGGCAGGGAAATGAAGTAATTATATGGACTTTGTGAATTTTCACTTTTGGTACACTTTGCACTAGTGTCTATCACTGGCATTTAAAAGAAGCTAAGTAAATGTTAGTTTCTTTACCCTGTCTGGGAAAGCGTGATAGAGATACCTGGCATTTCCAGTTGCAGAAGTGATATTTAATCATTTCATTATTTGTTTCATGGTATTTTCTATATAGCCTTCCTTATTAGCATCACTAGTTATCAGCTCTCTTTGAAAGATGAGTAAATTCAAACAGGTTCTTACAGGATAACAGTGGTGGAGCTGGGACCCAGGCCCTTTTCTTCCCTGTAGTTTGACCAAGCAGAGTGTTTCCAGCAGATCTGTGGTTCTAGGACTTGCCTTTGGTTCTCTGAAGCACTTGGAAAATTTTAGGGCTAGGCAATGTCTTAGTCATTTGGGCTGCTATAACAAAAATACCATACACTGGGAAATTTACAAACAACAAATTTATTTTATGTTTTGGAGGCCGGGAAGTCCACAGTCAAGGTGCCAGTAGATTCAGTGTCTACTTCCTGCTGTGTCCTCACATAGTAGCAGGGGCAAAACAAGTACCCTCTGGCCTCTTTTATAAGAGCACTAGTTCCATTCATGAAGGTTCTCCCCTCATCATCTAATCACTTCCTGAAGGCCCACCTCTTTTTTTTTTTAATTAGATTTTTTTTTTTTTTTAAGATGGGGTTTCACCATGTTGGTTGGGCTGGTCTTAAACTCCCGACCTCAGGTCAATCCACCTGCCTTGGCCTCCAAAGTGCTTGGATTACAGGAGTGAGCCACCATGCCCGGCCAAGGCCCCACCTCTTAATGTTACTGCATTAGGGATTAGGTTTCAACATGGGAATTCTGGGGGACACAAACACTTCAGACCAGAGCACACACTATCCTCTGTTATAACCGAAAGGAACATTTCAGAAGTGTTTGAAAAGACATGGTAATTAACCAACTCAGAGGGTTTAAGGAACATCATTTAAGACTTTTGGACCCTTTGTAAACATTACATTGACACAGTAAATACCATCATTGCTCAGATTTTGTATGAGCATTGGAAGGACATTCAGCCCTCTGGATGATTTTCTCAGGAATATAGTGGGTTGGGCTGGGGGGAGTTCCTATGGTTTTAGAGGCCTAAGTCATTTCTTGAGAAACAAAGGATGGGTTCTCAGAAACACTTTACTCATCTATGGCAGGAATTTTCTGACTTCCTCTTACTAGTCTGGGGTGGTAGGGCAGGGAGCCTGGACATCAGTATTTTAAATGCTTAAGTGATTTTAATGGGTAGTAGTGTTTAACACTCACCCACTTTAAAATTTTGATTTTTAAAAATTACCTGTTTCAGAAACTACTACAAAAGCCACCTTATTTTATGGTTTACTACACTGAAAGCATAGTGACATTTAATTAGGGGACAAGAAACTTCGTTCCTACAATTTTTATTCCTACAATGTATGGAACGTCTTTGTTCCTTAAATTTAGAGGAAGTAATCTTAGAGTGTGGAACTGAATACTCCCATCCCTCCAAACAGTATAAAGCACTTTGAGGCTAAACTGAATCAACAAAAGCCATTCGTTTTTTTTTTCTTTGTCTTCCTCTCAGTTGCCCTTGTCAGCTAAGAGCTAGAGTCCCCTCCAGTTCTCTTGTGCCCTACCACAGGGTTTCTCATCCTCAGCACTACTGACACTTTGGGCCATGACATTCTTTGGTGTAAGGTGCTGTTCTGTACATCATAGGCATCCTATGATGCCTGGCCTCCAACACTGGATGCCGGGAGCATCCTCCTAACAGGATTTCTCTGGCTCTGCCTTCCAGTCCTACCTCTTTACTCTCTGAGCCAAGCTTCAGAGTACCTTGTCTGCTAGGAGTTAGTTCATTAGTTCCCTATGAAACAGGTTGAATTAAATATATACTGGTTTGTACCTATAAAGTTTTTATAATATAGCTTGATATTCTGAAGATTGTGTTTCTTTAAATATGAATTAATATATTTATACTTGGTTTTTCTTTCTTTTCCTAGGATTTCAAGCACACAAAATCCTTTATAATTTAGACTCCACTTTTGAGATACACCAAAACCATGGTTGTTACACAAGTTATTAAACTATTATAAAACTCTTGCTTTGTCTGACATTTGCAAAGAGGTACATGAGGAAGTGAAATTGGTATTTCATTATAATTTTTATGACTAGTAACTCACCTGAACTTGTTTTAAACAAATAGTTCTGTCCACACCTAAAATACGGTCTGGAATCTTGTATCTGGACTAAGTTAAAAGAATCAAAATACTTCGTAATATTCTGGGCTTCAGGTAATGTTAACTATATCCTAACTTCTAGAGAACGTCACTAAAATGTAACATACTGATGGTGAAGTTAATCCACAGATCATGAAAATATAAATCAGACTCTGCAGGAGAGTCTGATTTAGGGGGCCCAATAAATCTCTGACAGATGCAAAAGGAACCTCTGGTCTCATTTCTGCCAGAATCCTCTTCTCTCCCCCAATATCATTTTTATTTAGTATCATCATTATTCCGATGCTCATTCATCACTAACATGTCCACAGAAGAGAGGGAGTGGAATGGGTCTTAGGCCTAAGATTCGCACTTTGTGTTTACTTTCATTGCTGAGAACTAAAAGCAACATCAAAAGAAATCTCAAATGGCTGGAGCTCACAGGTGTGCACCATAGGATTTGCCTGGTGTGTGTCACTGATTTCTTCATTAATTCTGATGGTCAAACACAAACCCAAGTGGCTTATTTCACCCCAGTGCTGCTTGCCACTGCTTCCTTCTCCTAAGATTCCTTTGAAGAGGATCAGTGACCTTGGCAATAGAACTCTCCACTGAAGCCTACACTAGTTTGGAAGTACCTTTCCCTGCATGAGTGGTGACTTCACATCTTTCTGTCTCTAAAAATTGTGCAGTGAAATTCCGGGCCAAGTCCCTTGCTCAGGGGTTGCCAATTCTGCTTTTGGACAAGGAGGAATGTGGAGGGAAGAAATGATTGTCTACAAGGAAAATGAGATGAAAAAGCTCAGTGACTCCGTGCATCTGGCACCCATCTTGATACATAGTGGGCACACAAGAAATGGCTCAAATGAAAAGTGGGGCTAATGTGGGTTTCTCAACTGCTTAACCGCAGAAGCCTCCAGCTACTATTACAATGTAAAAACGCCAATGATCCATTTATCACAGCAATTAGGCTATGTTAAAAATACTGCATTGATACTGAAAACAAAATATGGCCAGGGCATGTCCTGTTCTGAGGAAACCTGGATAAAAACATCACTTGCTACCTTTGACAACTGTGAACATGGTTAACCTTCTTTCAAGAGTTCATTCTTTCTACCCAATCGGCAAAGCAAATCCCCAGGATTCACCTAACAAATGGATTAAGCACCTAAGAAACAGATTAGGCACTGAATGCCTAGCATGTGCCTGGACATCAGGCCACTGGGAAGATGTCTCTGACTCTAATGCCCTTTGACTTGTCTGTGACATTCTATGTCTGTCACCAGATCCCTTCCTGGAGGTTGGCCTTTTGTAACATGGCTCTGCCCTCAGAATCAAATTGTCACAAGTCAGGGAGTGGCAAACATTTTCTGTACAGAGAGAGAAAGTAGATATTTTAAGTTATAAGGTCTCTGTTAACAACTACTTGACTCTGCCATTGTAGCACAAAGGCAGCCATAGACAAAATAAGCAATTGATCATGTCTGTGTTCCAATAAAACCTTATTTTCAAAAACAGCAGGCACAGACAAGATTTGGCCCACAGGCATAGATTCACAACTCGTCGTGATGAAGGACAGAAAAAAAAAAACACCTGTCTATAAGCTTTTGTAAGAAATCAGGCTAAATGGTACCTACGTTTTAGTTGGAAGATTTCTTTGGTTTGAGGAATCCTTTCCTCTTTCATTGGCATGCCAAGAGGATAGACGACTCTGAAAGACATCTCCAGACATATCTGTCATCACACAAGATCAACTTCTTCCGGTTTAAATGACACAAATCCATATTGTGGGGGGAAAATATGTAGTGCCTTAGCTTCACTAACAGCTGAAAAACGTATTTCTAAGACCTCAAAGGCTAGAGGATTCATTTTATGCAGTATGAACATCTAACACTCTCTTTGTGTCAAATATATACTGTACCTTAACTTAAACTATTGTAATAGCTAGGTTAAAAAGTCCTTGTATAAAGAATGCTTTCTCCCACACAAAGGGCACAGTATTGAGCACTAATTTCCTAATATAAAGTATATACACCTATATCTCTCTCTATATATATATATCTGTGGGTCACTGGTGTCCAGACTTGTATTTCCATTTGCATTTACTTGAGAAACTTGAATACTAACAATTGGTAAAATCCCATTGTAATTCTTAGAGTATTTTGACTTTTATTTTCCTGCAGTGAATTGTGTTGTATAAAGATTAGGGTTTTAGAATCTTTATTAGCAAGCTTTATTTTGTTTACATTATTATTGTTGCTATTGTAACTAGATTTAATTTCTTTTTAGTTGGGGGTTTGACCTAAATAAATCTGGACTGATTGATTGTTTTTCAATACAACTTTGCAAAGAGCTTCCTTCATCCACAGGTGGGTTTGTTTGATTAAAGTCTATCCTGATAAAGATAGCTGAACTTGTTAAACTTTTTAGCCCCATATAACAGTGCAGGAAAGAGTCACCCACCTATTGTTATTCAAAAAACCCAGGAAACTACATCCTCTTCTTACCTTCTGTAGCTACAAGGCTAGCTGCTCATTAGCTGCTTAAAATTAGAATCTCATCATCTCTGTTTGGATGGCTGCCAACTTCTCAAATGCTGAGCAAAATGCTCTGAAAATAAAAAGGAAAAACTATTTATTGAACACTTTATATATGTCAGCGGTGGGGATGGATGGGGTGAGGATGTATAAAATCTCATTCATCTCAACAATGCTATAAAGTGGGTAAGGTCATCAATTTGCAGATGAGGCAACAGACTGAGTTAATGACTTGCCTAGTTCATGGAGCTGAGGAGTGAGGAATCAGGATCTGTGAGGACCCAGATCAGTCTGATCCAGGATGTTTCATTCACCATGTTTTTCTCTACCCCTAGAATTACTTCCTTTTAAACTCTCTGTTGCTGTTGTTGAGATGGAGTTTTGCTCTGTCACCAAGGTTGGAGTGCAGTGGCACGATCACAGCTCACAGCTAATTGTTACTTTATTGTATTTTATTTCTATAGAGCAGCGTCTTGCTATGGTGCCAGGCTAGTCTCAAAGTCCTGGGCTCAAACACTCCTCCCTTTTTGGCCTTGGAAACATGCTGGGCATGAGCCCACTCCTTTTAAATACTTGTGTTCTGCTGTCACATGTTCCCTTCATCCTCAGTTATCTCTGGTCACTACATGGCCTTCCTAGTCTCACAGCCAGGCAAAATATCTTTTTGTCATGCCTTCCCCCCAACCTGGTCTAAATATCACAGTGGACCATTTCATTATCATCCACTCTCCTCTCACTCTCCAAAGATGCCCAAATCTCTAATATTATCTTGGAAAATATTGAGGCTAACAAGGATGAATGCATTTAAATCCTATGACTACCACTGCTCCTTCCTACCTCTAAAACTCTCCATCTTTAACCTACCATTTATTCATTGACGACATCATTCACTGTCTTGATTCTTTAATCACTACTTTTATTCTTTTATCTCAGGCTTTACTACTATCTCAACTTTTGTCTCCTGGGAACTTCCACCCTCAAGTACCTCTCAGTTAGTTTCGAACTCTCCCGTTCCAAAGGCTCCTTTCCCCTCCAAATCTCTTCTTCCCCCCATCCCATCTGTCAGTTGGCCCCATTTCTCTCAAACAATGTCAACTCCCTTCTCCTTTCCCCTGGCTAACAGGTTTTCTCTCTTCCTTTACCTAGTCTATCACAACATCTAAATTCCTCAGCCTGGAATTCAAGGTTTCCCACGAACATATCCCATCATATTGTCATAGCCTACCTGTTCAGCTACATGTTCTACTAATTTCTTTGGTTGCCTTATGCACCCATCAAACTGATCCATGGTCATTTTATCTTAACCCATTTCCCCTTCTCTTCTATACATAGATTTACAATACCCCATCCACCTGGAATGCTAATTCTCGTAACCACAAGTCTTGTATTCTATCTACCCTTTAAGAGACAGGTCAAATTCTACCCCCTCTAGGACAGCCTTCTCTCATTTCCCCTGCTGAAAAAGGCTTCTTCGCTGCATTTACATAACACTTGATTTACTTACTGGTTTCTATCTCATAATAGGGATGAATATATCTGACACTCCTACCAATCTGGAAGCATTTTCAGGAAAAAACCATGTTTTACACAACTTTATAAACCCCAAAGAATTTAACAGCATCTAACATGTAGTTGGTATTTAATAAGTGATTAATTTTTAAAAACCAAAACAACACTTGTGAAAGAGCAAATTATAAAATTTCCCCATAAATTTAGTTAGAATATTAATAAGCAATTATATTCTGAAATATGTAATATGTTATCTAATATGTGAAGTTACAAAACTGTTCCATGAATGAAGGCTGGATGGAAACTATTTTTCTCATACCATAGTCTTTCAGCAATTAGACATGAACTTCCACGCAGTTCTTAGGAAGTTCTTCAAATATTTTTCCAATTTTAAAATTTTAAAATTTAATTTTCCATCTTTTGTTTTCGGAACATTTTAGTGTTAACTGGTTAAGAAACTCAAGGTAAACTAAAAGCTTTCATTTGTGATACTTTCTATATTTGTTTACCTTTCAATATATGCCAAGTGTTTACTTGACCAGGTATGAAAAAATGTACTAATTAAGACAAACTCGAGTGTAAAATGCCTTTTTACTTTCTATCAAGAAAATGCTCTCAAAACAAGTGAACAGTGTGTGTCAACAAAGGACCTGTTTAACTTGAGATCGAAGGCAGGCTGTTTCAAAGCTCCATCTCACAATCTCTTTAAACTTTAAGTGTGCTATTTATAAAACTTCTTAAAGATGGTATAAAAATAGAGATTTATCAAGAGAGCTATAGCTGGATTCCTAAAGTTGCTTATGCCCTTTTTTTTTTTTTTTTTTTTTTTTTGAGATGGAATCTCAGTCTGTCACCCAGGCTAGAGTGTAGTGGCACGATCTCAGCTCACTGCAACCTTCTGGGTTCATGTGATTCTCATGCCTCAGCATCCTGAGTAGGTGGGATTATAGGTACTGGCCAACATTCCTGGCTAATTTTTGTATTTTTAGTAGAGAAGGTGTTTTACCATGTTGGCCAGCCCAGTCTTAAACTCCTGACCTCAGTGATTCATCTACCTCAGCCTCCCAAAGTGCTGGGATTACAGGCATGAGCCACTGTGCCCAGCCAACTTCTTAATTTTTCATTCTCAAACTTGCTTTCCAAATATTTACTATTGAATTTAACTGTTGAGTTGAAGCTACTGTAGGTTAACAAACATTTTTTTCTAAATTTTAGGACAACATATATCCAAAGAGAATGAATAAAATTTTATAAAGATGATATATTCATGTAACAGGACATTAATTGGGACTTCCTCTGTTGCCCAAAGACTAAAAACAAGTATCCACTTTCTAGAGAAAATGAAGGCTAGACACAGTGGCTCACAGCTGTAATCCAAGCACTTTGGGAGGTTGAGATGGGAGAATCATTTCAATCTAGAAGTTCAAGAACAGCGTGGACAACAGAGTAAGACTATCTCTACTAAAACTGAAAAACTAGCTGGTATAGTCCCAGCTACTAGGGAGGCTGACACAGGAGAATCACTTGAGCCCCGGAGGTTGATGCTGCAGTGAGCTGTGATCATACCATGGCAACTCCAGCCTGAGCAGAAGAGTGAGACGTTGTCTCAAAAAAAGAAAAAAAAAAGAAAAAATGAGAAATACACTGGGTATAAATACCCCTTCACTGTTCACAAAGAGACAGCTTCCCTGAAATAATTTCTCCAGTCCACTACTCCTCTTTACCCTTTACCTCATCACACAGTCCACATAAGCTGAAGTGTGTATGTATGGATTTGGGATGGGAAAGAATGAGAGGACAGAAAGAGACAGAATGAATTGTCTAAATTGTGTGACAGAGAATGCGTTTTCCAAAGTCATGAGAATCATTCCCCAGCTTACCCCCAAGGGAAGTAAAGAGAATGTTTAAGAGAATCACTTGTAAATGAAAGCACCTGCCAAGGAAATAGGAGCTATTTGAGCAAGTGGAAAGGGAGCTGGAAAAAAAATATCAAGACGGGGAAGGCCAGACATGGTGATGTGTGCCTGTAGCCCCAGCTACTCTGAAGGCTACACTGGGGGGACTGCTGAAGCTCAGGAGTTCAAGGCTGCAGTGAGCTATGATCAAGCCACTGCCTGGGCAACAGGGCAAAATCCCATCTCTTTAAAAAAAGGAGAGCAAGTTAAGGGAGGATGGTGAAACACCTGTTTTCCCAAGATTTATTAGGTCAGGGACGAGTGTTCCGTGGGTCCAGTAGGCATCACTGAAGTGGCCTTGAACTTTCTTGCCAGTGTCTTACCAGAGCAAACATCGGAAACAGTGTGTATTTAACCATTCCAGTGGAAGCTAAGGGGAATTTGGAAGGGAGTTGGAGTGAACCTGCTATTTAGGGGAATGGAATCTGTATGACTGGGAAGACCTCCTCAGCCACAGGGCCCCCCAAGAACTCATACATGCACTTTACGAGAGAGCTAGCATTGGGAAGGCTGCAACTACCCCAGGAGCAGCAATAATCAGAGAAACAGTAACAGCCAAAAACAAACAAAAATGCTTACACTAAATGTTAAATAAGTAAAAATTGCCTAGCCTTCTTGGATTACTATTAAAGGTAGTGCTGTGTAAGTAACAGACACGTGTCCCTTTCTAGTTCTCCTTACCTCTCCTCAACTCAAATTTCCTCTTCGTATAAGGACACCAGTCAGATAGGATTAAGACCTACTCTAAAGGTCTCATTTTAACTTAAAGTCCTTATTATGAGGTAGTGGGGGTTGGGCTTCAATTAATTCAAAGTATGCACTTTGGGAAAACACAATTCAGTCCATAACATCAGACGAGGGGGAAAATAACCATTTAAAACAACCAGCAGCCTGAGGTCATTTGTCATAACCACATAAGGTGGTTCTGAATGGTTACGTGTGGGACAAGGAATGACCTGGCAGGCTGAAGTCCTGCACAAAGGCCAGAGTTTGCAGAGTTGGAGCAGCCTAGCCAACAAGAGGATGGGGTTCTGAGGAATACAAAGCCTTGGTTAAGATCCATGACTCACAGCACCATGAGAGGTTCAGCTGGAAAACAGGGAGTGCTTGCCTGACCAAAATTTAAACGTAAATGCACAGCCCTGTAATATAGGGCACCAGAATAGGATGCTTCTTACAGTCAAACAGAACCCTGTTTCAATAATGAACAATACTGGGATATCCAAGCAAATTCCACAGTGGTGAGACAAGAAAAAAATGTGTTAGGAGATAAATACATGTAAGCTGATAAAAGGTAAAATTCAATTAAACTTTGAAGAGGGAGGTAAAGAGACAGGGAGATGAAGTATATGCAGAAAGGGTCAGTTTGTTCTCTAATGACTGGCAGTTCCAGCTGACACAGACAGCTCCGCAGTCACAGGTGGGTGGAGGAGAACTGTTTGCAGGGAGGTCAGAGGAAGACCCTGGGCCAACTCTGACTTCCTTGATTACCTTTAGATAGTGCCATAATTAAACACCAAATTCTCTGTTCCAAAGCCTGCAATTATTTAAATAGAAGTAGTTCAACTGCTCTGTCACTGCTTAGCCACAGTTGAAGAAAAGTGGGCTGTTTCTTCCTACTGTACTGCTCTCCCCAATTGCTTCTCTCCACATCTTATTAATCATTATCTATGTCATTAGGAAATATTTGTAGATCTTTCAAAAAGGTATTCCCTAGCAGGTTCTACCTTCAGCTACAGCATGCCATAATAAAAATTTATTCCCTTTGGGCCAGGCGCAGTGGCTCATGCCTATAATCCCAGCACTTTAGGAGGCTGATGCAGGCGGATCACCTGAGGTCAGGAGTTCAAGACCAGCCTGGCCAACATGGTGAAAACCCATCTCTACTAAGAATACAAAAAACTGGCCAGGCATGGTGCCCACCTGTAGTTCCAGATACTTGGGAGGCTGAGGCAGGAGAACTGTTTGAATCTGGGAGGCAGAGGTTGCAGTGAACCAAGATCATGCCACTGCACTCCAGCCTGGGCGATGAGAGCGAAACTCTGTCTCAAAAAAAAAAAAAATCTATTCCCTTCAAGTGAGCTAAATCTCATAAAGAACACTGTTCATTTCACACATTTAAAGAAAATCTTAAAGATTTATTAAAGACCCATATTTATTTATTTATTTTTTATTTTTTATTTTTTTTGAGACGGAGTTTCGCTCTTGTTACCCAGGCTGGAGTGCAATGGCACGATCTCGGCTCACCGCAACCTCCGCCTCCTGGGCTCAGGCAATTCTCCTGCCTCAGCCTCCTGAGTAGCTGGGATTACAGGCACGCGCCACCACGCCCAGCTAATTTTTTGTATTTTTAGTAGAGACGGGGTTTCACCATGTTGACCAGGATGGTCTCGATCTCTCGACCTCGTGATCCACCCGCCTCGGCCTCCCAAAGTGCTGGGATTACAGGCTTGAGCCACCGCGCCTGGCAAGACCCATATTTATTAACACGTATCAGAGATATTGTCAAATATTAAAAAGACATGGCTGTTTTTCCTTTAAAATTTACTTTTTTGTGAGCCTGTTGGATTTTGACCTTTTTAAAAAAATTTGTTATAGTTATAGTTACTAAAATTTTGACCATGTCTGATATGCCAGTTATCCATATAGTATCTGCTAGAACTCTCACTAGGACAAAATACCACCACAGAGTTTACTCTTTTAATTTATAGAATCCCCTTCTTTCCTACCTTTTCCTCATCAATCTGAACAGAACTGTAACAGACTCTGTGATCTGCAAGCAAAGAAGAGGGACCTGGGTTACTGGGAAAAAATTATTTAACATTTGAGGAGAGTAAAGTTAAAACACAATAGATGTTCCAGGACATATAAAAAATTACACTCAGATTTCTGAGAAAGCTATGACAAAGAATCTATAAACCATTTCTTCATGTTCTAAAAGAAGGGTAACACCCCTCCACAACAAGCAGGGTTACGGGCAAGGTCTCCATCTGCTTTATCACACCAGGATCTAAAAACAACCCTAACAAACAGAACTCAATACATGAAGAACGCACTCAACATCACCAAACAATTTATTTGGACTCAGAATTAAAAGGACATTTGACAGTTGTGAAATGTATGTTTATTCTGAAACTTCTAACTAGTTGTATAACTAACCCATGACAAATTACCAGATTAATTTTACTTTATTTCTTCAGGCCGAGGGTTTATCTATGACTTCAAATTTGGGATCTAAGAGGGAAAAAAAAAAAAAAAAAAAAAAAAAAGGTTCAGGCTTAGCCATACTGTAATAAAGTGGATTATGTAGAATGCTCAAGATTTAATTCATCAATTTTCTGATTTATTTAGTGAATATCTACTGTTTGTAAACATTTACATAGAAATATAGCTAAACATTTATGCAACACTATGAGCTACACATTCCATTAACTGACTTTGCATATATTATTGTCATTTAACTGCACGTGCAGAAGATACTATAATTCTCCCCAAATATCAGATGAGAAACAGGCGCCAGTTACTCAAGGTTACACAGTTGAAAGTGACTGCCAGGATTCAAGATCAGGCAGTTTGATTTCAGATCCCCACCATTTAATCACTGTTATGTGATCTCCTATACTGCTCCTTTTCTAACGGCAAACATTTAGCTGGCAGCTCAGACACATGTCATAATCCTAATAAATTGACATTTAACACTGTCATTCAATTCTCTAAAAATCCAAGTAAGTGTAAATATTCTTCACTTATCCTCCACAAAAATGAATCTGTGATTTACAGGACTTACCTTCAAATTTGAAGGTGGGGAAGGTATTCATGTCTCCTTTACCAAACATTTGCTTGAGCTTAAAAAGCTCCCTCTCCAGATCTTGCTGATACTCTGGACCAGTATCAACAGGTCCTCCAGCTGTCCTGTTAAATAAATGAGCAAATAAAAATTAATGCTATACACTAGCTTACAAAAACAAGATTACTCTTCACCATCACTTTCAATAGACCTTTTTTAAGCATTCATGTATTCAAAAAAAAGACTTCACAAATAAGTATTTCCACTTCAATTTCAATTCCAATTCAAACGTCATTACCATGAGGTTTCACATAAATGAGCTAACCTCAAAGAAATCTCTAACATTCAAGGTTTCTTAGTATCGCAAACACTAAGTCAGATTTCTCGGGGTCTAAGTTGTGATAAGGTGTATGGTTAATTCTATGGTCTCTGGAGTCAAAGACTAATTCTATCTGAGTATAAACCTGAGAGAGGCACAGAGCACTCTAAATCTTAGTTTCTTCAACTAAAAATGAAGGTCCTACCATATAAGGGTGTTAAATGCACAACGTACCTCCAAGCACAATACCTGGCACACAGTGAGTACTCAATTATTATTTACTAATATTGTCCGCTTTAAGTCACCCACCACTAAATGGCTTTTAAAGACCTTAGTAACTTTAAGTCGCTATAACAGGAGTCCTATTAAAAAAGCAAATTATTTCCCACCCTCAGAGATTTTGCAATGTAGAAGAAAAAAATTACATGTTCACAAACATTTATGCTGTAAAGGGGTGATGTGATGAGCTTCAAAGACATGGTTTAACAAAAAGCTATTCAAGTTGAGGAGAGATCACTTTTGCTAAGCTAATCAGGGAAATTCTCATTTTATTTTATTTTATTTTATTTTATTTTATTTTATTTTTTATTTTTGGAGACGGAGTTTCGCTCTCGTTACCCAGGCTGGAGTGCAATGGCGCAATCTCAGCTCACTGCAACCTCCGCCTCCTGGGTTCAGGCAATTCTCCTGCCTCAGCCTCCTGAGTAGCTGGGATTACAGGCACGCGCCACCGCGCCCAGCTAATTTTTTGTATTTTTAGTAGAGACGGGGTTTCACCATGTTGACCAGGATGGTCTCGATCTCTTGACCTCGTGATCCACCCACCTCAGCCTCCCAAAGTGCTGGGATTACAGGCTTGAGCCACCGCGCCCAGCCCTATTTATTTATTTTTAAGACAGGGTTTCAACATGTTGGTCAGTCTGGTCTTGAACTCCTGACCTCAGGCGATCCACCCGCCTGGCGGAAATTTTCATTTTAAAAAGGTGGCATTTGAGAAATACCAGGCATTTGGGGCCACAGTTTATTTTGAGACCTTCTAAGACTGAAACAGCAAAGACCCATGTGGAGGTGGTAAAGGACTGGCTAAATGTGGGGAATGCTAAGGAATCTAGATGGAAAAAGTAGCAGAACCCAGAGCATGGGAGGCCTGGAATGTTAAGGCTGAGAGTTTCTATTTTATTTCCTAAGTCATAAATCGGCAAATTTAGACTTGCGCATTTTGGGAAAATAAATATAGCATCATGGACCAGCAGCAGGGCCAATTGGGTCTAATTAATTCTTTGAAGAAATTCTTTTATCATAAATATTACTGCCTACCAGCAATAAACAATATTCTAAACATTAAAAATGTACACGTGAAAATTCCTTCAAGGGTAGTAACATTTTCACACATGCCTATGATCAAAGTGTACAGTCTTATGTAAGTTAAAGCACTTGTACAAAAAACACATAGATGGCTCCAATGTAAGAACTTGTTAACAATGTTTCTTGTTAGAGACCCAATTTTCTTTTAGATTAGCACTGTCCAATAGAACATTTTGTCAAGTTAGAAATGCTCTCTGTGCTGTCCATATGGTAGCCACTAGCCATATCTGGTGGCTACTGAGCACTAGAAATATAGCTAACATGAATGAGAAACTGAATTTATACATATGCTTAATTGTAACTAATTAGAATTTGAATAGTCTCACGGATAATGGCACCCAAAATGAATAGTGTGGTTTGAAATAGATCCTTCAACTAGATACTCTAATACTGGTTACTAACGGATGATGGCTATTTTAACTTTAATATGCACTTTTGTGATAAAAAGAGGCTAGAAATCATCTACCTTCTCAACTGAATGTTAAGTCCTGCTGCTTAGTTTATTACTATATCCCTAGGCTCTCACATGGTGGCTGGGACAAAGCAGTCATTCAGAAAACACTTGTTCATTTCACTAGCAAATACTGGGCATGCTAACGTATTGAATCATTTAAGTTTTATAATATCCTATGAAATGGGTTAAGTACTATCATCATCTCGATTTTACATACGAGGAAACTGTCCCACAGAAGTTAAACCTGCCCAAGGTCATAGGGTTAATTAGTGGCAATGCTGGATGCCAGCCCAGGGTCTATCCTCAGAACTCTCTATGTATGTGTTTGCACAAATGAATGAATGACCCACAAACAAGACTCCTTAGATTTAGGGTACACCTAAGAATTAACTTCTTACTAGATAGGCTTTTTAAAGACAGTTAAAATGCAAACGGTGTCAATATTATGATGTAATATCACATCTAGACAGAACACACTCAAAATTCCCTGACGGGTCCTGCACATCTGATTACTTTATAGTATGATTTCTGGCAAATTCTAACTTTCGGCCCTGGTTTTCTCATATATAAAATTTGGGTAACAACGATAGAGTTGCTGTTAGTTTCATTACCATATCTACAAAACACATAGTAACCTACTACATTTTAATTCCTTCACTATCTCTCCTCAGTTGTAGCAATGGTGACACCTTTGTTAAGTTACCTCACCTCAAAAGTCAGTTTTCTTCTATTGTTCCCTCTCTTGTTCCTTTCCAGTTATCAGTGTTTCAATGTCTCGACTCTGTCACTTTTACAACTTTTACAGTACCACTGCTGTAAAGTCAAGGCTCTCATCAACTAATGCTTAGGTTACATACTGCTAACTAATTTTTTGTTATCTTCTCATTTCAATTCTTCTAATACCCGGGTTAAAACTACCCTCCTAATTCAGAGTTACCTTCCATCCCCACAGTCACGTTCAAAAAGCTTTAATTTCTCACAAATGCCTACCACATATCTTAATTGTCCAGCCCACAATCAAGGCCTTCCATAATTCCTCATTCTAACACCATACCATCCTTACGCTCTTCATATACTCTATACTCCAGGGATACAGAATTATACTATTCACCAAATATATTTTGTGCTTTCTAGTTTTCATGCCTTAGTTCACACCATTCTTTCCTCCTAAAAGATACTCTCTTCCTACTCTTATTTATCTGTCCAACCTTCATACACTGGTCTTTAGAATCTAGAGTAAACCTCTGGGTGTATACATCTACTGAAGGCCTACGGGCTTGAGAACCATTTCATGCTACAAGTAAAATCATGTGAGTAAATTCTTCACGTTTTTCTTTTTAAACTGAGAAGATGATCCACAGTTGTCCACAAGATTCTCAAGACGGATAAACACCCAAACACTGCCTTCCAAAAGCCTTCTAAAATGCCTCTGGCTGGAAGGAGTATTCTTTCCTATTAACTTCCCAAGCACTGAACGTTTCCCTATCTTAGCACCTAACTCATTTTACTTTATATTGTATTTATTTGCTTACAAACTTTATATTCCTATGAGACTTTAAGAATATTGTGGAAATGCCCTGTGGCCCACCACAGTTAATAGTAAAATGCTTTACACACGGTAGGCAACTAAATGAAAGAAAATGGAACTGTGAATTGATGCACAACACTCTTAGTAAGATTTGGCCTTTGGACTTGAGGATGGCTACGGTAGTCATTCATCTCCAAAACCACGTGGTTCTACAGCTGTTTTTCTTGGACTTACATTTACATTACGCCATTTCAGAGTCTTTTGACCTTTAATGTATATTCTCAGAGATCTATAACTATGGAAATAACCTTTAAAAAAAAAAGGGCTGTGTTTATACATTTCCCCCAAATTATGATGTCACAGAAAGGCCACTAAATTGAGGGCTAAATATACTTTGATAATATGTTTTTCCTCAATTCATTTTATGATCTTAGGCTAACCAGTATCTAAGAGATGTACTTTTAAAACACTTAGCTGCTAAATGATTTCCAAGACTCTATGTATTTACACGAATTGACTTAGTTTATAATACATGACATTACAGTAAGGATATATTCTAAATGGCAATAGATTCAGTAGATTTACCCTGGTAACTCATAAAGAAAACAGTTTACAACCTGAAAAAAAATCAAGATCTTTATCTTCTTTTCTGAGGGCACCAAGTGAACTTCTCTGTGTCAGAGAGGAGCTCAGTGAAGGTCTGACACTTTCAAATACCGAGTAATTTTTTACTACCATCTTGAAACTTACATAGTTTGAATATTTATATTTATACTGCAGTTGTTTATTCACTTACTGTCGCTTAGATTTGTATTCTCTTATCTTGTCCACAAAGAGTTTCTGTATAGGATCAAGGTCCTTATTAAATGCCACTGCTGTAACACCAATGTTCCTCCGCAAATGGACCGAGACTGCTGACCGAATGACAGAGGAGAACCTGAAGAGTCTCTGAAGAATCATGCTGCTTCTATGTTACTGAAAACAAGCATCAGAAATGTTAATATACTTACTATAAATGACCTCCACATGTATCACGAGAATCTAATTCTACTAATTGTTACAGAATTAAATCACATCAGATCTCAGTCTACACCTGACCACAGTTCCCTTCTCCTCCTTATTTCCCATTGCAAGTTTTTAAAGTCTTAACCAAAAGGCCCTGGGATCTAGGAACTGAGTTAGAAACTCAGGCCTGAAGCTTCATCAAGATTAGGGCAGAAAGCACAAAATATGAGGTGAGGTATGTCTTCTCCCTTGAACTTAGTCTTGAATCACAGAAAACAGTAGAGGTAGACTGTTAGAACACTGTCCTCTCCCAACAGGAAAAGCATACTGTCCCCCAAAGTAATGTACCAGGTTTCCCATGCCTCAGGTAGGCATGATAACCTGAAAGTGTGTATTTCACAGGCCCATAGAGAGAAACTGCTCTGCCTGTTACAACAGGAGTCCAGCCTTTTAAGAATACTGTGACAACTAAATCCAAGTCCAGAAGGATCAGCAAAGAAAAACAGCAACCAATCCAAATAAGCTGTGCATGATGAGGGGAAGATCCGGCAGTCCAGCTTTATCAGTGAAATAAATTAGTGAAGGAGATGGAATTCTAAATTTTAAAAATAAGGACTTAAAGACTTCTAAGTCCCTAGACTTCATTAAGTTAAAATATGTTATTTTCTAATTAAAAAATTTCAGTAGAGGACACTCTCTGTTGAGATTTACTTTAACGATTTAAAGATCAAACACAAAAAACATTCCAAATTACATAGGGGCAAACAGGAATTCCAGAAGAAAAGGAATAAAGAGGGCCAGGCGCGATGGCTCATTCCTAATCCCAGCACTTTGGGAGGCCGAGGCAGGTGGATCACTTGAGGTCAGAGGTTTGAGACCAGTCTGGCCAACATGGTGAAACCCTGTCTCTACTAAAAATACAAAAATGAATCGGGCACGGTAGGGCATGCATGTAATCGCAGCTACTTGGGAGGCTGAGGCAGGAGAATTGCTTGAACCCAGAAAGTGGAGGTTGCAGTGAGCCCAGATCACGCCACTGCACTCCAGCCTGGATGACAGAGCAAGACTCCATCAAGCCTGTAATCCCAGCACTTTGGAAGGCCGAGGCAGGTGGATCATGAGGTCAAGAGATCAAGATCACCCTGGTCAACATGGTGAAACCCCGTCTCTACTAAAAATACAAAAAAATTAGCTGGGCATGGCAGCACGTGTCTGTAATCCCAGCTACTCAGGAGGCTGAGGCAGGAGAATTGCCTCAACCCAGAAGGCGGAGGTTGCAGTGAGCCAAGATCGTGCCACTGCACTCCAGCCTGGGTAACAAGAGTGAAATTCTGTCTCCAAAAAAAAAAAAAAAAAAAAAAAAAAAAACCATGAAAAGGAATAGAGACCATAAAAAATTAGAAGAATCTATTTTTCTCAGATTAAGGCCAAGTCTATAAACTGACAGGGCTTGACAAAAGGCACCACAGTCTGATATAATTTTTTTTTTTTTTTGAGACGTAGTTTCGCTCTTGTTACCCAGGCTGGAGTGCAATGGCGCGATCTCGGCTCACCGCAACCTCCGCCTCCTGGGTTCAGGCAATTCTCCTGCCTCAGCCTCCTGAGTAGCTGGGATTACAGGCACGCGCCACCATGCCCAGCTCATTTTTTTTTTTGTATTTTTAGTAGAAACAGGGTTTCACCATGTTGACCAGGATAGTCTCGATCTCTTGACCTTGTGATCCACCCACCTCGGCCTCCCAAAGTGCTGGGATTACAGGGTTGAGCCACCACGCCCGGCCAGAATTTTTTTTTTGAGACACAGTCTCACTCTGTTGCCCAGGCTGAACACAGCTCACTACAGCCTTAGCCTCTTGACTCAAGCAATCCCTTCATCTTAGCCCCTTAAGCAGACTGGGAGCACAGTTGTGCGCCATCACACCAGGCTAAGTTTTACTTTTATTTTTTTGTAGAGACGAGGTCTTGCCATATTGCCCTGGTTGGTAAAATTTCTGAATCTTTTAAGTGAAAACATGACATGCTAACATACTTCCCATGCTCTCCCCAATATAATACTAGTCTTCATCACATTGACACTGGACTTCTACTAAGTTATAACAGAACTAGTGGAAGTACACGAACTATGTTATTGGGCCTAAAGTAATACAGAAATTAGAAATAAGCATTTAGAGGCCAGGCACGGTGGCTCATGCCTATAATCCCAGCACTCTAGGAGGCTGAGATGGGCGAATCAGTGGGGCCAGGAGTTCGAGATCAGCCTGGTCAACATGGTGAAACCCCCATCTCTACTACAAAAAAAAAAAAAAAAAAACAACTAGCCAAAGCATGGTGGTGCACATCTGTTATTCCCAGCTACTTGGGAGGCTGAGGCAGGGGAATCACTTGAACCCGGGAGGTGGAGGTTGCAGTGAGCTGGGATCATACCACTGCACTCTAGCCTGGCCTACAGAGTGAGACCCTGTCTCAAAAAACAAACAAACAACAACAAAAAGAAATTCGAAATAAGCATTTAGAAACTTAAACAATTCAAGAGATAATTTGTTTGCTGAATTTAAAAATAAAACAATTAGAGCTTATGAGCCAGGTGTGGTGGCTCATGCCTGTAATCCCATGACTGTGGGAGGCCAAGGAGAGAGGATTGTTTGAACTCAGGAGTTCAAGACCAGCCTGGGAAACATGGAGAGAACCTATCTCTAAAAAATTAGAGCTTGTATTTTAAGTGACTTCATTTTTTAAAAATTTCATTTCTTTTGTAATTCATTTTTACTGTATTCAAGAGTGTCCACAAAAGTGGGTGGTGGGAATGGCCCTTTACTACTGAGAGTTTGAGAAGCATTAGCTAAGGAACTATAGAGTAGCACAATAGTTCTCAAAATAAGGTTGGGGGTGGGGAAGGAGTTGAGATGTTTCTCTCCAAGGAGACATCTGGCAATGTCTTTAGACATTTTTGGTTGTTCTCACCAAGCTGAGTGCTACTTACTGGCCTATAATGAATATGAAGCCAGGAATGCTGCCAAACACTGTATAATGACAATATTAACAGTCCTCCCAACCCCCAAGAATTGTCTGATCCAAATATCAGTAATGCCAAGGTTGACAAACTCTGGAATGGCATGTAAAAATTATCAAAACAAATCCTACAATGAGCCAGGCACGGTGGCTCATTCCTGGAATCCCAGCACTTTGCGAGGCCAAGGCAGGAGGATGACTTGAGCCCAGAAATTCAAGACCAGCCTGGGCAACATAGTGTGACCCCCATCTCTAACAAACAAACAAAAATATTAGCCAGGTATGGTGGTGGGTGCCTGTAGTCGCAGGTACTTGGGAGCCAGAGGCAGGAGGATCACTTGAGCTTGGGAGGTGGAGGCTCCAGTGAGCTGTGACTACAGCACTGCATTCCAGCCTGGGTTACAGGGTGAAACCCTGAGGGAAGGGAAAGGGGAAGAGGGTCCTACAATGAACACAATCAACAAAATACCCTTCACCTGACAAAATGAAAGCAAACCATTCGTAGAAATTAAAGAATTCATAACATATCACTTTTATACCCCATCAGGGAAAAACACTTAAGAAAAGACTAAGGGCAAATATCAAATGACCTCATAAGGTCATGTACCACTTATTATCATTCCTATGTTTACACATACAGAAACTTGAGGATTAGAAGTATCTAGTCAAAGTTACACAGCAAAACCTAACAAGGCAAATATGTAAAACAAAAAATTGTGCAATTCAATGTCTACTTTCCCTTCTGGCAAACTAAGGACATGCTTAAAACATTCCATAATAAGTTCACCCAACAATAAGCTCAACCCTAGATACTTTCCAAAATCTATATCCTATCCTTGTACCCTAATGGGAATACTCTTCAAGAGTTAGAAGGAAGCGTTCTTATCTCCGCTTTACAAATCTGTCTAAGAAAAGTTAAGCTGCACATATTCATACAGCTAATTTGCTCTAAGTCTGACTGCAGAGATGTTATTCCTGCTACAACATGGGTAAGACCCACTTTCATTGTTTCAATTTATCTGTCATCTAAGTGCCTATCATTGCCAAATCGCATCTCTAATTTTGTTATTCTTCCTGAACCCCAAATCTATACACTGTATTCAACAGTTCTCATCTCCCTTATAAGTCCTACGAACTCATCCAAAAAATTAACACATAATCTCATACCAAAACTTGTTCCTTCTTTAATCCCTTTCATTTTTTTCACTGATTAGTGAATGCGTATTGTCCACTGACACGCAGAAGATAGTCATTACACAAACAGCTGTGGAATACCACCTGCCATAAATTCTCCATTCCAGTACCATCGGTGCCACGAGAGAATATGACAGCGTCTGACATGATCAGAAAGACTGGGGAAGGCAACAATAAGAAAACACTACAGTCCGAGCAGATGTCTTGTCGTGGGCGGGATCAAGGCTGTCCCATTACAGTGACGACTGACAGGCCAAAGGTTCGTAGGTTCGCTGCCTCTTCAGGGCATGTTCTTAAGAACAATCCATAAAGCTGCCTAAGGACGGTGCTACATCATCGTTTTTAGGTGGGATGCAAACTTTCAAGATTATGACTACTCTTTTCCCTCTCGTGGTGCACATTCTGCCTAAGGAGCTTAGACGGCTACGTGCGCCCGGGGCGGGCAGGCCTAGCCGAAAACCTCTCCCGCGCGCCTGACCTTGGGATGCCCCGGCCAGGATGCGGGCCCGAGACCCCCCCAGCCTCCCCGCCTCCCGCGCCGCCCCGATTTGCCCCCAGAGAAGGTATCAGTCTTATTTCTAGGTCTAAGGCAAACTCCAAGGTCTAGAAGCGTAGAGGTCAGCTGTGACCCCGGGCCAGGCCGTGAATGTCCCCAGGACACAGAGCTGCTCTCTCCTTCTAGTAGAGCAAAGGTGAGAGGCAGCCCAGGCCTCGTGAAGAAACCCAGAACTGGAGTCCCAAGAGGCCACGCTGATCTAGCTACCCTCCCAGTCACCTTGCACTCAGTCCCGACTTGCCAAAGCCGCCGCCGCCACCACCACCGTTCTACTTCCGGCCCTGGCTCCGCCCCCACACGCCTACCCGCCATCGCAATGCATTATGGGCCGCCGTTTCAGTCGGTCGATGCTCACCGGACAGGAAGCGTCTCGGAGACAGTCTGCGACCGGACGGCTCTAGGTGAGACAGAAGCCAAACAGGAGGAGGAAGTGGAGGGTAAGTGCTTCCGGGTCCCGTGGCGAAGACTCCGCCATCTTTTCTTCGCCGAATTTGACCCGTTCTCTTTCCCTCCTTGAAACCTTGCTCTGTACGCATGCGCACTTTGTCTAGCCTGTCCCCTAGTTCAGGCTCCCCTCCGACTCAGCGTCCTGTTCCTTAGGGTTATCGAGGTGTATAATGGTGCAGGGAAAGTGAGACTGTGTAAAACAAAGCGGATTGGGGCGTTGTGTTTCCTTGTGCCTCGTGAGCCTCCGTTGCCTCGGGCGTTTGTTTCGCGCACCCTGCTGGGAGTTGTAGTCCTGGACCTGGAGGTGCCTGGGAGGCGGGAGGGGGGTTGGGGCTTCTCAGTGCCGATTCCGCGGGAAGGGCCCTGGGGCCTCACAGTTCTAGTCGCGAGAGCCGAAGGTCTTACCCGGAGAGACGCAGCACGTGGAGCCTGTGCCGCTGCGGTTCTCGGCCGGCTCTGGAGCGCGGGCGGGGGCGACAGGGCCGATTCCGGAGCGGGTGAGTGCGGCCGCCGGGGAGGAGGGGAGCGTGGGCCCGCCCGGGCCGGCCTCGTTCCGGGGCCTTTTCGCCCACAGCGGCCCCCCCGCGGCCGCCTCTGTGTTTTGTTTCCGCTGGTCCCCGGCGCTGTGACTCCCATTTCCGTTCGTGGAGACTTGAAGGAGCGGGTGGGGAGGGGCGGGAGAGGCTGTGCGGGGAGCGAAGGGGAGGGGCGGGGGGCGAGCGGCCGGGAGCTTCGGGGGGCCGCGCGTCCCCGGGCCCCGCGCCGGACGGGCCGCCTGTCACCTCCCCCTCCCGCGTCCCCTCCTCCCGCCCGTCGGCGTCCCGCGGCAGCCTCTGCCTGCTCAGCTGGGATGCGGTCCTGACACCCCCGGGATTTTAAGGGCTAGATGCAGACCCTGTCTGCTCGCGGGACGCAGCGATTCACTCACTTCAAATCCACCGTCTTTCTAGAACGACACAGTGACACCAAAACCGTTTGTCAGTCTTTATGGTATCCATCAGGGTTTGTGTTTTGTTTTTAAGCGAGGACGTAAACCAGGGAAACAGCAGTGGGTTAACGTAGCTTCCCTACTTTTTAAAGTGTTCTGTGTGCGTGTTTGGATTTAGAGACCCCGGTTTGATCGGGTTAGCAGCCGAGAGGACAGTGCCTGGATTCCAAGATGATTAGAAATTTAGAAATAAAATTCACTTCATAAGTCGTTTACACTAATACCAGTAGGTCTTACTCGTGAGAGGAGCAAAGATTTAGCAGGATTCCCTTGAGCGAATTGCAGAACAGGGCGGTGACAGCATTCTTAGGTAGTGTTATCTTAACTTCAGAAGAAACTGCTCAGCTCTTTAGCAACTGCCTAAGGGACTAGCCTCTCTCAGGGTTCCATCCAGGCTTTCCAAGCTTCATATTTAGACATACACTGACGCTGGGTGGACTTAACTCAGTTTTACCTGAATTGTGTATACAAAAACATCTGTCATGACGCACGTATGAAGTAATTAAATTATGAGCTAGATGTTAGGTTGAAGCAAGTCATCGGACCGAGTACTAAATTAAAACGGTTGACTTTAGCCTTCCCTCAACTCTTTATATGTAAAACTCCAAACCTACAGGAAAATTGGGGGAAAAATCATACAGTGAACACCCATATACCCTTCACCTGGGGGTCCCAACTGTTAATCTTTCACTATGTGTGCTTTGTGTTTTTAAATTACATAGATGTATATGCTTTGCTTTTTCTTAACTGCTACCTTTATTTTTGAAAATGAAAATGTCTTTTAATTTCCATCATACTGAAAAGCATTTGATAACGTGGGAAAATGTGCAGTTAATCTTGCAGGTACCCCCACACTCCACTTAGTTTTATAATTACAATATATTGGGGGCCGGGCGCGGCGGCTCAAGCCTGTAATCCCAGCACTTTGGGAGGCCGAGGCGGGTGGATCACGAGGTCAAGAGATCGAGACCATCCTGGGCAACATGGTGAAACCCCGTCTCTACTAAAAATACAAAACATTAGCTGGGCATGGTGGAGCGTGCCTGTAATCCCAGCTACTCAGGAGGCTGAGGCAGGAGAATTGCCTGAACCCAGGAGGCGGAGGTTGCGGTGAGCCGAGATCGTGCCATTGCACTCCAGCCTGGGTAACAAGAGCGAAACTCCGTCTCAAAAAAAAAAAAAAAAACAATATACTGGGAAAAATAAGCTCTGTAATTAATGCACTCCAATGAACCCTCAAATAGGTTGACAGTCCTCAAATTTATCTGTAGTTTCAAAAGGAAATGTTAAACCTATCAGTATTTTAAGACATAAGCTGTTCCCAGAATTTTTCGTTAAGTTCAACTTTAGTTTGAATCCCATCTTATGAAACATTCCGATCCCGGTTGGATGGAATCTAGCAGTACCAAAGTGTCAATGAAAGTATATGAAGTTGTTCTAGGCAATTCTGACGGGGGCAGCCTTTAGACGGAGAGACTGCAAGTAATTTTCTCTCAATTTTCCTAAGTATTGACATACAAACCTGGGGAATTGGTTTCAGAAAAAGATAAGACTCACTGAAAAACTCTCATGAAAGATTTGGACTGTTTTTCAAATCTCTGTTTTGCTTCCCTAGACTAAGCCTAGAGAGCCGAGAGAGAAAAAGATCATTTAAGAGACTGGGTAATATTTTTTGAAAGATCATTTAAGAAACTGAGTAATATTTTTTTTTTTCAGCAGAAGGGCATGAGTTTTTGTTTGGTTTGGTTTGGTTTTTTTCTCTTTTTGGCACTTTCTAGGGATTGGTCTATAAATTTTTTGAAAGGCCGTAGGATAAATTTCTTTTTAACAACTTATTTTAGTGTTTATATTAGGGGTGCTGTTTTATAATCTTTAAAAAATTGGGAGTGGACCTCCTTAGAAGTCCTGAAAATAAATGATTTTTTAAGTGCTGTTCTGCTGTAAACCTGATTCTCACTTTTTTCTGTAGACAAGTTTTTTTATATTTTGTGTGGATATTATTTCCTTGTAACCAATACCAAATATGATTTTTCCATGTTTCCTTTCATTAATATTTGTTTAACATAGACACTTGGATTGTCACCAGCTTCCAGCTGTCACCCAGAAAGCTGCCCTGAACATGATCAATCAGTCTTATTAACCAATTTGAGAAATGTTCTGTACTGCTTAGTTAAGGATGAAATTGCTGGGTTATAGATATGATACTTTTCTCCAGAATATGTACGCCTGTGTGTACCCCATCTACAGAGACAAAGGAATCTTTATGTCCCTGCTGACTGCTCTTGTTATTTAAGTTTCTAACATTCTGTGTGTTGTCCCCTACCCCCTGCCACACATACAGTATAAAGTGGTAGTTTCTTGTTTTAAATTGCCCTTTTAAATGATTTGAATTTTGACATTTCTTTGTATCCTGCATTATTTTGGTTTCCCTTTATGTGAATATCCTTTTCCTATGCTTTGCCTACTTTTCTAATTTGTCCCATTTTTTGGGTATTAGAACTATCTTCCGATTCTGTAGCCTATCTGTTGAACATAAATCTTGATTTTTGTATAATCACATCCATCAGTTTTTCTCCTTACCGTTATGTTCTTGGAATTTAAGAAATCCTTTCCTGTCCTGAGACCACAAAAACATCTCCACCATTTTCTTCTGTTAGTTTTATGGTTTCGCCTTTTATGTTTAATCCTTTAAGGCATCTGTATTTCATTTTATATGGTGTGAAATAGTTCTTACTAATTTATTCAACATATATTGGTGGAGTGCACGCTGAGGGTAGTACCGTTCAGAGTACTTTGTATGTATCTGTGAACACATATTCCTGCGCTTGTGAAGCTTACGTTGCCCTTCAGGGTAGATCCCTACTGGGTCACCGCCTGTTTTCTTTAGCACTCAGGGTGAATTCCACAGTTTTACACGTAGCACCAGTTTAGGAATAGGTTTTATTGGAGAAAGGGAAGGCTTACTAGTCCAGCATTAGCAAGAAAAAAAAAAGAGCTTCTTCATTTTTTCATCATCCCCAAAAGAAGCCTGCTGGAGCTTGCGTAGTCAGCTAGATAGGCATGTGAACAGAGCCTGCGCAGTCTGCTCGATACTCATGTTTTCATACCAGTGGACAAATTGACCCTTTCATTGTTTGCCCTTAAAGGACAAGCCTGAGAGCAACCTTAATTATGTGGGAAAAATTAGACCATTTTGAATCAGGCAGTCTAGATTTGGGTGCCAGCTATTTGTCACAAAACCAGCTACCCCATAGTTGAAGATATTGAGAACTGAGGAGAGTTACAGCGCTTTCTGAAGTGGGAAGTGAGACTTAGTTTCTTAATGCTAGTGTAACAAAGTATGCAAATTTAGTGGCTTAAAAACACCACCAGTTTGTTATCTTACAGTTTTGGAAGTCAGAAATGTGAAATAAGTCTCTAGGCTAAAATGAGGTGTTGCCAGTGCTGTTTTTCTAGAGCCTTAGAGGGAGAAGGGAGAATCTGTTCCTTGTCTAGCTTTCAGAAGCTACCTGCATTCCTTAGCTTATAGCTCCTTTCCACCGTCTTCAAAGCCAGTTGCAGCTAACCAGCGAGTCCTCACATTGAATCACTCTGGCTCTCTCTTCCAGTTTCCTCTTTTGCTTTTTTTTTTTTGAGATGGAGTTTCGCTCTTGTTACTCAGGCTGGAGTGCAATGGCGCGATCTCGGCTCACCACAACCTCCACCTCCTGAGTTCAAGCAATTCTCCTACCTCAGCCTCCTGAGTAGCTAGGACTACAGGCGCGCGCCACCATGTCCGGCTAATTTTTGTATTTTTAGTAGAGACGGGGTTTCACCTCGTTGACCAGGATGGTCTCGATCTCTTGACCTCGTGATCCACCCGCTTCGGCCTCCCAGAGTGCTGGGATTATAGGCGTGAGCCACTGCGCCTGGCCTCCTCTTCTGCTTGTAAGGACCTTTGTGGTTTCACTGGATCCACCTGGATAATCTAGAATAATCTCTATGTTTTAAGGTCAGTTAATTAGTAACCTTAGTTCCATCTGCAGCGGTAATCCTCTTCTGCTTGTAAGGACCTTTGTGGTTTCACTGGATCCACCTGGATAATCCAGAATAATCTCTATGTTTTAAGGTCAGTTGATTAGTAACCTTAGTTCCATCTGCAGCGGTAATTCCCCTTTGCTGTATAACTTAATGTAGTCGCAGGTTCTGGGTGGTTATTCTGCCTACTACAAAGAGGTAAGGGATTTAGCCAGAGGTTATCTGGTGGAAGTAGGTTCCAGGGGACTGAACAGTGAGAGCAGAGCCACAAGGCAGAAAGATGTGAGGACAAGCAGGGGAGCCGTGTGGGAGAGGGAGTCACATTGATAGTGGGATTCGGATGCGGATAGATCTAGCAGAGTCTCATGGTCTTTGTGAAGTATTTGGATTTTATTGTGACTGGCAGGCATATCAAAGGAGTGTTATTATCTAGCTTCAGTTTTTAACTTTTTGGAAACCACAGTGCTAGTGAGGATAACTTCAATTTTATTTTTTTTTTTAATTTACTTTAAGAGCTAGGATCTCACTTTTGCTTGGGAGGGAGTGCAGTGGCACGATAATCATTCACTGCAGCCTTGAATCCTGGTCTCAAGTGATCTTCCCACTTCAGCCTCCCTAATAGCTAGGACTACAGGTGCATACCACCATGCCTGGCTAATTTTTAAAAATGTTTTTATAGGAGACAGGTTATTTTTATGTTGCCCAGTCTGGTCTTGAACTCCTGGGTTCAAGCAGTCCTCTCTTCTCAGTCTCCCACAGTGTTGGAATTACAAGCATGAGCCACCATATCTGGCCCTAGCTTCAGTTTTAAAAACGATCACACTCTGGCTGTTGTATTGACTGAGAATAGACTGTGGGGACAAAAGTGGACACAGGGACCTCTCTTGGAGACTGTTGCAGTACTCCAGGTAAGGGATGGTGGTGGCTGTTGTACTGGTACATGCAATACAGAGCGTGTATTCCAACAACCATGGTTCATCCCCATTTGGAATGATACCTATTTAGGTTGATACACCAAAGGTGTGACATGGAGCCACAGGTGGTTTAGCCTCACCCCTGAATAGTGTTTGTATGAGATGGGGCTCGAAATAAGATTGCTCTCTGCAAAGCATTTGAAGGCGGTGTCTGATGCTCGATAATTAATGGTTATTATTAATGCAAGTTAATATTTAAAGTCTTCATTTCGTCAAATCTTGTAAGTGGGAGCGCAACTATGTTGTATATGTCAGAATACCAAATTTAGTAGAGTATTCCTTCTAAAGGTATGCCTTTTTTTAGATGTGATAGTAAACTTAGAAAACTACCCAGAAGGTGCTGTGGACTGAAACTGTGTATGGAGTCCAAACACAACCAGTGAGGTAGTTAATAACAGAACCTGGAACTTAACAGTATTAACACCTCAGAAATGACCACAAAGAAATACCTATGTTTATATAGCTTTTGATGCATTACTTAGCATTTTAAAAATTCAAATGTTTTTGTATCCATGGTTTGAAGCAATAGATAAAAATTTTACATGGGACAATTAAAAACTGAAGTAGGGGTTTGTTTAAAATAAAACCACATATGAAAAAAGTCATTAAAAATTTTCTACTGTGTAATTAGGGAAATAATGGTCATATCTATAATTTGTTACTTTGTTTTGCTGTTTTCTAACATGTTCTTGCATTATAAGAGACATCATTTACACCAAATCCTAGCTGATTAATTTGCATATCATTCTATCAGTGTGATACTTTGCAGTAAATTCTGCCACTAAGGTACAACTTTAGCTGAATAAACATAGTTCATCTCCGTTTAAGCTTTAGGTTGGAATCTGTTACTGAGACTGAGTTGCTTTACTATAGTAACATACCCTTCACTTAATTTTGAAGTAACTTATTAATTGTGACTGGGCCCAAAAACATCCCAGTAAACCCAGTAGATTGATGAAGTTGTCATGTCAGGTTAATAAACACCAATTTAAAATATACATATTTTAGAAACGTCATTTGTGTATTTTATTTATTTTATTTTTCAAACAGGGTCTCACTCTGTTGCCCATGCTGGAGTGCAGTGGTGCAATCATGGCTCGCTGCGGTCTTGGCCTCCTGGGCTCAGATGATCCTCCCACTTCAGCCTCCCAAGCATTAATAGCTGGAACTATAGGTGCATGCCACCATGCCCTGCTAATTTTTGTATTTTTAATAGAGACAGGATTTTGCTAAGTTACCCAAGCTGGTCTCAAACTCCTGGGCTCAAGCAGTCAGCCAGCCTTGGCTTCCCAAGGTAGGACTCCCAACTGGACTTGACCTCTACAGTGCTGGGGTTAGAGGCATGAACCACCACGCCCAGCTGATTTTCTTCTATATGTAAAGACTACTTCCCCCTCTTCTGCTTGCCCTTTGCCTTTTATTTGAATTGAGTCCCTACTTCTTGTGTATCATTTCTGTTTATGTAGATAATTTCAAAATATCTTAAAAAGTCACTCTTGCAGGACTGATCTTTTGAAATACTTCAACCATGACTAAAAGAGAAGCAGAGGAGCTGATAGAAATTGAGATTGATGGAACAGAGAAGCCAGAGTGCACAGAAGAAAGGTTGGTGTTTTCTGAATTTATTGTATTTTTCAAAATATCAATATACCTAATTAAAACCAGGAAACAAGTCATAGCTCTTTTGAACTTTCTTTTTTTTAACTGTTCTCAGCCCCTTAGGGGATGATGTATTACTTTATTTCCTCTGACTTAGTATGCTTGTAGCTAAGAGGAAAGACAGTTTTAAACCAATAGTAGTAATAAGGGTAAATGATAATCAAGCGATTTATTTCAATAATTTTCTCCTTTGGGCATTTGATTCTTCGTTGTTTTCCTCAGCACTGGTTGCTTTAATTTCAGAACTAGTTTAATTCAGCCTTACATATTTATGAGTAACTGTCGTAAACAACTAATTGACAATATGTGAATAAATAAGATGCTAATCTCCCCTTATAAAGGCCACATTGTATTTGAGGAGACATACAGGTACATGAGTAATTATGTGACCAGTACTAAGCTTAAAGTGTAGTGAAAAGTGTTGATTCTTGGAATAATAATGGAGTCAGACTTGTTTGAAAGGAGGACGGTAGTGATGAGTTCAGAATCCAAGGAGAGAACATGGAGAGAAATAGACATTTGGGAGTCAACAAGAAAACTGAGAAAAGTAATAGTTAATGGTCCCTATTTTACTATGTAAAGCAGAAGCTGAGATAATAAGCTGAAAGTAAAAGGGATTGAAAAGTAGTAGAGAATCTCCCTAGAGTAACAAAGGTTTAGAAATCTCTGGACAAGATTGTTAAGGTTAAGGAGGATACTGAGTGTTGAGAGTACAGTTGAGATTTAAAACCTTAAATTTTTCTTTTCTTTTTTTTTTTTTTTTTTTTGATACAGAGTTTCGCTCTTGTTACCCAGGCTGGAGTGCAATGGCGCAATCTCGGCTCACCGCAACCTCCGCCTCCTGGGTTCAGGCAATTCTCCTGTCTCAGCCTCCTGAGTAGCTCGGATTACAGGCATGTGCCACCATGCCCAGCTACTTTTTTGTATTTTTAATAGAGACGGGGTTTCACCATGTTGACCAGGATGGTCTCGATCTCTTGACCTCGTGATTCACCCGCCTCGGCCTCCCAAAGTGTCGGGATTACAGGCTTGAGCCACCGCGCCCGGCCTAAAACCTTAAATTTTTAATGGAGCTTTTCAACTTGTTTATCTCAGTTTTCCCAGCATAAGAGGGAATGCATGCTTCTTTGGGATTTCATGTATAGATATTTGCATAAAAAATTGCCCCACAATTCAGCAACTAAAAATGCCCAGCATTCAACCAGATGCAGTAGCACATGCTGGTAATCCCAACACTTCTGGAGGCTGAGGTGCACAGATCACTTGAGACCAGGAGTTCAAGACCAGCCTTGCCAACATGGCAAAACTCTGTGTCTACAAAAAATAAAAAAAATTAAAAAAAAAAAAAATGGCCAGGTGCAGTGGCTCATGCCTGTAATTCCAGCACTTTGGGAGGCCAAGGCAGGCAGATCACCTGAGGTCAGGAGTTTGAGACCAGCCTGAGAAATCCCATCTCTACTCATATACAAAATTAGCCAGGTGTAGTGGCACATGCCTATAATCCCAGCCACTGGGAGGTTGAGGCAGGAGAATCACTTGAACCCGGGAGGCGGAGGTTGCAGTGAGCCAAGATCACATCATTGCACTTCAGCCTGAGCAACAAGAGCGAAACCTTGTCTCAGAAAAAAAAAAAAAAAATTAGCCTGGCCTGGTGGCATGTGCCTAATTCCCAGCTATTCTGGAAGCTGAGGGAGGATTACTTGAGCCCAGGAGTTCAAGGCTACAGTGAGCCATGATTGTGCCACCACACTACAACCTTGGTGACAGGACAAGAGGCTGTCTCAAAAAAAAAAAAAAAGCCCATTATATTTTATTGCACATTGTTTCTCAGAGGAACTTGGGAGCAACTTACCTGGGTGGATCTGTCTTGGGTATTTCATGAGTTTGCAATGAAGCTGTTAGCCCAGGCTGCAGTATTCTAAAGACTTGACAAGGGCTAGAGTGTCTGCTTCCAAGGTCGTGCTTGAGATTCTTAGCACAATGCCTCAGTTCCTCATCACATGACTCTCTCTAGGGCTGCTCATGGGTTGGCAGCTGGCTTCCCCTAAAGCAAATGGTCTGAGAGACATAGAATGCCAAGGTAGAAAGCCCCAGTGTCTTTTTAAATAATCTAAGAAGTGAGGTATCACTTTGTCTTAGTCTTCTGGTCACACAGTCCAACCCTGTTAGAGTGTGGGAGGGAATTTTAAAAGGGCATGAATTTAAGAATCATTAGGCACCCTCTTGGAACCTAGCATGTGTATATTTATGTTTATACACGCATCCACACAGATGGTCCACAAAGTCTAAAGTATGTCCTATCTGACCCTTTGTGGATAGTCTAGGTTGGGTGACGGATGGGTAATTAATATATATGACCTAGGTGAAGGAGGCAGTAGTTGTCATTCACCTAACATAGATTTTTGCTGTGCAGGAATTTAGGTCAAGTGATAAGAGATTTTAAGAGAAATTGGTACTTTAGATATTTGCATGAAGTCTTCCAATGTTTAAATGATAGCAACAAAAACTTTTTTTTTTTTAATGTTTAATGTTCAGCTAGTATAAAACAGTTCTTTAAAAATTTGTTTTAGCCGGGTGCAGTGGCTCAAGCCTGTAATCCCAGCACTTTGGGAGTCCGAAGCGGATGGATCACAAGGTCAAGAGATCGAGACCATTCCTGGTCAACAAGGTGAAACCCCGTCTCTACTAAAAAATACAAAAAAAAAAATCAGCTGGGCATGGTGGCGCATGCCTGTAATCCCAGCTACTCAGGAGGCTGAGGCAGGAGAATTGCCTGAACCCAGGAGGCAGACGTCGCGGTGAGCCGAGATCACGCCATTTCACTCCAGCCTGGGTAACAAGAGTGAAACTCCGTCTAAAAAAAAAAAAAAAAAAAAAAATTGTTTTAAAGTGACATCTGAATCTTAAGAATAATTATTACAAAAAGAGAGAGAGAAAAAAAAGCCTACCATGGCTATAACTGAAGTGTTTGGTTAAAAGGTTTACTTAAGGTAAAAAAAAAAAACAACAACAACAACTTTTTTTTAACCTTAACAAAAAATGCTTTTTTTTGGAGACAGAGTTTCGCTCTTGTTACCCAGGCTAGAGTGCAATGGCACGATCTTGGCTTGGCTCACCACAACCTCCACTTTCTGGGTTCAGGCAATTCTCCTGCCTCAGCCTCCTGAGTAGCTGGGATTACAGGTACGCGCCACCATGCCCAGCTAATGTTTTGTATTTTTAGTAGAGACGGGGTTTCACCATGTTGACCAGGATGGTCTCCATCTCTTGACCTCCTGATCCACCCACCTCGGCCTCCCAAAGTGCTGGGATTACAGATGTGAGCCATCGCGCCCAGCCAAAATGCTTTTTTTTAAACCTTAACAAATAATGGTATACTAGTATTTTAAAATAAACTTCTTTTTAGTCATGAGGGGTCTATTTGATAAATTTTAAGTGTTCTAAGTCAGGTGCAGTGGCACACATCTGTAGTCCCAGCTATTTGGAAGGCTGAAGCAGGAACAGTGCTCTCAGGAGTTTGAGACCAGCCTGGCGAACATAGGGAGATGCTGCTCTCTAAAATTCAAATATAAATAAATGTTTTAGAAAAAATTTAAGTTACGTACATTCTTTGAATATCGTGTATATATCTCATTTACTTATAATTTATGTGAAAACTCCACAGATTTTTTAAACATACTGTTTTTGACAAGCACAAATGAGATTTGAATTACATTTAAATTAAACTTGTTGCAGTACTTAATTGAATTCCACATTCACCAATTCAGCAAATATGACAGTGTTGTCTTCTATTTGGCCCTATATAAGGATTTACAAGAGATATGTAGGAATACTTACCAAAGATTTTAATTCTTTTGAATTCAAAGTGTGAAATGATAATATGAAAGAGCCCTAAGACAGTTTTTAGGAGGAATATAAATCTTTTTTTTCTTTTTAATGTGGAGCTGTCGTGATTATAACCAGTTGTGTTCGTATTAAATTAAAGGGAAAGTGTTTTACTTATTATATTTTAATATCTTTATTATTATTATTTTTTATTGAGATGGAGTTTCCCTCTCGTTGCTCAAGCTGGAGTGCAGTGGTACGATCTTGGCTCACTGCAGTCTCTGCCTCCTGGCTTCAAGTGATTCTACTGCCTCAGCCTCCCAAATAGCTGGGATTACAGGCATGTGCTACCACGCCAGCTAATTTTTGTGTTTTTAGTAGAGATGGGGTTTCTCCATGTTGGTCAGGCTGGTCTTGAACTCCTGACCTCAGGTGATCTGGCTGCCTCAGCCTCCCGAAGTGCTGGGATTACAGGCCTGAGCCACCTCACCCGGCCATATCTTTATATTTTTATTTATGTGAGTAGGGAAATTGACTAGTAGAGGTAGCACACAGATTTTGAGGAAACAATGTATCTTCCTTTCTGGGTCTAAAATTTGTCAAAATAACTTGAAAATTGTAATGCAAATGCAAATATAATGTATGTGCAATATTTTTATGTGTACACATACACACGTATGTATGTACATACACGCATATGTATGTACATACATAGGCATATTTATAAGAATGTTTTACATTTTAAGCTAGCATTTCTCTGTGAAATTCAGTGTTCATTTTGGCAACACTAGTGATAAGCCTACCACAGTATCTATGTAGAAGTGAGTTTTCAAAGACTAGAAATGTGTTTTGCTTTTGGATTTTGTTTTTAGCATATTGTTACTTTGAAATCCAGGGTAAAAAGTATGACTGTTAGCACTTACATTTTTAACATTTAGCATTGTAGAACAAACCTACGCACCAGCTGAATGTGTAAGCCAGGCCATAGACATCAATGAACCAATAGGCAATTTAAAGAAACTGCTAGAACCAAGACTACAGTGTTCTTTGGATGCTCATGAAATTTGCCTGCAAGATATCCAGGTAATTTTTATTTTGTAAATTTGTATTTTAACATTTTAGTCTGCATAGGAATATTTTTTGTTAGCCTTTTCTTTGTAGCTATAGACTATCTCTGTAAGATTTGACATGTATTACTGTAAAATGTAAGTGTTCAGAAGTAAAAAGGTTTTTAAGCAAAATTTTCTCCATTTAAAATTATATTTTAAAAATTTAGTACTAAAACAAATGAAACATTCATTTTTTACTTTCACAAATATAAAGTGAAAAGTTTTAATAAATTAGAATCAAAGCTTAAATATAAGTAGTAATAGTAGGAAGTACATTGCCTTTTGAAGCTGAAGTGTTTTCCTAGCTAGCTTTTAACTTCTCAAACATATCATTTAACTAAATGATTTCTACATTTCCCTTTTATCTTTATTTTCTCTGACAGTAAGTTTTGGATAAAAATTCAAATATTTAATGATAAGTCCTGGAATTTGTTCTAAAAGGATTTTACCCATGGTAGTATTAAAATGTTATGTTACAACCATATTCGAAGTCATATTTTATAATACTTTTTCAAGATAGGTAGTACTTTTATGTATAAAAGGTAGCAGCCTAAACAGGATTGCTGATACAGTTTTTCTGTGACCTTCTTTAAACATATGATTAAATACTAGAGTTTTATACATTTTTTTTTTTTTTTTTTTTTTTTAGACAGTCTCATTCTGTCACCCAGGTTTTAGTGCAGTGGTGTTATTTCAGTTCACTGCAACCTCCACCTCCCAGGTTCAAGCGATTCTCCTGCCTCAGCCTCCCGAGTTGCTGGGACTGCAGGCCAGTGCCTCCACACTGGGCTAATTTTTGTATTTTTAGTAGAGATGGGGTTTTGCCATGTTGGCCAGGCAGGTCTCGAACTCCTGACCTCAAGTGATCCACCTGCCTCAACCTCCCAAAGTTCCGGGATTACGGGTGTGAGCCACCACGCCTGGCTGAGTTTTATACTATTTTTAAACTGACTTACACTAATGTATATTGTATCATCTTTTGGATTGTTTTATTTTATTTTATTCTTTATTCCTTCCCCAACCTGCTTTGTGTTACGGGTATTTCTTATATTATAGAACTTTTGTGTTACTTTTTTAAAAATTCAAATAATTATATGCTGCTACTGTTTTTAATAGGATATTGTTGTATAATAAGTTGAAATGTTTTAATGAAATTTGTGCATTTTACCTGCCATTTAGGATACTTGAATCTTTTCATTTCAATATAAATCTAGTAATTGGTAGTGGGTGGGGATGACAGCTTCTAAAACTAAGGAATGTAGGAAGATCTAGTAGTGTTGCAATTTTAGGATTTAAAGTTTTTCTTCTCTTAAGAGTGAGAGGATGAATTAGCATAGTCTTTTTGGAAGACCACGTAGCATTTAATTAATACCTGTTAAAGTTAAATGTGAAATACCTAACAATTCCACTTCAGCAAATTGTTCCTACAGAAATGCTCACCTGGGTGGGTAAAGGTATATTCCTAAGGATGTTCCTGGCTTTTCAGAAACTGAGAACACATCAGATGTTCCAATAATGAGATTTGATAAATTAATTCCATAGAATAGAATTCGAGGTAGCCATTAAAAACTGGTGAACTAGAACTATATGGGCAGGGTCGGATGAGTGAAGAAATACTTGGAAAACACTCGAATTCTCTCATGTAATCTTCACATCAGTATTTGAAATCAGCATATTCTTAGTCACATTCTGCACATATAGAAACAGATTTAAAGAGGTTAAATAATTTGCCCAATTTGCGGCTACGAAGGGGTATACTGGAATTTGAACCCAGACCTCTGTGGCTCTAAAACTCTCTTCACTTGTTTGAGGCAAAAAATAAAAAAAAAAACACGAAACCTTTTTAAAGGTTTATAGTGAATATAACTCAGTGTCACTGGAATTTGCGTGGTTTTGCTCATATGTAAAATAAAGGGAAATCTGGACTTGATCTCTTAGTTGTCTTTCAGCTGTAACATTTATTGCTTTATTTGTAAAATACGTGACCTATCCAATGAAAGTATGGCCTGCAGATTACTCAGCCTCTTACAGCTTCTCAATAAATATTAGTTGGATAAATGGTAATGCTTATAATTCATACTGGCATAGAATTCAGGGCCAGCTTTGGATCTAAGGGCATTTTATATTACTCTTCATCCCCCTTTCCTCCTTAAAAAGGATATGAGGATCACAACTTCTTTTCTCCATGTCAGTGCAAACATAAATTTAATCAGAGGTCTTACTGCTTGTGGTAGTGCTCTTATATTTTCAGATGTGGGCTGACTTGAAAGCTGAGGGAACAATAGCTAAGTTGTACTTTTTTGAAGAATGTAACACAAGATCAAATACTGGTCTTGAGTTTTGTCCTTGTTCTGGCTTCTAGTGAACTGGCTAATGTGTTGGGTACCTGAGAGCTAATACTTTCAGAGTTACGTATGCCATCACTTCTAGTGGATATTACCAGTCATAATTAATTTAATCTATCTGCCTGCAAGGTTACACGTTTCTGTTTTTTTTTTTTTTTTTGAGACTGAGTCGCTCTATCGCCCAGGCTGAGTGCAGTGGTACTCGCTGCAACCTCCGCCTCCTGGGTCCAAGCGATTCTTGTACCTCAGCCTCCTGAATAGCTAGGATTACAGGCGTGCACCACCACATCTGGCTAATTTTTGTTTAGACAGGGTTTCACCATGTTGCCCAGGCTGGTCTCAAACTTCAGACCTCAGGTGATCTGCCTGCCTCGGACTCCCAAAGTACTGGGATTGCAGATGTGAGCCACTGTGCCCAGTCCTACACAGTTTGTCCTGTCCCCTGTTCAAATTAGATTTATAGTCATTTGTCATGTGTTTGTGCCATGACTACACCATCGTTGAATTATTGGGAATGAGAGTAGGACATGCAGCTATATGACACGCAGACACAGTTATAAATTATGCAAGATAATTATAATGGAAGCCTGTCTTTAAGCTGATGACAAAGTACGTGAAAGTCAGAATTAACATTTTGTCATCAATTTGCCATAGTGTGAAATGTATTCATTATAAGGATATATGAAGGAAAACACACTAACACTGAAATGATACAGAATTATGATTAGATACTCATAGCTAGGTGAAGTAGTAAGGTCATAAGTACTTTAATTTTATTAACTTTATGATGAGAGATTTAGAGTAAACCCTTCAATATGTAGCGTTGGTTACAAGGCAGATATGATAAGAATAAGTTAATATATTTAGATAAATTGTCACCATTAATTAAACACTCTTATTTATTCATGACAGACATAGCATTACCTTCTACTTTAAATACATTTCCGAATGAATAATTGCCTTTTGAAATTATTTAAAATCTCAAACTAGACTCCGGAGATAGAGAAAACTGGCATGATAAATTTAGTGGTATGCTATCCTGAATTTTTTCCTCAGTAGTGAAAATATTTTAAATTTTGGCAAAGAAATATGACAAGCTAGATAATATGTTATTATTTAATTAGTATGTTCAGTAATTAAGTGTTTGGTACATCCATTTATACTAAACCAGAGGTGAGGTACTTAATCTAATGATTGCACTAAAAGAATCTTACTCATTTTACCCATGGTTAGCTGGATCCAGAACGAAGTTTATTTGACCAAGGAGTAAAGACAGATGGAACTGTACAGCTTAGTGTACAGGTAATTTCTTACCAAGGTAAGTTACTTTTAATGATAGTTATTTAAATTTTAGCTCATGTTTTTCTGATACATTTTGTAAGTTTTAGGTGTTTTAGATGGTTGTCTAAATTACTTGATATAATAACCAGTGTTCATACTTTTGGTTTAGTAGTTATATTTGACAGGGTGAAATAGAGAGTATAACACATTCTACCTTGCTCAGTCATAAAAGGATGTATTATATGGCAGTAAATAGCAGAATCATAGAGTGCTGAAAGTCAGCAGGTTCCAGCTCAATTCCTAAGAGTACCTCAGCCACACTGCAGAACTGGACTGCCAAGGAAGCTGCTGCTCTGCCATGATTTGGAAAAATAACAACACCTGGAAGCTACCATGGTAGCTGTCAGCTTTAACCACGTTGCCTTTACAGTGATTCACACTAGTCAAAAAATAGATGTTGGCTGGGCGCAGGGCCTCACGCCTGTAATCCCAGCACTTTGGAAAGTGGATCACTTGAGGTCAGGAGTTCAAGACCAGCCTGGTGAACATGGTGAAACCCCATCTCTACTAAAAATAAAAATGAGCCGAGCATGGTAGCGCATGCCTGTAATCCCAGCTACTTGGTAGGCTAAGACAAGAGAATCACTTAAACCCAGGAAGTGGAGGTTGTAGTGAGCAGAGATTGTGTCACTACACTCCATCCTGGGCAACAAGGGCAAAACTCTGTCTCAAATAAATAAATAAAATAATGTCATCTGCCTCAATGGTCCCCACCCTTTTTTGGCACCAGGGACCAGTTTCACAGAAGACAATTTTTCCATGGATTGGGGCAGGGGAATTCAAGTGCATTACATTTATCGTGTGCTTTGTATGTATTATTACTACATGTGGAGGTGATGGGAGACAGTGACAGAGTATCAGGCATTAAATTCTCATAAGGAACACACAACCTAGATACTTCGCATGTGTAGCTCATAATAGGGTTTGCACTCCTATGAGAATCTAATGCTACCACTGATCTGACAGGAAGCAGAGCTCAGGCAGTAATGTGAGCAATAGAGAGCGGCTGTAAATACAGATGAGCCTTCATCTAATCGCCTGCCAATCACCTCCTGTTGTGTGGTCTGTGGCCTGGGGCTTGGAGACTCCTGATCTGCCTGCATGCCCCCTCTTAACTCATTTCCAAGTAGAAGGCTTATGCCAGTGATTCTAAAGCTTAAATCATGCCTGGAACCCTAGCTGCAAAGAAATCCAGTCTGTACAGTTTAGCACAGAGAGAAGAATTTGTAATAGACATAGAGTCATCTAGTCAGCCTTATCCATTACGGTTTGTGTTTTTCTTGTTTTTTTTTTTGAGATGGAGTTTCTCTGTTGTTACCCAGGCAGGAGTGCAGTGGCATGATTGCGGCTCTCCGCAAACTCCGCCTCCTGGGTTCAAGCGATTCTCCTGCCTCAGCCTCCTGAGTAGCTGAGACTACAAGTGTGCGCCACCATGCCTGGCTAATTTTTGTATTTTTAGTAGAGATAGGGTTTCACTATGTTGACCAGGATGGTCTTGATCTCTTGACCTCGTGCTCCACCCGCCTCGGCCTCCCAAAGTGCTGGGATTACAGGTGTGAGCCACCACGCCCGGCCCATTACAGTATTTTACTAATCTTGTATAAGTACCCAAATTAGAAAAGAAAATTAGGAAACCATTTTTTGGTAGGTTGAATTTTAGTTTTTTAAAATTTAGAATAATTTCATCTCTGGACATACATTGTTCACAATTATGTTTCAGAAACCAAATTTTTTTTCAGACTCTGAAAATGGTAGTTACTTACTTCTGATCCTGAATTCCCTCAGAATTAATTATTGGGAATAGGAAATATATTAGTGGTTTTTATCTTTAAAAGCCTAGTGACCTCTTGATCTAACTGTGTTTAAAAAGAGTTTACTTAAAGCCATAAAATTATTAAATGTAGATGAAGGATTAGGAAATAGATTTTTTTAAATATGTTTTTGATTCTGATTATTTTTATCATGTATATTTTAAAAGTGATTTTATTAATGAATGATAGTATAGTTTCTTGCAATACTGGTTTTCACAGGAGATTGAAGTTGAGTTGTGCTTTTTTTAAAACTGTACTTGGATTGAATTTTTATAGATTGTAATAGATTTAATAAGGAACAGAAGCTGTTGTATGATAGTGTCTTACAGCTGTCATTTTAGTCTGAGGTTATTTCATAAAGGGCTAATTCCATTTTGAATAGATAAATAATCATCTGTCTTACAGATAACTGCTTATATGGCATATTTTCTTGGCTTAATTATAATTTCTGAAACAGGTTTAAATGTTTTGATTCTGGATAGTTGAGGAGCCTTTGTTAATAAATGATTTATCTTTCTTTTTATCTTTTTCTTAGAAATAACAGTTCTTAACACCTATATACTAGGGGCTTAAAATATTCAGGATTTGGGGTTCCATCCAATTTAAAATGAAAATTAGAATTTAATGGCAAATTTAATTTAGCAAATTTGGCATCATTTTTAACACATCTACTTTGTCCTTTAAAAAGAAAAACTGAGTCAGTAAATAATAATTTTAATTTCCTTAGAAGGATTTTTTTAAAATTCCAAGGATAGGTAGCTACTTATTCATACTCTACCTAGTCTAATTTTTATTTTGTTTCATATTGGTAATTTTTATTTTTGTTTTATTGTGGTAAGAACTGGTATTTCTTTTTTTCTAATGATGTTTAGAGAGAGGGTTTGTGTGTGTATCTTTTTTTTTTTTTTTTTGAGACGGAGTTTCGCTCTTGTTACCCAGGCTGGAGTGCAATGGCGCGATCTCGGCTCACCGCAACCTCCACCTCCTGGGTTCAGGCAATTCTCCTGTCTCAGCCTCCTGAGTAGCTGGGATTACAGGCACCCGCCACCATGCCCAGCTAATTTTTTTGTATTTTTAGTAGAGACGGGGTTTCACCATGTTGACCAGGATGGTCTCGATCTCTTGACCTCGTGATCCACCCGCCTCGGCCTCCCAAAGTGCTGGGATTACAGGCTTGAGCCACCGCGCCCGGCTGTATCTTATTTTTTATAAAATTATTTTAAACTTTTGGAAAAGTTGCAAGACTAGTAAAAGAATTCTTGAGTATCTTTCACCCAAATTCCCCAAATGTTAGAGTATCTTTCACCCAAATTCCCCAAATGTTAACTTTTACTACCTTTGCTTTATTTGATGTAGTTTTTCTCTACCATTCAGTAACATATAAATTATTTTTGGGTGACTTGTGTGTTTTCATTTAGATTTTTATATTTTTTTATCCACTGTTAAGGAATTGAACCAAAGTTAAACATCCTTGAAATTGTTAAACCTGCGGACACTGTTGAAGTTGTTATTGATCCAGATGCCCACCATGCTGAATCAGAAGCACATCTTGTTGAAGAAGCTCAAGTGATAACTCTTGATGGCACAAAACACATTACAACCATTTCAGATGAAACTTCAGAACAAGTGACAAGATGGGCTGCTGCACTGGAAGGCTATAGGAAAGAACAAGAACGCCTTGGGATACCCTATGGTAATAAAGTACATAATTCTATATTAGGTAGAAAAATAGGAATTAAGCTTGACGTAGAAGACATTAGGGTAAGTTATAATCTATTGTATATGTAGAGTTATTAGGATGAATGTTGATTTTCTGTATCTCTGTCTTTTTTAATTGTAATGCACATTTAAGCTCATAGGGTGGACAAATTCTGTCCTGCATCCTGGAAATACAAAGAAGTCTAAAAAAATTCTGCTCTTAGGGTGTTGAGAGTGTAGTTGAAGAGAGAGAAGACAGATGAAAAGAGATTAATTGCCGTAAAAGGTAACATGTTTTTAAACCGTCAGTAACTCTGGTAGAAGAAGCATGCTATTGGAATCTCAAGGGGATCATGGTTGGCCTGAGGGAAAGTTGAAAAAGAGTTTATTGTAAGTAAGATACTGTTGGGCAGAGAAAGGCATTTAAGACAGGGAACGTTATGTGCAAAGCTTAGACCTGGGGGTATGCATGAGTAGTGACAAAATTCGTTGGTTAAGGAATTACTCTGTAGCATTACAGAACTGTTTCTGATTGATGAAAATGATAATTGGGCCGGGCGCGGTGGCTCAAGCCTGTAATCCCAGCACTTTGGGAGGCCGAGGCGGGTGGATCACGAGGTCGAGAGATCGAGACCATCCTGGTCAACATGGTGAAACCCCGTCTCTACTAAAAATACAAAAATTAGCTGGGCATGGTGGCGCGTGCCTGTAATCCCAGCTACTCAGGAGGCTGAGGCAAGAGAATTGCCTAAGCCCAGGGGGTGGAGGTTGCGGTGAGCCGAGATCGTGCCATTGCACTCCAGCCTGGGTAACAAGAACGAAACTCCGTCTCAAAAAAAAAAGAAAATGATAATTGAAAAATGAATATGGCAATGGTGTATGGCTTACCTTAGAACAGGTAGAGACTGAGTGAAGGGAAAACAGGAGCATATTATTATAGCTGTAACTAGATGATAATGTCTAGATTAGTCCAGACTAGGTGATTTCTTTGTTGAGTAGAAAGGAAAAAGTGGATGAAAACAGTGATAGGACTGAGCAGATTGGCAGATTTTATGAGGGTAGAGTGGGAAGATAGAAATATTGATATAACTTCTCAATTTTCATCTTGGTGACTTAAACAGTAATAATCTTGAAAGAAACTGGTTCCATCTTTATTACATATTTAGTGAACACGACTGTACACCAGGCACTATGTTAAATGCTGGGCTTAATGATGGTACACTAGAAAGAGCATGCCTTCAAAAGCCCAGCTGGGGAAGTAGGGAAGTCTGGTATAGGAAATGTTTTTTCAAGAGAAGGTAGATAGCACTTGATTTTGAAGTGAAAGTTCATACTCAGCTGGAGGTAGCCAAAATGGTTTCAGCTATATAAGATTTGGGCTGGAGATGTTATATGAGACTCATTCACATGAATTTGTGTTTGAAACTATAAAAGTATATGCAGTCCCTGATAGAGAGCAAGAAATGGAAAAGAACACACAATTAAAGCCTATTCCCTAAACCAGGCGTCCCTAGACTTTTTACACAGGGGGCCAGTTCACTGTCCCTCAGACCGTTGGAGGGCCGCCACATACTGTGCACCTCTCACTGACCGCCAATCAAAGAGGTGCCCCATCTTGAAGTGCGACGGGGGCCGGATAAATGGCCTCAGGGGGCCGCATGCCGCAGGACTTAGTTTGGGGACGCCTGCCCTAAACCCTATAAAAATTTAGGGTTGGAGAAAAGGGAGACAAGAAATAACCAAAGATACAAAAAGAAAGTAAGAACTGATATGTATGATGTCACTCAAATTGAGGGGAGTTTGAATTGTCAAGACCCTCAGATGCTGCTGAGAAAATCAAAGGATGCTGACTGATATCTCAGATTTGATGATCAAAGGATCGTTCTTAGATTTAGACAAAAGTAACGAGTTGGTGAGACAAAACAGAATGATAAGAAATAGACATCTTAGAAATGGGGCAGATGACGAAGAATGCTGGGTAACAAATAATACTGATGGTCCAAGAGTTGCTAGGGACCTGAGTGTATTTGTAAATGAAATAGTATTGTTGGGTTTTTTTGTCCTTTTTTTGTTTTTAGAGACAAGGTTGTACCCTGGGAGCAGGGCTGATGAAAGAAAAGCTGTATTATTACAGAACTACTGTTTTCCCTAGGACATTTTTTTCTTTCTTTAAACCAAACCTAAAAGACACAATAAATGATAGAGCTTACCCATGGAACTGAAAGAGCTATGGAACCAGACAGTTAGTGTAGAATTTCACTCTATCTCTGCACTGACCAGAACTGTAGCCACTAATCACATGTGAGCACTTGAGGTGTCCCTAATGAAAATTGAGATGTGTTGTAAATGTAAAATACCCATTAAAAGAAAAATAATATAAAATCTTTTTTTTTATATTGAATACCAGTTGAAATAACATTTGGCACGTTAAGTTAAAATACATGTATTAAGATGTATCACCAACTTTTTAAATGTAACTATTAGAAAATTTAAAATTACATAATGGTCTGTGTTATATTTCTGTTGGACAGCCCTGATCTTGATAATTGTAGCCTAACTTTAAAAAAGTTTTACTGCAGTATTTCTGTTTCTTCTGGATTCTGTTTTTCCTGTGGTTTTTGTTTTGTTTTTAATCTCTCTCAAATACCTAATTATTTTTGCTCATCTTTTCACATTTAAGAATTAGTCGCTTTAGGCCAGGCACAGTGGCTCATGCTGTAATCCCAGCACTTTGGGAGACCGAGGCAGGTGGGTCACTTGAGGCCAGGAGTTTGAGACCAGCCTGGCCAACATAGTGAACCGCTGTCTCTACTAAAAATATAAAAATTAGCTGGGCGTGGTGGCACATGCCTGTAATTCCAGCTACTTGGGAGGCTGAGGCACAAGCGTCTCTTGAACCTGGGAGGCGGAGGTTGCAGTGAGCAACGTCATGAGGGAGGAAAGAGGACCTGGTTCATATTTTGGAGGATAAAGCTAGCTTCCTAGAATCCCCGTTTGATTTTTTTTTTCAATGCAACTGCAAATTTTTTTAAACTTGGATAATTTACTTCATTCTCTCCAGAATAATCTCATATTTTATTCTTTTATTTGGCCCACTGGAGAGCAATTTTGCATTTTGTTTTTCTTGATACAGTTCCAACTGAGGTTGAACCAAGTGACTCCATCAGAAATTTAGATTAAGAAATTGAAAAGGAACTGAGAAGAAAATTACAGCATAATGTTTTTTTCTTCATATACATTTACCTCACTTATTTGGGGAAAGAAAACATATGTATGTATATTGACAAGTTAACTGTAAATTTATATAGCATCTAAAATGGAACTAAGCTAAAGTTAATGTTTTTCTTTCTAGATCCCATACAGTGGTCCACAGACCAAGTCCTGCATTGGGTGGTTTGGGTAATGAAGGAATTCAGCATGACCGATATAGACCTCACCACACTCAACATTTCTGGAAGAGAATTATGTAGTCTCAACCAAGAAGATTTTTTTCAGCGGGTTCCTCGGGGAGAAATTCTCTGGAGTCATCTGGAACTTCTCCGAAAATGTATGAAATTACAGTTATTTATTTACATTGTAACTTAAGCATAATTTTATTTCCTTATAACTTTGTTTTCATCTTAACTGTTTACTGATGATAACTAATAGGCAATAATAACATTTATTTACTGTATAATGCTATGCTGAAAGCTCTATATGTTATCTCATTTAATTCCTATGGTAATGCCACAAATCATTACTTTCCTTATTTTTTAGATAGGAAAGTGAGGCTTTGAGAACCCCACAAAGTCACAGCTAGGAAGTGGCAGAGCCAGGATTCAAGCCCAAGCTAACATTAGAATTCAAGTTCTTAAATCAGATGCTGTGCCCTACACTTAGCCCTCTTCATATATTCTATTTGTTTCCTTCTGTTTGATCAGGTCTTACGTTTACAGCTCATCTAGAAACTTAAGATGGTTTGTTTACAGGTGGCTTCTTTCCCATTCTCTTCATTATTGATGAGATTAAGTCTTTTTTCAAGTCTTTACTATTAACTGAATAGAGTCAAGCAAGAAGGAAGTGTATGCAACCACTTTCTTGAATTGGAAACCACTGGTTATAAGTGTTTCCACTTAAAACTTACAAAGCTTCAGACATTGTTATGATTAAGTGACCATATAAAGAAATTGGACCAGAACTTTGGGAAGATGAGGCGGCAGATCACTTGAGGCCAGAAGTTTAAGACCAGCCTGGCCAACATGGTGAAACCCTGTCTCTACTAAAAATACAAAAAATAGCTGGGCAAGGTGGCACGTGTCTGTAGTCCCAGCTACTTGGAGGCTGAGGCGAAAGGATCGCCTGAACCTGAAAGGCAGAGGTCATAGTGATCCGAGATCGTGCCACTGCACTCCACTATGGGTGACAGAGCAGGATTCTGTCTCAACTGAAAAAAAAAAGGCGGGTGGGGTAGGGGTGGAATTGGAAACTGCTTGGCTGTTTAAGAAAACAAGAGAAGAGCTGGGCGCAGTGGCTCACGCCTGTAATCCTAGCACTTTGGGAGGCTGAGGTGGGTGGATCACCTGAGGTCAGGAGTTCAAGACCAGTCTGGCCATCATGGTGAAACCCCATCTTTAAAGAAAAATAAAAAATAAAAAGAAAACAAGAGAACAAATGTAAGTTATTTCTGCTTGAATTTTAATCCATCTTGTATTTCAGTAACTGTTAAGACACTGAAAGCAACCCATTCCTTGACAGTTTTGCATATCAGAAATGCTAGCCAGACCCACATATTTTTCAGAACACATGAATACGACAGACTCTGACTTTGCTTTTCTATAGTTGTGGATGAAAATGTTATTGGAGGGATTTTCCACATTGATTTAATGCTTGCAGTTTTCATTCAAGATGATTTCCCTGCTCAGGTGCAGGTGCTTACTCCTGTAATCCCAGCACTTTGGGAGTCTGGGGTGGGAGGATCACTTGAGGTCAGGAGTTCAAAGTGCTTTCTCTGCTTGTGAATAAGAAATGAGCTCTGGAGAGAGGCATTTCTTCATTGTTTATATCTATAATTTTACTTTCATAAGGATTCTCTAGGTTTTGTTAAAAGTGTCTATGATACTAGCCAGGCGCAGTGACTCATGCCTGTAATCCCAGCACTTTGGGAGGCCAAGGCGGGCGGATCACAAGGTCAAGAGATCGAGACAATCCTGGCCAACATGGTGATACCCCATCTCTACTAAAAAATACAAAAATTAGCTGGGCGTGGTGGTGTGCGCCTGTAGTCCCAGCTACTCAGGAGGCTGAGGCAGGAGAATTGCTTGAACCCAGGAGGCAGAGGTTGCAGTAGGCCGAGATTGCACCACTGCTCTTCAGCCTGGCACCTGGTGACAGAGTAAGAAGACTCTGTCTCATAAAGAAAAAAAAAAAGTATCTATGATACTAAAAGACAGTACATTCATTGTGTTTGTAGCATTTATTTCCTGTTTCAGTTCTTATTAGATAAATAAGTTGAATGTCCTGGTTGAAGCTTTGTCCTTGGTTTCACAGATTTCCTTCTCTGCAGAGGTTTTGAAATGAATAAGGTAAACTCTGAATTGTGAAACATGTGAGTCACATTTATTGAAACACTTGTAAGAATTCTCAAGAATACAGCAAGGATAGTGCATAGATGATCGTTTTCATTTTTCCCAAACTCACATTTTTCCATTCTCTCTCAGGTCAGCTCTTTGTTGTGGCTGTCTCTTTTTGGTTCTCTTATTGCTTCTCAAACTTCCTAGAACAGAGGTCAAAGGTGTCTTGTACATCTTTTCATTTCCATGCAGTTGAATGAGTCTTCCTCAGAAAAGCTCTGTTCTGGAACCGTTGCTTTGTCTTTTAAAGCAACAAAGTCCCATGGCCTAGAATTTCTTGGTGATCCAGCCTGGTCAACATGGTGAAACCCCGTCTCTACTAAAAATACAAAAAATTAACTGGGCGTGGTAGCACGTGCCTGTAATCCCAGCTACTCAGGAGGCTGAGGCAGGAGAATTGCCTGAACCCAGGAGGTGGAGGTTGCGGTGAGCCGAGTTTGCACCATTGCACTCCAGCCTGGGTAACAAGAGTGAAACTCATCTCAAAAAAAAAAAAAAAAAGGCCGGGCGCGGTGGCTCAAGCCTGTAATCCCAGCACTTTGGGAGGCCGAGGCGGGTGGATCACGAGGTCAAGAGATCGAGACCATCCTGGTCAACATGGTGAAACCCCGTCTCTACTAAAAATACAAAAAATTAGCTGGGCATGGCGGTGTGTGCCTGTAATCCCAGCTACTCAGGAGGCTGAGGCAGGAGAATTGCCTGAACCCAGGAGGCGGAGGTTGCGGTGAGCTGAGATCGCGCCATTGCACTCCAGCCTGGGTAACAAGAGTGAAACTCTATCTCAAAAAAAAAAAAAAAAAAAAAGAACTAGGAGTCTGGATAAAACAGTAAGGTTGTCAGTTGACTGAAAACGTAACTGTTTACAGTGCACTGCGCTTCTTAAAAACATGTTCCTTTAATCCTCACAGTAACTTCATGAGGCGGTAAGTATAGGTGTCGTAATTTAAACATGAGGAAGTTAATGTTGAAAGAGGTTAGTAATTTTACCCAAGTCATATAGTCAGTAAGAACTAAGGACTGAATCCAGATCTGTCTGAAGCCAGTGTCATATAATTGTTTTGAGTCCCCACTCTTCAGACCCTCAAAGCTCCCATCTGATAGGATTCAGACCTTTTTTTACTTCCCTAACCTTTTCCAGCTGTGTGTCTGGAACTGGATCCTGGCAGGGCAACCTTAGCAGAGTCTTCTTGAGAGCCCAGGCCTCAGTACCCAGAATGATTGCTGGAGGGTATAGTTTCAATTTCAAGAGAGAGACATACAATTTATGATGGGCACCAAGTAGGCTGAAGTCATAGAGACTGGGATGTGCAATTCTTGTGAGAGGCAAAGAATAACATTTAAGTAGACGATAGCAACAGATAAGTAATGAATTGTTCTGTAAAGGCTTATCTTAGAAACTTAGAATATTTTTGTGTTGGGAGCTGTATTTTTAGACATTAAATTATTTAAATTCAGACATTTAGGACCACTACAATTGTATTGAAAATTTGCTTTCGTTAAGTGGAAGCATTATAAAGGTTAAACAGCTTTAGTCAAAAGATGTTATAACAAACAGATAATGGTAAGGAGGCCTTTTTGATGGAGATATTTATCTAAATAACTTCATTTTGCTGTATACTTTATATTTGATCTGATCTTGAAGATTTCCATATTTTTACATGGTTTTATACAGATTTAGATACAAATATTTACATTTAGAAAACAATTGTTCTCTGCAGAATTTTACTGAACACTAAAACACATTGGAGCTTTTTCCTGTGTTACTTCTCTTAAAGGTATCTTTTCCTTATAAAGTGACTATCAAATATTTTTAAGGTTTTTATGCCAATAAGTTTCAGTTTTTCAGTGTTTTGGTTTTAATTGTGGAGTTGTTTTTAAAAGAATCATGTTTATTAAGTTGAGTTTTACTAGAGTGGGGTTTTGTATTTTTGGTTTTAAATACAAATTTTTGTGTTTTCTTCAGATGTATTGGCAAGTCAGGAACAACAGATGAATGAAATAGTTACAATTGATCAACGTGAGTATTCTTATCTATAATATGTTTACTAATAAGAAATGTTTATTTGATACTGCAAGGTAGTAACAAGGAAAATTAATTTTTTTTCTACACACAAAATATCTTTTATTCTGTGGAATACAAGCTCTACACAAGTACTTTATAAGCTCCACTAATGTTGTTTTTAAATGATAAAATTATATAACAGCTTTTTTTGTATCTCTGTTCACTAAAATTTGTTAAGACATCATTTGTTTCATCTTTACTGACTGTTAATTACCAAGTCATAAGAACAATGCTAACCACATTCATACCTGACAGAACTTTTATGCCTGATAATAACTCGATATTGGGTAGCATCCAATTAAAATATCAATATAGCTTGGATACAACAAAGAAAATATTTTATTCAAGCTTTCAAAACAAACTTGAGGAGTTATGCTGTGTTTGAAATGAAGAAAAGGGCCAAGTTAAAATAGGAAAACAAATAGTTTTCATTTGGTGGAAACTGCAGTCAAAGTATACATTTGTATACATTCCAAGTGATCATCTGTGCCATCTGGCATTTTCCAAGATTTCAAGAGTTTACCAGGCCAAACCCTTCACCGCCTTCACTTTTGCTTGGCTTTTCCCTTTTCTTTTCTGTCACTTTGCCTTCAGCCTTTTTCTTCACCTTTGGTTCATCCATATTGGGTACTGTACATGCTTGTCTAGAAGAGTCTTTTTCTTAGTATCGTTCTCCATTTTCATGTTATCTTTTTCATGTTTTACCTCATATTGCATTTTTTCTTGGCATGTTTGGGTTTGGGTACCACCACAGTTGCCATCTCTTAAACATCTTTCATTAAAACATTACTGTCTAGTTTGAGAATACTTTTAAGCCTGCTGAGTTCCTTTGGGGCATTCTTTTTTCTCTTTTCAGCACACATCTTTCTTTTCTGCTTACACCATAAGCTTTTAGCCATATTTTACCGGAGATACGAATACACACGCCACAATATCCTGCCAACCAGCTATAATTTTTAATGAGGAATTTGAGATACACAAAGAAAGTATAGCACCTATGTACATGATAAAAAATAAAATTTTATATACCAAATTTACCTGCTGCTTTTATTTTCCTCTCTCCTACCAGAGAGTTATCTTGAATTTTATGTTTATTACTCTCTGCATATATTTTTACCAACTTTGTAACCATAAATACTGTATAGCATTGTTTTGCACGTTTAAACATTTTCTGTAAAATGATAATACATTGTACATACTCCTTTATAACTTTTATCGTTTGAGAATTACCTACGTTAATACTTGCAGCCACTTTATTCATTTTCACTGCTGTGTAGTATTTTTTAAATGCTGTGAACATCATTTGATGAATATTTGTAAGAACATATGTGAGAAGTTAGTGTCATAGGGTTTCCATCCTTTCAGCCTTATTTCAGGTATTGCCAGAGTCTCAAAGTGGTAGTGTGAATTCTCATTTGTCCACATATTCTACAATATTTGACAAACTGTTTTTATGAACAAACGTTTTAAAACATATTTAAATACTCTGTCTCATGTGTGTGCACCACTAAGTTATTTCCAAATAAGGATACTAGCTCTTCACACACTGTAATGCAAACATCATACTTAATCCTCTGAACTTTTTCATGATTTTGTTTGAAACTATAGGTTGAGGCTTTCTGTAGTGAAGTCCTTTCTTGGGGTTATTTGCAGGGTATTAGTTAAACTGATGTCTTTAATTTTTTTTTTTTTTTTTTTCTGCTTGTATTGAAAGAAAAAATTCCCCTTATCTGTCTTGGCAGCTGTGCAAATTATTCCAGCATCAGTGCAATCTGCTACACCGACTACCATTAAAGTTATAAATAGTAGTGCAAAGGCAGCTAAAGTACAAAGAGCTCCAAGGATTTCAGGAGAAGACAGAAGCTCACCTGGGAACAGAACAGGTATTTTTGTATTTTCTCATATTTATAAAATGTATCTAATTGGGTATATTTTGTTTTATATCACTGTATGAAAAATGTGAGTTTGGACCATCCCTCTGGCAGTATTTAGACAGCATTTCTAGAAAAACAAAACTTGTTTTTGCCACGGCTAAGATTTCAACCAAGGAGCCAGTTTGTTGCCTTTGTTTTGGGCATATCTAACGCTATAGCCAATGCTTTGTTCCTCTTTCAATTTAGGAAACAATGGCCAAATCCAACTATGGCAGTTTTTGCTCGAACTCCTTACTGATAAGGATGCTCGAGACTGTATTTCTTGGGTTGGTGATGAAGGTGAATTTAAGCTAAACCAGCCTGAACTGGTTGCACAAAAATGGGGACAACGTAAAAATAAGCCTACGATGAACTATGAGAAACTCAGTCGTGCATTAAGGTAAGCCTTTATTACTTTTTTTTCTGTTATTAAGTCTTTCTAAAAACTAGCTTCTTATTCTAGATGTAAGCATTGTAATGTAATGATATTCAAAACTTCTAAAAAGATCTTAATAAGTTTGAGGTACAGTATTTTTTAAAAATTAAGATTATTTATTTTTATCTGATTTGAAAGCATATAATACTCTGTCCAAAAACAACATTTTATTTTTGAGGTTTTTATTATTTGCATAGGTGAATTGAGTGAGTGTTAATTTTTAATGAGTGAGTAGATACTGTCCCGTTTTTACAATTAAATGCAAAATACTGATCCATTTTCTATACAATCTGCCTACATCTGGATATCCAATCTTTACATCGATACAAATTTTCCATAAGTAGTATGAAGTTTTTCAACAGAAATTATCCGAAATTATGCCTACTACAATGATGGAAATTCAGTAGGTACAATTTAGTATCTGAGAAGACGAATATATAAGAATATCATGGGATTATGTCTGATTTTTTGGGAGAGTGGATATAGTAAAGTAGTTCTGCAGTTTACCAGTTTTCTAAATAGCATGCTTTTACTGCTTCATATTTCACGTGGCCATTTTCACACTGAAAGATTATGATTTAGCTTATACACACACACACACACACACTCTCTCTTTCTCTCTCCCCCTCCCCCCCTTTCTCTCTCTCTCCCTCTCTCCCTCCCCCCCTCCCCTTTCCCCTTTCCATCCCCTCATCTCAATATCCCATGTAACTATATGGAATTTTGGTTCAGCCAGTGTTATTGTTACAGTATTATGGCCATGTAACTACTATAACATAGTTTACCATGATTATTTTTCTTTTCCTGAATGACCTGTTGTTCCTCAGAGTTCATAAGTAACTAAAATGTTTAGTTTTCAGTATGCTTTTCATTTGTCATTAAGTCTCAAACACATTGCAAACTGGCTAAAGATTTTTTGTATGTAATCAAAATTAGAGCTGCCATTTTTGAAAGTTGATACAGATTGTGTACATACAAGTCCCCTCAGAATTGCAGGTAAATTGTTAGAATTAATAATTAAGATGTAGTTCTCCCCAGATTGATCTAAGGTTCAGTGCAGCAATGAATTTTGATTTGAAAGCTCTAAGTTTTTTCATAGAACTTGGAAAGATAATTGTAAAATTCACATAGGACTAGAACGTACCATGGTAGTCAGGACACCTGAAAATTAGCAAAGTGGAAAGAGTTATCCCACAGCATATTGAGACTGACTCTAAAGTTACAGTAATAAGACAGTTATGCTATTTGCTCAGGACAAACAGGACATACAGTAGAATAGGGAACCAAAATAGAATCAGCAATACATACGAATTTGATTTAAAGAAATGGTGGTGGGAGCCGGATGCGGTGGCTCAAGCCTGTAATCCCAGCACTTTGGGAGGCCGAGGCGAGTGGATCATGAGGTCCAGAGATTGAGACCATCCTGGTCAACATGGTGAAACCTCGTCTCTACTAAAAATACAAAAAATTAGCTGGGCATGGTGGCACGTGCCTGCAATCCCAGCTACTCAGGAGGCTGAGGCAGGAGAATTGCTTGAACCCAGGAGGCAGAGGTTGCGGTGAGCTGAGATCGCGCCATTGCACTCCAGCCTGGGTAACAAGAGCGAAACTGTCTCAAAAAAAAAAAAAAAGAAATGGTGGTGGGGAGAAAACATGAGGAAAATACCTGCTTTTCCATGAGGAAAATACCTGCTTTTCCATCACCATTGCTGGGATAGTTTACTGTCCATCTTCAGAAGAAAAGTAAAAGTTGACCTCTTCCTTATGCCATACCAAAAATCAATTCCATGTAGTTTGTAGCTCTACATGTGTAAAAAGTAAAATAGAAAAGCATTTAGAGATACTTTCATAACTTGTGGTGGTAGGGAGACATTTAAACAGAATCTAAAGGACTAATTCTAAAGGGAAAGATGAATAAATTGGACTTTAAATTAGGAACTTTTGGTTGTTGAAAGCCTCTTTAAGAGAGCCACACATGTCTGACAGAAGTATCTAGAATATCTAAAGAATTCTTACAAATCGGCTTTTTAATGGGCAAAAGACTTGAATAGATATCGCGGGCTAGAGATTATCCAGATGGCCAATGACTATATGCAAAGGCGTACTGCCTCTTTAGTATTCAGAGTAATGCAATTGAAAACCATAATTAAATGGCACAGCACACCCCCTAGAATGGCTACAATTTAAAAGATTGCCAGAACCAAGCCTGTTGAGGATATGGAGCAATGGGAATGCTTCTATCCTTTTGATACGAATGTAAATTGTAACCTGTAACTCAGCAGTCGTTCCCCTAAGCAACTGTTTCATATATATCAAACAGAAGTGTACTTGTATGCCCATACACATGTTCATAGAAGATTGTTTATAACATCCAAACCCCAGAAACAACCCAGATATCAGCTGTAGAGTGAATAAATCAGTTATGCTATATTCATACAAGAATGCCTTGCATTCTTGAAAACCGAGTTTCTGCTACAAACGACATCAGTGAACCTCAGAAGCATAATGTTCAGTGACAGAATCCAGACCCAAATGACCAAAATCTGTATGATTACATTTATTTAGTAAAATTCAAAAAATCAGGCAAAGTAAATTCCAGTATTTAGGAATGTATATTTGGGTGATAAAAATATAAAGCAATGAAATTACTATCATGAAACAGGCTTATATTTACCTTTTAGAGCCAGGATTTGGGGAATGATCAGGAGGGGACATAAAGGGGATTCTGGGTTCTGGCAGCGTTCTGTTTCTTGACCTGAGTGATACTTCACAGGTGAATGAATGTTAAATTTGTAATCACTGAGCTGTTCACTTCTGTGTCCTTTTGTTTGTGTGATATATCTCACAATTAAAAAGGTTAAAAAAAATACAAGTTCAAAAAAAAAGGAAAGAAATCTTCCATGAAATATAGGTATTGTGTATCTCTCTACTCTCTTCATTTTAGGGAGGGAACAAGTGGAATGAATGCTACTATTTACAGTTGTGATGCATCTACTAGATCAAAGGAAATATTAAGTAAAATTCAAATTTGTGTGTGGATATTCGTTTCTTTTTTATCACCTCTTACCAAGAAATGTGATTATGCCAACTCCATTTTCCTCCTAGATTATAAAACCTCTTTCCTTTTCCATTTTCCTTTTCCTATGTATAATCTTACATATTAATATAGAAATTTTTTAAAGAAATTGAAATACCTACAGCATTTTTAACTGAAAGGCATGCAATTGCTGGTATGTGAGCTGAGATCCAAATTCTATACAAATGTAATTGACATAAATGGAAACTATCAGACTGCCCAGTGTGTTATATCTCTTACTGGGAAATCAAACATAACTATTTTCCTTTTGCTATTCTGGAATTAGGGAAAGATGACAATTTCCCAATTTCCTATATGTAGATTAGTCCTTTCATTAATAGATTCTTGATTAAGCCAAGTGACTTTTATCCTGCTAAATGTGATAAGTTTATATCACTGGTACTTTTGCAAATAGTTTTTGCAAATAGTTGTTCCTTTTGTAATAGCCCTTTGTCGGTGAGCATTGCAATTTTAAAATAAGGCCTTTGCAGTCTGCCAGCCCTGGAAAATATGACTCCTGTGGTCTCAAAAGTGTTAGGTTTTGAATCTTGGCTTTCTTACTCCAACACTCTTGTTCTTAGGCCCTACTGATGCTCTTAAAGTTTTTAATTTTGTTTAATAATTATTTTTAAATCAATGTTATCCTAATTGTAGGAAATATGTTTTGAAAGTTGAATGTGCAGAGTTTTTGGAGTACTGAGCATTGAAATTTTAGTAAATAATGTTTGGATGTTTCCTTTGATAGTAGCATTATATATTCTATATAACTTCAGTATTAATTGCTATTGTGGAGGATGCAGTATTCTACTAGGCTTCTGCTTATGGACTAGTCTGTAAACTATTGTAAGAAATCTGATTTATTTTTTTATGAAGTCTCTAATTTTTTTTTTCTCTTTTTAAAGATATTATTATGATGGGGACATGATTTGTAAGGTTCAAGGAAAGAGATTTGTGTACAAGTTTGTCTGTGACTTGAAGACTCTTATTGGATACAGTGCAGCAGAGTTGAACCGTTTGGTCACAGAGTGTGAACAGAAGAAACTTGCAAAGATGCAGCTCCATGGAATTGCCCAGCCAGTCACAGCAGTAGCGCTGGCTACTGCTTCTCTGCAAACAGAAAAGGATAACTGAGCCCCAGTACGTTCTGGGACTCCAAAGTCTTTCTTAAAATGTTTAGAGCAAGTATAGCTCTTACCTTTATTATCGAATTTGAATCTTCTTTTATTTCTAGACTGTACAATCTGATGCATGATTTTTTTTATAAATATTTCATACTCTTGTGAATTTGGATCTTTTTACTTTGAGCATATATTTTAGAATATGTGTATGTTAAATTATCTCCACAGTGTCTGCAGCGTGAAGGCAGGTTCATTGTGGAATAGTTTGTTAAAACAGTCAGGAAAGCTAAACTGGTCAGTATTAATGTGTAGCCCTACCAAAAATAGCCAGTAGTATCTGAAAATGAAAAATAAATGAAGTATCTTCAGGAAACAGTCTGGCTTAACTATTTTTGAAAATATAACTGTTTCCCCTCTCTGCTGCTTTAGATGTTGCTTTACCTAGAACCAGAAAATGGAATTTCTCAGCTAAAGCATGTGCCTGTTTCATCTAATCAAGCAGAGCTAAAATGTTCATAGTGAATAAAATTATATTAATAAATTACTAAACTAAGAGTATCAGGTTATTTATATATTTGCAAGCAAAGGACAGTAAGAAGTTGACTGGCAAAAGAACAGTGCTGAAGGAGAAGATCGAGGTTTAAATCTGGCTTATTAACTCAAGCCAGTTTTAAGGGTTTTCTGAATAGATTATTCATGTCAGACCAAGAATTTAAATTATTTTGAGAGAGACATTTAATTCTAATAAACCAGCTGTTACAGAAATTATAAAATGATCTCTGTTTTTTCTGTCAGAGATTTAAAAAACTGAAAAAGGTATACCTCAACCCAAAAATAAAGGTTTGGTTTGGTTTGTTATGGCTTCCTTTTTTTTAAAAATTACCCTATAGTGCCAGTTTATTATGCAAAGCAGCTTATATTCCTGTGTTTCTGATAAAATGAAGACTTTAAATCAGTCAGCAGTACTTTACCTTTCAAGGCATTAGTAAATTACTTGCAAATAGTTTTAAAAGGAAAATTTGACCTTTGTTATAGGCAGACTTCTCTATAAAACAATACTTTTCTACTTTTTTCTTTTGAATATATATGTGTACACATATGTCTATATACATATTCAGTTGATCATTTTATAATAAACATACATGAAGGCATAAAGACATGCAGAAGTTATTAACTCATTTTAAGACTTCTAATTATTGCATATATGACATTCCTTACACAAGCTAACACTAAACAAAAATGGCTAGAAGTGTCTCATTTGTTTGTTTTAAGATATTAAGCACGAATTATTATATGAGACTGGCAGATAGCTATTAATCCTCTTACAGATTTGAGAATGCTGATTCTCAAATATTTATGTACCTTCTCCTTTATCTTCTTTAAATCTGTCCCTTTAAAAAGCTTCTTAAGAGCTCAGTTAATGCTTTTGACTTAACTAGGAGAAAGGGAGGTGATAATACAGGCAAAATGGCATTGTTAGCAATTCTGGTAGTGGTTTGGAATGAATCTTAAGAGGCAGGGATCTTAAGGTTAAGGAAGAGGGGAGACAGAGAAGAGGGATCTTTGATCTCTTTCTCTGGTAATCTTAAAGCATAATTTTACTACAACATTTTCTTTTAATTCATTTATATTAAGTCCTTTCTGCAGTGGGTATCTGAGCAGAGTATTTCCGTTCTTTTTTGAAAGAGAATATATGGACAAATTGTTAGTACAATTTGGGCACTGTGGTTGTAAGAATATCAGTAAAATAACAATATGAAAATATACAGAAGCTCTAGCTTCAGATAACAAATAGACAGCTTGAAAGGTTTGTACCATCCTCTTACAACCTAGGGAGCTGAAAAGTTGCTTGTAGTTTTAAAAAAATAATAAAGTATACCCTTCTGGTATATTATCAAGAACTTAAGAATCTTGACTTTCATATTTAAAATGCTTTTGGGGAGACATATATTAAAATTTTAGCCAGCATGACAAACATGTCTCAATTATATATGTGTGTGTATGTTCTTAAAGCTAGAAACACATTTGTTTTAGATCCCTAGAATGAAAATTTTTTTTCTCATCTATGCAATTACCATATGCTTTTTTAAAAAATATTTTATTCATTTTCTATGGCAATTTTCATTTTATTTCTCATCATAATTTGAACAGAGACAGTTCTCATATATGATCAGATGCTTTTTCTTATCATTTATGCACGACAACGTAGGTAAGTAATATGACTAATTTCTCCAGTTGATCCAAGAAACTCATTACTTTGCCTCAAATTATTTATAAAATATTTGTTTTACTTACTGAGGTTACAGTTATCAGAAAGCCAGGTAGTCTTTTCTTCTATTAAAAGATAACATTGGGAAAGAAAATAAAATTAATGCTATTCATTTTCATTTTTATATATGAATATTTCACAGAATTTACAGTATATGCAAAGGAAGAAAGAATTATTAGTGGTCATTTTTACCTTAAAAATACAAGAATATAAGTAAAAGAAATGTTCATTTATGTTTTAAAACTTGTTTTTCATATAAAGTTTTTATTGAGCCAACTTTCATACATATCTCACTAGCCTGAAGTCTAAATATTTGTGTTGATATCAGAAAATCAAACAAATTAGGCAGGATTACCATGTGTGGTTCATCTTCAGATAAATTGATCACATTCATTTTTGTATCAGTCTATGTCATTTAATTAGGAAAAACTGTTTGGTTTTCTCCCCTGATTAATGTTGATACTCAAGTATGACACAAAAAGAATTGTACCACCAAATATTTTGTGAGGTCTGATGTTTTTCATATTCATCATTTTATGCTACTGCCTTTAAGAACTTGAAATAGCACAAAAATGTTTTAAAATTCATAATTGCAAAACAAACCTGTGACTAACTTAATGTCTTCAGATCTAAAGGGTGTAAAAATATTGACACTTCAATATTTCACTTGCTGCGAGGAAAAAAAAATTCTCAATCTTTTGTAAAAGGGAGGAGGACTTTTGCATACATTTTTACTCTTTAAATAACGACACTTATACTGTCATAATAACAATTATGTATTTCTTTGTGGTTTTGTTTTGTAATTTTACATAAAACAGTTATTTTCTATTTTTACGCAGATAAAAAAATATTTGTGCATAAAATGTAAAAATAGTAAAATGAGAAAAATAAAACTATTATACAGTATGTTTCTGTGTTGCTTAAAGCTTTTTCCTGAAAACAAAATCTCAAATCCCCAGGATATTTTGTTGGATAGTAATCTGACAGTCCACTTACGATACATTGTACATATGATTCCTATGCATTTTTTTACTTAAAAGCTTTCAATTTGGGAAGAACATATTCCACTGCACTAAAATTAGGAGATTAATATCTTTAAGAGAAATTCCATCTACAAAGCCAAATAGTTTTAGAATAGTGGTAAGACTGAGTAGCTGTCAGAAGGCTTGTTAAACTGTAAACCTTTAGTAAAGCTTTTTTTTTTTTTTTTTTTTTTTTTTGAGACGGAGTTTCGCTCTTGTTACCCAGGCTGGAGTGCAATGGCGCGATCTCGGCTCACCGCAACCTCCGCCTCCTGGGCTCAGGCAATTCTCCTGCCTCAGCCTCCTGAGTAGCTGGGATTACAGGCACGCGCCACCATGCCCAGCTAATTTTTTGTATTTTTAGTAGAGACAGGGTTTCACCATGTTGACCAGGATTGTCTCGATCTTTTGACCTTGTGATCCACCCGCCTCGGCCTCCCAAAGTGCCCGGCTTTTTTTTTTTTTTTTTTTTTTTTTTTTTTTTTTTGAGACGGAGTTTCGCTCTTGTTACCCAGGCTGGAGTGCAATGGGATGATCTCAGCTCACCGCAACCTCCGCCTCCTAAGTTCAAGCAATTCTCCTACCTCAGCCTCCCGAGTAGCTAGGACTACAGGCGCGTGCCACCATGCCCAGCTAATTTTTGTATTTTTAGTAGAGACGGGGTTTCACCTTGTTGACCAGGATGGTCTCGATCTCTTGACCTCGTGATCCACCCACCTCAGCCTCCCAAAGTGCTGGGATTACAGGCGTGAGCCACCGCACCCGGCCGTAAAGCTTTTTTTAAAAAACAAAAAATAATTACCTGTTCATGTTGGCTATGAGCAGATTGCTTCAGCCAGAACTAGAGTATAGAAGAATGGAAGAGGTCAGGAAAAAATAATTCATGCCTTTCTTTATGGTGAAGCAATGATGAAACTTTGATTGACATGCTTACATAGGAAGTTATGGTTAGAAATAAATTGCTTTAAAAATACACAATCGGGCCGGGTGCGGTGGCTCACGCCTATAATCCCAGCACTTTGGGAGGCCGGGGCGGGTGGATCACGAGGTCAAGTGATCGAGACCATCCTGGTCAACAAGGTGAAACCCCGTCTCTACTAAAAATACAAAAATTAGCTGGGTATGGTGGCACGCGCCTGTAGTCCTAGCTACTCGGGAGGATGAGGTAGGAGAATTGCTTGAACTCGGGAGGCAGAGGTTGCGGTGAGCTGAGATCATGCCATTGTACTCCAGCCTGGGTAACGAGCAAAACTCCATCTCAAAAAATAATAAATAAATAAATAAATAAAAATACACAATCTGCCAGGCGCGGTGGCTCAAGCCTGTAATCCCAGCACTTTGGGAGGCCGAGGCGGGTGGATCACGAGGTCGAGAGATCGAGACCATCCTGGTCAACATGGTGAAACCCCGTCTCTACTAAAAATACAGAAAACTAGCTGGGCGAGGTGGCGCGTGCCTGTAATCCCAGCTACTTAGGAGGCTGAGGCAGGAGAATTGCCTGAACCCAGGAGGCGGAGGTTGCGGTGAGCCGAGATCGTGCCATTGCACTCCAGCCTGGGTAACAAGAGCGAAACTCCGTCTCAAGAAAAAAAAAAAAAAAAAAAATGCACAATCTAATTGTATCTAGGTCGAAGTGATGAAAAATCATCAGCCAAGACACCAATGGGCTTTAGTTTAATCTGCAAGCCAAGTATGTGTTTAAAATGCTTTTTACTAATAATAATTAACTGACAGCTTTAAAACACTTCTTTTAAAATTTTCTGTAGTGAAGGAGCACTTTCTTGTTTCCAATGTGTCACAGACATTTGTAAAATAAAAACAATTAGTAGCAGGGAAGGGGAAATGAGAGGTTACTGTTAAGTGAGTATAGAGTTTCAGTTTTGCAAGATGAAAAGCTGGAGATGGTTGCACAGAGAATATACTTACCTATATTTAAGATGGCAAATTTCATATTATGTATATTTTACCACAGTTGAGCTTTTTTAAAAGAATTACTATAAGAATTTTTAAAATGAGTATTTACCAAATTAATACAATGAGGGGGAACCTGATCAACTCAATAGATGCAGAAAAATACACAACTGAAAGAGCATTTTAAACACATAATTGGCTTGCAGATTAAAGCCCATTAGTGTCCTGGCTGATGATTTTTCATCACTTCGAACTAGATACAATTAGACTGTATTCATGATTAAAACTCAGCAAACTAGCCGGGCGCGGTGGCTCAAGCCTGTAATCCCAGCACTTTGGGAGGCCAAGGCGGGTGGATCACGAGGTCAAGAGATCGAGACCATCCTGGTCAACATGGTGAAACCCCGTCTCTACTAAAAATACAAAAAAAGTAGCTGGGCATGGTGGCATGTGCCTATAATCCAAGCTACTCAGGAGGCTGAGGCAGGAGAATTGCCTGAGCCCAGGAGGCGGAGGTTGCGGTGAGCCGAGATCGCGCCATTGCACTCCAGCCTGGGTAACGAGCGAAACTCTGTTTCAAAAAAAAAAAAAAAAAAAAAACTCAGCAAACTAGAACTTTGATCTGATAAAAAGGTATGTATGGAAAAACTTACAACTCACATCACATGTTTGTTGCCCCTCACCACTCTGCCTCCCTCCCCACAAGATTTGGGAAAGGCAGAGAGGTACCCTGCTCTTACCATTTTTATTCAGAATTGTATGGAAGATGCTAGCCTGTAAAATAAAGCAAGAAAAATAAAAAGCATACATACTGCAACAAAACTACAGAAGACATCAGATATGCTAAAAGCTCTCAAGAATCAAAAAAGCTATGAGAATAAGTAGCAAGGTAAGGCACAAAGGCAATATGCAAAGTTTGACTTTATTTCTACATGCTAGAAACAAATGGAAATTGGCATTTTAAAATCACCATTTACAATAATTCTAACATGAAAGAGGAACAGGTGAAGCAGAATTTGTGCAAGACCCATCAATGAAAACTACAGAACTTGCAAAGAAATGAAAAAGTCGTTAAGTAGGTGGAGAGATAACACCATTAATTCTGGATTGGAAGACTCAGTTTTGGGGTTTATTTTTGAGACAGTCTCACTTTGTCACCCAAGCTGGAATATAGTGGTGCGATCTCAGCCCACTGCAACCTCTGGCTCCCGGATACAAGCGATTCTTATGCTTTGGCCTCCCACAGTGCTGGAATTACAGACATAAGCCACCATGCCTCACCTAAGACTCAATTGTGTATATGTAAATCTTGTAAATGTTAATTATTCCTAAATTGATCTATAAATTCAATTCCAATAAAATTCTGGCAGTCTTTTTTTGTAGACGAGCTAATTATAAAATTTATACGTAAATGCAAATGACACAGAATAGCCAAAATATTTTGGAAAAAATATTATAGAGAACTTGCACTGTGCTATATAAAGCTTCACTATATAAAGCTACAGCAATCAGGAGGTGGTATTTAGATATGGATAGACATATAGGTCAATGAACAGAACAGAATTCAGAAATGGACCCACGTATATGGCTCACTGATTTTTGACAAAGGTGCCAAGGTAATTCAATAGGGAAAGGTTAGTTATTTCAACATATGTTAGAACTGCATATATTCATGGAGAAAAATCAACCTCAACCCTTGCCTCATACCACACATAAAATTTAACACAAAATGGATTACAGACCTAATATAAAATCTAAAACTTGCAAAAAAAAATTTCAGCTGGGCACAGTGATTCACACCTACAATCCCAGCACTTTGGGAGGCTGAGGTGGGTGGATCACGAGGTCAGGAGTTCAAGACCAACGTGGCCAAGATAGTGAAACCGCATCTCTAATAAAAACAAAATTAGCTGGGCGTGGTGGCATGTGCCTGTAGTCCCAGCTACTCAGGAGGCTGAGGCAGAAGAATCACCTGAACCCAGGAGGTGGCGGTTGCAGTGAGCCAAGATTGCGTCACTGCACTCCAGCCTGGGCGACAAAATGAGACTCTGTTTAAAAAAAAAAAAAAAAAGGCCGGGCGCGGTGGCTCACGCCTGTAATCCCAGCACTTTGGGAGGCCGAGGCGGGTGGATCACGAGGTCGGGAGATCGAGACCATCCTGGTCAACATGGTGAAACCCCGTCTCTACTAAAAATACAAAAAATTAGCTGGGCATGGTGGCGCGTGCCTGTAATCCCAGCTACTCAGGAGGCTGAGGCAGGAGAATTGCCTGAGCCCAGGAGGCGGAGGTTGTGGTGAGCCAAGATCGCGCCATTGCACTCCAGCCTGGGTAACAAGAGCGAAACTCCGTCTCAAAAAAAAAAAAAAAAAAAAAAAAAAAAAAAAAAAAAAAAAAATCATAATCTTGGGGTAGACAAAGATTTTTTTAGATATTAAAGAAGCAGGGCCGGGCGCGGTGGCTCAAGCCTGTAATCCCAGCACTCTGGGAGGCCGAGGCGGGTGGATCACGAGGTCAAGAGATCGAGACCATCCTGGTCAACATGGTGAAACCCCGTCTCTACTAAAAATACAAAAAATTAGCTGGGCATGGTGGCGCGTGCCTGTAATCCCAGCTACTCAGGAGGCTGAGGCAGGAGAATTGCTTGAACCCAGGAGGCGGAGGTTGCGGTGAGCCGAGATCGCGCCATTGCACTCCAGCCTGGGCAACAAGAGTGAAACACTCCGTCTCAAAAAAAAAAGAAGCAAAACTAGGCAGAGTGTGGTGGCTCATACCTGTAAATCTAGTGCTTTGGAAGCCTGAGGGAGGATGAGGCCATGAGTTTTGAGACCAGCATAAGCAACATAGCAAGACCCCATCTCTACAAAAGTATAAAAATTAAAATAAAATTAGCTGGGCATGGTTGTATACAGCTGTAGTACTAGCTACTCAGAAGGCTGAGGAGGGAGGATTGTTTGAGCCTAGGTTAAAATTCG